TTATAATTTTTTATACCTTTGAGGCTTGCAAAGCTCGCAGACAAGCTGCCAATACAAAAACTCCCAAAATTTCAAACAAACTTAGTATCAACCCCCCCTCTACCCATGTTCGCATTTCCCCTCTATCGAACCAGTTCCTGCATCCCTATATTACCGCGAACAACCGGTAATCTAGAGTTTACCCGCCTCTATCACCCCGCACTGATCAACCCCCGCTCGGCAATCCGAGTGTTTGCCCACACCGGCTATTTCGGTTTATTCCTGTTTTTCCACACACCGAAATTCGACTCCGCTCCGCCGCACTCCCTCCACTTGTGGCGGCGTTCAAGAGCACTCGGGAGTTGTTGCTGTAAGAATCGTATTTTTTCGAGATTTAGTGTTGAATTTCGACCAATTGTTCCGTCTTTTGCTATTTTTTGCTTCGACGTTGGATGCGTTCCGTTCCGGCTAATCAATGGGGGCTGTTTGCGCGATCAAAAATTTGGGGATCGCTTTGGAAGGGGATGATTTTTGATGTCCAATCATACTGTCGGGAAAATAATGAGCACAATGTTACTGGGCTGATTGCGTCGCTGAAGTGAAAAGTAATTAAATTTTGCGGCAACAGAACATTGATTTTTTCGGCGGCGAAGCGATTTTCGATGCAACAGAGAGCTAATTATTTTCCAGACAGACAGAAAGGGCTGAATTTTATGCTAGACTGTATGAAATTGCTTAAAAAAATGGAAATTATTCTCTTTTCGGGCATGGGCTGAAGTTTTTCATAGGCCTTTTGCGTTGCCCTAACTTGTTGCCACACAGATTTTCAGCAGTTGTAAGCAAAATTTGACAAAACTGTAGTTTTTTGCATTTCTTCAATTTCGCTTTTTATCCGATTCTTACTGTAAATTCCAAGTTATTTCTTGCTCCCCCAACCCTTAAACCCTTCTATTCCCACCTCACTTTCCCCCTCACGTCACTGTTCCCTTCATACCTCATAAGTCCAAAGTTCGGCCCCTCTAACTCAATCAAAATATTATAAAAACTTTTACTGTTTAACTCCATCTATATTTGCGTTAATACAAACATAGAGACCAAGTTACTATTTGCTTCTCCTTTTACTTGCATCACCTGACGCGTCAACAGTATATAATATATATACGAATACAATCTCGCGGTGAAAGGGAGAACCGATACTGCAAACAGTCGGGTGTTTCTCAAGTTTTCTGGAAACTGGTGATCTTTGTGATAGAGTGGTCTTGTGGACAGTAGTTGGGATAGATGTTTGAGGAGGCGTTTCTTAGATTTTATTAGTTTGAAGGGTAGTATTGATGATTATAGCATAGTTGATGGTCTGATTGAAAGACTGGTGTTATGTCTCTGTAGAGCAAGTCAAGGACGGTTACAAATCGTGTTTTTTCTCGGTTTAAAACCGTCGATTAAGGCTGACAATCCATTGTTATTTCAGGGTAGAACTCTGAAAGGAGCCTACGGTGCTTTACTTAGCTGAGAAATTGTCATGTTTTTTAACCTCGGAATTCGTCAATCATAACAGTCACCGATTAACTTTAAATTTCGCATATCTGCCTTAAATAAGACGTGTAGCGAATCTTGCTAAAAAATCAGGCGTTTTTTAGCCGCAGTGAAGTTATTAGATGTTTACCTTGCGACAGAGAACGTAAAATGATGACTGCCGAACAGACGTCATTGCCTTTTTCGACGATAACTTTTTGGCTTCTTCACGGAAAAATTTCACGTTTATTTAGATGGAACTTTACTTCATAGCACATAAAAACTTTCACTCGAAAAAATACAGCTGCTTTTGGGATTTTTTAAAGTTCACTTTTAGCTCTTGAAATTTTTTTCATTAGCTACTGTTTAGCTATTTTTGCAATTTTACTCTTCTCAAAAATTAACTAAAGAAACTTCCCGATCGCTCTTCTGTTCCAACCCCCATAATAACCGTTAATTTCGGGGAGTTTCGCATCTTTGAAGACCCCGTTTCCCACGTACTGTATGAGTAGTTACAATTGATCTAATTTCCCGACCTTCCTCATGCACTTTCCAAAAAAAAAACCTTTTTTTGTGCGCGTAATAAGGAAATGATGGAGGGATGATCCGAAATCGACAAACAGCCTTCCCATCCCTCTTTTTTTAATGTGTATTTGACTTCTCTGTTTTTTTGGGGATGTGCGTGAACTTTTCGTAAATACGCGGGCGGACGATCCTGAACATGGATTTGCTGAGGGGACATGGGTTGGTTCATGTTGACTTAGATGTGTTTGGGGTGTTTGTGGAATAAGCGTAAATGTAAAACATTGATTTTGGTTGTTTTTCAAAGAAAGATTTGTTCGAAAGATCTAGGAAATAAGTGTGTGTACGTTGTAGCGAAGGTACCCACAGTGAGCTGGCTTAGCAACTTTATAAGACATCTAAAAGTAGCTTTTCAATTTTGATGATAAGCGAGATTTTTTGCCCCGCAATGGCGCAAATTTAACGCATTACTTTCTGGCCCTCCTCACTTTATACTCTCTCCAAAAAAAATGTCATCAATGGACCTCACAGGCCAAAACTGTTAGCGGTTAATACACAACCTGCTTTGAGCAGCGTTGTAAAACTTAAAAATAATTTTTCCACGAGTTTATAATCCCAAAAACCCCAAATTTTCCTCAATATTTTTATGCGTTTCGCAGCTTAAATATTGAAAAAAATAATTCCGGTTTTTTGCGGGCTATGATATATTTTTTCGGTTATAAGTCATGCGATTGTATTTTGATGGAATTCGATATATTTTCCCTCCTGTTTTTCCAGCAATTTTAATCCAACCGCAAAAGCGGTGGATAAAAACATTTTTCCTTTCAACTTGTTATGGTTCTGATTTTGGCAAAGTGCAAAAAGAAAAAATCAGTAACGTATTACATTTTTAGTATCTTAAAAGTTAGAAAAACCATTTAAAAAGATATTGTTTTTACCGCTACCCTGCTTTTTACCATTTCCAAAACTATTCACCTTCTTAAAAGACAGTCTTTGACAAGAAATGAAAAAACGAGTCCATGCCTGACTCACGGCTACCTTAACCGGTCGCATTGTGACTCATTTGTCAACTCAACGCTGCCGTGGATTATCACGGCTTGACTATAAACTCTCTTTACCTCGACCCAAAAAACGCTTGTCAAAGCTGTCTCATTTTGGATTCGTTCTGCGCTGTGGGATAAAATATCCTTCATTCCATGGCTTGTGCTTGACCAGAGGTATACCCAGTTGTAGGATGAGACAATAGAGCTGCCAGGGAGATATATAAAGGGAGGAGAGGTTATTTACATGAACATGTTGGGAGAGAAAGGCAATGATAGATATTTTGAGAGTCCTTTATGCCTTGAATAATATAAAAAACGGGTAATTTTTCTCCAAGGTTTGGTCATGTGCCTGAGAGGTTATATGAAGCAGCTACTTAATAAAAAATAGCATAGCCTAATAGACAAGGCAAAAATATTGTGATAGAGGTTTCTTCAATGGCCGTGTTTTTTTGTAGCACCTCGTTGAAGCGATCTATCTTCATTTTAGCAATATATTTTGTTTTCAATATACCCTATTTTGATCGCTTAAACTCTGCTGCTACCTCACTACTCCTCTAGGTCCTGCAACTCACCTCAGCCCGCGTTCCCCAACTGCCCCTTTAATAACCCCTCGCTTCCGTTCCGTCCGCCTCGACCTCCAGCGGGCTCTAAATACACTCCACTAAACAGCCAGTAGTCCGTTCCGTTTTTTCGCCATTGATCCGTTGAACGGAATATCAAGCCAGAACGCGCAAAAAAAACCTACTACCTGACAATTTTCCGCGCGCACGTCCCCGATTTTTGCGGATTTTGCGATTCAGTCAACCTCGAAGAAGGAAAAGAGAGGAGGCTGCAAGGAGGGGGGAAAAACCTTCAACTGTAGCGGACCCCATTTCGTCTCGCTGCTCCTCGTACAGAAGTGTGCTGCAGTGCGTAGCTTTCGGTAAGTTCGGATCGATTTCGATGAGGAGAAAATTGGGGGGGAGGGGAGGGGGGTTGTTGTTTGGTTCGCCCATTCCGAAAACGTTTGAATTCGGTCGTTCCAGGCGAAGCGCGGGTTGTTGATTATGGAGCAGTGTTTTTTCGGAGAGTTGATTAGGTGTCCTGTTGCGTAGAAGTGGCTTGAAAGAATGTTTAAAGGTGACAAGGGCGGGTTTTGGTGATTCAGCTATTACTTTCGAATAGTCATCAAAAATTTTACCAGTAACATAGACAGTATGAATTTTTTGAGCTTGTTTGGACTTCCGAACGCTCTCTGAGGCTATATGGTAGCAGTATATGGCCGCAGCGATCTCCCTCACCAATCAAAAGATCCTTGACTACACTATACCTCCCTATAGCCTATAATTTTCTCAATTCTTCCACACAAAAGCAGCCAAATCATCCCCATAGCTTCCATGTCAAAGACGCGTGAAACCCTTTCGTACTTCGTCTCAAGATACCGAAAATTTTTGCGGTTTTCCATACCGACTTCATTGTCTCCGCGGTGAATACGACCACGGTGTTGAAGGGGGTTTCAAGTGTCCGAGAACGGAGCTGCTTTTGACCTGCCCTGGAGGTGGTTTTCAAGAGGCTTTTGCGATAAAAATCTGTAACGAAGAAAGAGCGCAAAAAAACAGAAAGGAAAACAGTCGAGACAGAGATTTGTGTAATGACTCAGTGGGCCAAGCGAGGGCTTCCGAGACTGGCTAGCGGGGGCAGGAGGGTTGGATATATGGGTTTAGCCTTGTGGGTTTGATAAGGCTGTTGCTTTTCTTTATATGTCTTATTTTGCAATTGTTCCTTATATGTTTTACTATACCTTTATGTGCCATTTTACCTCGTGTTGTATTTTTCCTTCTTTCTTTTTGATTTCCATTTTCTCGCGATGATATCGGGCCGCGATTTGACCCATAATCCACCGTCCGCACCCATCGCTAACCATTCATATTTCCAGTTTCATCACCAACGAATCTCAACCCCACGATGAAGGTGTTTACAGTCGGAATGGATCAGAAGCCGCCGATTGAGAAGGCGCCCGAGACCCCACCGCCCAGCTACCATCTCCCCACCGCCATCCCCATGGGCCCCGAAATCCCACAGCCCATCATTGTGCGCAAGTCGCGCGGCTACAAGGGCATCCTGCTGGTGATGCTGGGCGTCTTCCTGATGGCAGTGTTCGCCTTGGTGCTGAATGAAATGGCTTACAACAGACAGAGAGACGAGAACTTCTTCAGACTGCAATGGGCGCAGATGAGACACAGATTCGGCTATCCACCAAGGGAGTTTGGCGAGAGGATTATTCCTGAAGTCCATGGCCCCGAAATGCAACGGGCAGAGATGTTGCAACAGAAAACCGAAACCACAACTCCGTCAGTTCGCGAAGACAAATTCCTAGTCGATAACGAGCTGAACAATTCGGAAGAGAAGCACGAAAACGAAGGAGATGCCAGACTCCAATTCTTGAAGCGAATCCTCCAGAAAATCAAGCAGAATGCCGAAGAGATGGGTCTTCAAGGCACCATGCAAGTCTCGGTTGTTGAAGTGGAGCCTCAGCAACTCCCCGAGTTCATCAAGAGTCTTCGCGGACAGCCGCAAGAGCGTCATTTTGGCCCATCGGAAGACCCACGTTCGGACGCGTTCTTGGACAGCTTCGGCGAGTTCCACGCCCCCAACCCGTTCAACGGTCAGCCCATGGAGAGCCGCGACCATCAGCAGCCGCGCGGCCGAATCTTCGGCCCTTGGACTCCGGACGAGGAACCGATTTTCCGTCCCGAACCCGAGATGATGCGTCCCCCACCAATCCCCGACTGGGCGCTTCAACGTCCGGAGATGGAGATCCCCGAATTCAACCACGAATTCCCCAAGTCCGGCGAAATTAATCCTCAGGAAGTGATGGGAGAGATGTATGGGCGTCGTTTCGGCCGCATCCTTCAGGATTTGATTGCTGCTCGTCTTCAAAGCCGTTTCATGCAACAACCTCCACCTGAGGTCATGAACCCTTTGATGAGCCGTCCCTCTTTCCCCATTGAACAACAGCCTCAGGCCGCGTGGTGGGGAATGGAACAACCGCATCAGCCCCAGCCCCAAGTCGAGGCTATGCCCCCACAGATGCCTCAGATGCCTCAGCAAGCGTGGCCACAGCCCCCTCAATTCCAACAGTTCCCTGTTCCTCAGGAGAACCAGGTCCAACAACAGGCTCAGCAAGCCCAGCAGGTTCTCCACATCCAACCTGAACAGCCAGCTCAGCCTCCACAAGGACGCCAGGTTCAACAGGACTCCGCCGAAGGCCAGCCTCCAGCCATTCAGCCCCCAAGAGTTGAGGCCCAACAACAGGCTCAGCCACAGTTCCGGGGATTCCCCCAGCCAACACAACAATTCCCAGTAAGCCCTGTTACCATGAACTAGTTTTTTATTCCATATTGTCATCACACCAACATTTTTTGCATTTAAAAATCGCTTCGTTTTCAGGTCTTCTTCCCAACCGAAGAAAGACAAGCACAATGGCCTCAGCAGCCTGAACAACCTCAGCCCCCACAAAACCAGCCTCAGCCAACCTTCAACCAGGCCGCTCCAGCTGGATGGACCCATCAGGCCGCTGATTCCGAAGTGAGTCAAATTTAATTTACTAATCCAATTAACACACGCTTTCTGTTTGTTTATTATTTCAATAACAACTCACAAATCAACACATTAAACATCACATTAGTGGGTGTACGTTATATAATGAGACACTTGGGTGACGGTAGAGGGAACAGGAGGGGATGGAATTTGTAAGACCGGTCAGACACAGGGACTCTATTTTAAAAGGTTTATCAAGCCTCTGTCGGATACTAAGAGCCTTGTAATTATGGTATATTTGGTTAACTCACTTATGAATTGGAACAAACTTTTAATGAGCGAAAATAATAACAAATTCACCGGCTATTCGCTCATTATTGGGCTCAGATTGAAGTCATAACACTAACACCACGACTTCAACACCTTGCACATCGAATAGATTAACTGTAAACACGTCCACGATCACTCACCAACAAAATAACGAATATATTTCGTAAATATTCAGCCCCATCCATCGCTCTCAACGGTAGTGGATGGAGAAGTTGAGAAGAAGCACGAGGAAGTTCCAGAAGCCAGTCCAGAGCTCATTGTCCTTCACAAGGCCGCTCCAGTAGATGCCCAGCCTCTTCATGAGGACTCCGCATCATCCCAACTCTCCGACTTGCCTTTCAAAGAGCTTCAAGGAGAATTGGCAGCCGCTGCCGCTGCCCTCGCCCAACAACATGAAGCCATGTTGGAGCAGCAACGAGAGGAAGAGGCTCAAGCTTTCTTGCAGGCCAAGGAAGAATCCGCCGAAATCCCAAAAGAAACGAAGACTGAGGAGAAGGAAAAGAAGGTCGACGAGCAACATCCAGTCGATCCTTCGCTGATTCAGTCGGAGCAGCAAAATGAGGACCATCAGGCGAATAACGAACAGGTGCGGATATTTAGGATATAGGAGAGGAGGTTGTAAAGCTTCATGTTTCGATAGAGGGGACCATAGAATGAGCTTAAGTACATATTGTTACCTGATTGTGCTAGGAGACTCTAGATACTTTGTTAAGGTATTCATTGGATTGCCTAGCCTATGGGTTACTTTGAAAATGAATTGTAAGCTACTAGAAGCCTCAATGAACCATAAGCTTTGTTCTTGAGGCACTGTGACCTTCAGCCTTGCAAGGCTTTGCTTCTTTTGTGGCCTGGGAGAAGCTTGCCCTAAAATTTCAGCATTTGACCTCCTTCTCAGCTTCTTACGCCCTTAAAAACTTTTATTTAACCCCTCGTATTTCCAGGTCGACTTCCCAGCCGTTCGTTTCCCTCAGGCCGACCAATCAGCCCCAACTGAGCGTCAGCACGCCGACGCCGAGCCCCACATCTTCTTCCAAGTCGACGAACCTCAACCCAACTTCGGTGCCGGACACGTTTAAACGCGCAACAAGTCCACGAGAATCAGAGCATTTCACTTAATTCTTATTTTTCGTTAGTGTTTTTCTGGCCCTCTAATTATTCGCATATCCCCACAGAAACACCCGAAGATATACTGTATTTAGCCTCCTCATGGAATAATAATCGTATTCCGCTTCGCATCCCCTTGGATAGTTTGTCTACGCGCGGGCATAATATTCCTTCCATTGTTTAGACGTTTTATTACACCCCTCTCCTCTTGTATATTCCACTGTTAACAATAAAAATTGTAAATATCAGAGAACGGAGGTGGATTGGTTTTGAAAAACAAGAAGACTGTAAAGGAAATGGAATGTGAGTGCTATGGTCTTTGACCTTTTCCTGAGTAGTCGGCACCTCCCTACAGAAATAAAAGAGGGTAGCGAGTAGTAATGTATACTCTAGTGAGTAATGATATAAGAGTGGCTCAGCCGATCGAAGCTTTATGGGACTTATGGCAAAAAATGTCCTAAAAAGTATTCTCAGTTGACTCAACTCTTATAAAATTTTCCTAATGAACTGTAAGTAAGAAACTACGTTTTAATTAGACTCTAGAAGTCTAGTAGTCCTATTACTGTTACTTCTAAGAATTGTCCAGATCGGAAAATTACAGCGGGGCACCTAATCCAGCAGCAAAAAACCTACCATTTTGCATCTGAGAAGTATCAAAAATGTGGCAAAATACCTCCCTCTCCAAGTGAAAAACCAGAAATTTCAAAAAACGCGCCCGCCCTTTTTGTGAGGAAAAGGGGCGTACCCTTCAAAATGAGGTTTTTTCACTTGGACTGGGAAGCATTTTGCCACATTTTTGATGCTTCCTGAATTCAAAATGGTACGTTCTTTGCCACTGAATTAGGTCCCTTACTGTACAGGATTTGTTATCGACTTTCGGAACAAAAATCTCGACAGTTTCCGAAGAAAGAAGTAAACAATATCACGTGCGTTTTAGAAAATCATATTTTAAATCTGACGCGATCCTCATTCGATTCTGCTTACCCCATATCAAAGATTTCTTTGTATTCTATTCCACTAAAGTATCGCGCAAACGTTAGTAAAGCATACCCTAAATTTGCGCCAGCTTTGATGAAGATCTATTCACCACGGCTTCAGAACCTTTCCTTGTAAGTTCTGGAGCCTTCTCCAACAATAATTTAAAAAACATATCAAACAAATATTTGTTCTCTCTGGTTCATTGATTTTTGCACACTACCGAACAACTTTTTCTCTTGAAAGGCCGCCTGAAACATCAATGAAATAAGAGGATTGTAAAAATATGCTTTTGTGGGTGGATCATGACGAAGGATCCTGAACGAAAATACTTTCGCTGTCCGCGAGATTAGAACGTCTAGAAAAATGCTGAAAGCTGTGGAGATTTTATTGATTTTTGGTCTCTTAGCACTATGCTGTGATTCTGTGCAGAGTGCTGCGCCTTATTATGGGTATGATTTTAATCGAAGGTAAGGAAATTAGAAAAGGTGTACGATATACTATATAAACTTATACAAACTTCGGAGATCTTTTGAATTTTTTCCCCGAGTCATTGAATTTTACGTATAGCGCGAAAAAAAGGTCGTTAAATTTCTTGCTATGTCTTCAGATACATAGTCCTACATTAATCAATGTGTAAGGGCTGTAGAATGCCATTTTCAGAACCCCTATTATTTTGAAATAAGCATGGTATCAGTCTGTCGGGAAAATAATGTGGAATCGCCCGTCATCGCTTTGCGACGCTAGCCGCGGCTGGAGATTTAGTGCGCGGCTGCGACGAACCGTGACATTTTTCTGCGACATTCTCCATATTATTTTCCCGACAGGCTGATATAAAGTATGAAGCAAATGTGACGGCCACCCATTCATTTTAGTCCATCATTTTTTAATAAAATATCAACTTATTAGCCCCTTTAACACAACCGGATTGAAGCAGTTTACGGTCACATTTTTCTCCAAAAGTTTATCTACAGTAATAGCGCTAAAATGCTACTCTTTCCCACTAAACTATAGTTTGTGGCGTCCAATTTCGATACCGTAGGCTAATCCAATCCTATCACGTTCCTCGTTTCACAAGGGACAAAGTCGTATGCCGCAAAACACCAAATCATCGGGCACAAACCAAAAATTACTCTGCAGAGCCAAAGGTCAACTGATGATTTTTTCTTCATTCGCAACATTCAATTTGTCCCATTTCAGGAATAACTGGGCCTCGCCGACCTCGGTCTTCAACCCGTTCCCGTTCGGGCCGCTGAATTCGCCCGCCCCTTCCTGGGCCTTCCTCTACTCGAACAATGTGAACGACGTCTACAAGCACTGAAGAAAAACGCCCAAGACTACAAATTCTGTTGCATTTTTTTGCGTTTTTTCAATGTACATAGATTGTCCTTATAAACAAATTCCGATAAACAGAAATAGCCTAATAATTGGAGGGGAAAAATGGTAATTTAATTGAGTCACAGCTTCTTCCCTCGCGTACTTGGTGCTGGTCTTCAGTCGAGTGAAAAGGGAACGGTTCGAACATGCGGTCTTTAATTTCTGCGATGCTGGTGGCCAACGTTTTGGTCGAGGCTGGTCAAAATGTAAGTGAGCCTATACGTAATAGATCACTGAGAATGTAACAGAGTTTATAAGGGGTGAAGTTACTAAAAAAATCCGATTCACGTCAATCCAGCGCATTTACTATAGGTTTTAGGCGTTTCACACTATTGATTGACCAAAACATTTGAGATATCAAATTTCTATGGGAAAAATTTTTTTGTAAACAAAATGGGTCTTAAAATATCAAGAAAAGTTTAGAATGTTATTTTTTGACCATAAAGCAAGGTTTTGTGCCGGATTGCCAAGAAAAAAATAGCCAAACGTTTTCTCCAAAATTCCATTAATGGCAAAACGCTACATTAGATCTTAAATATTAAGGAAACAGCTTCAACTGCGCTGTAATGACATGCGTTTATGGTAGTTTTTGGCGTCAAACGTATTGAACCAACTCTTCTGGTAGAGAACATATAAAACAAAGAGAGTTAGCAGACAAAAAACCCTCGCTTCTCAGTCTAGCAGGCCTAGATGTGCTGTGCTAGAAACCGCAATCGTTAGCACCATATGCAGGCTTCTAAAACCACAAAACACAATTTCAGAGCGGTTTAGTTTACGACCGCTTCTATGAGTCGTCAAAGGACTTTGGAATGAACGTCACCAAAGAAAGTGTCGCAAAATGTGTTGACGGAACCTTGGGAAGGGTAAGTTTGTCATCATTACAACTGCGCTACTATAGCAAGTTAGTTTTAAGTCGTTTTCGCTATTAAAATACCTAATTTCAGGCCTCGGAACTCGATGAAAAATACGGTTTGAAGTTGAACAAATATGTCCAAAGATTTGTTGATGCGGTCGAGAAAATTCCAGAAGATGACTTGCGAGGAGATCAGTATGGCGAAGCGATGAATGCGTTCCACGACTTGGTCCAGAAGACTAAGCAAAAGTCTACCGCGGCTGAACAGGCATGGTTCGACAAGACCTTCCTGGTTGTCAGCTCCATTTACAATGTAAGCCTTACACTTAGCACTTGAATTTGCACATTCGCAGTCTCCACTTTGATGGATAAACTGGCAAAGAGACATTTTTCCCAACATCAAATTTTCAGGGAAAGCCCCAGCAAGAAATCTCCGCGAACGCCCGAAAACTCGGCCTTCTTTATCCCCGAGTTGTGGAGAGAATGGTCGAAGTCTACGAGCTTGGTCGAGCCCATGATATCAACATGAAACAGTACGTTGACAAATACTTGGACGCCATCTCTGACTATCACGGAGATCAAACTCAAGTCTCGGAGGCCATGGAGAAAATTAGAGAGAAATTAATCGAGATTGAAGTTCCATCTGACTCTTTGAAGTTCCTGGATGTTACTCCTTAATCTTCCAGCTTTTTTATGATTTACAATAATGCTGCAGCAAAATAATTTTTTGTATTTTCTCGAGAAAATAACAAAAAAAAAACATGTAAAATAAATAAAATAAACGAATGGTGCTTTTTCGCAAACCTCGGATCTAATATCAAAGTGTGTTACCATTATTCTGACATGGCAAGTTTATTTATTGAGCTCAGAACGTATTTTAAGGAAAAATGTTTGTGCTGGAGAAAGTTCAAACAGTTTGACACCAGCATTGACGGTTGCGACAGACGCCGCGCTTGTAGTTGTGTTGCCAACACCACTGGTGACATGGGGCAACCCACTGTTTGCAAAGACCAGCGGGGCCCAGAACCTCGCCTGAAAAGTTTGTGTTACTCCTGTATTTTGAAACATTCAGTTCTATGATTTTAAAATTCTTTTGGGTATTGGAAATTTCAGACTTTCTGGGCCAAATATTCGAATGATCCCGTTCAAAGACCCTAAATTATAACCCCACAATCATCAAATCGGAACATGGATTTAAAGTGATGACTAGAGAAGACAATATATTCCAGAAGAAACATGCTTTCTCAGGAGTAATGAACAAAGGTTGTAAAGGTATTACCACAGTGGCGGACCTGATCCAGTGGCAAAAAGCGTGCCATTTTGCATCCGGGAAATATCAAAAAATGTGGCAAAATGTTTCCCTCTTCAAGTGAAAAAACAACGATCCAAAACCGCTCTTTTTGTGAGGGAAAGGGCGCGGCCTTCAAAATGTGGTTTTTTTTAGTTGGAGAGGGAGGCATTTTGCCACATTTTTGATACTTCTCGGATACAAAATGGCGCGTTTTTTCCACTGGATCAGGTCCGTCACTGTACTGCAACACCCCTTCTTTATTTGAAGATGATCCCATCAGTGGACAGTAGAATATTAAGCTTGCAGCAATTTCTATGCACAATTTAAGGTCTACAGAAGTTTTCTAGAAAAATCTTGCAAAAAATCTAACTGTCACATCAGAATTGGCACAACTACGGCATTTCTTACCGGCTGACTGGACCTCAGTGAGCTTGACTTCCATGGGCTTGACCTCAGTTGGAAGAGCGAAGGCAACTCCAAAGAGAAGGGCCAAAACAACGAAGACTTTGAATTGCATTTCAAGTTTGTTGATCTTTCCGAGTTTATATCTCTTACTTTATATACCGCCAAATTCGATGACTAAAGCAGATATACCAGTCGTAGATTTTGTTGAGAAAACAAAGGTTTGTGGCGATCATCTTACCCCAATGACGAAAAATAGGGGGCAATTTGCCGATAAGGACCGAGAGTTTCACTAAAATTTACTTTGTTATAGGGAGTACCGAAGCTATCATCTTGACTTAATCAAATTTTGTGTTTCGTTACCACACCATGCACAACTCATTACGCACATTCGGTTCCTGTCTGATTGTTGATTTCGAGCTTGTAGTGTCGAACTCCAGATGTCTACATAATGAGAAGTTTCTTGTCTGGGATTGCTCAGAATGGCCTGCTTAATTTTGCCATTAGATTTTGTGTTATGTGTTTTGAAACTGTTTTATCACCTCTTTTTTATAGAGGGAAGAACTTATGTTATCAAAATAGAAGCATTAGGCCTGCGAATGCACTCTTGGAACCCTTTGAATACAAAATACAGTCAAAAATCTTTGAAAATTGTTGGAATCGCCAGACGTTGCCTCTTGGAGCTGCTAGACCTAATGTTGCCAGATAAGAAGTATCGCATTTACCAATTCCGCCTTGCAAAATCAAGGCGAAGTGTAAGAAACCGATAGCGAAGAGTATATTCCGGTCATCGGAGTCCTTAGTTTCATGTGGACCTTTTGAACGTACGGATGGTGTAAATTGAAATACACGTGTGAATTGGCCATCTTGTATACCGTGGTATTTGAGAGAATAAAGCGGGCATTGGTAATTATTAGAGTGTTGGGGGAGCTTGTCTAGCTCAGCGTATTAGGAGACCCGGTGTTTGATCGTGTTGACGAGGAACCGAGGAATCTGTTTTGGCGACCACTACGGAACGACGCTTCGGTGAGACTCGGTTGCAATTTGGATAATTGGCGAGCTTTTTCTTTATTATTTGTTTCTATTTTTGGGCCAAAAAGTAGTTTCTATAGGGATTAAAGCTTCCAACTTTTGAGTTTGGTCCAAACGAATTGCCGCAATAGACGAAAAAACAAAATAATTCCGCGAGAAAATATCTTTCGGCCGTCAAACCCCACAAACATTCTTTTTTGACAATTCGTTTGACTACAACCGATACTGGGTGGGCGAAGTGCCGAAATGGGGCGGGAGATTCCCTGGGCTGCCGGGCGTTGTCTGTTTGGTCGGTGTTACCCTCATTTGCAAAAGATCTCGATAATATGACACCGCCCCGTTACTGTCGTTGTCTTCCAAAGCGTCTAGCAACGGCTCGGTCGCACGAAATGGGTCATCTGGGATGTCCTCCTGAATATACTTGGCATAAACTTCACAAATCTGTTGCGTCAGCTGAACCCGAGTTATGTTCAGGAACTTCCGTGCATTCGCGTCGATAACTCTTACCCTGGGATTCTAAAACAAAAAGAAGATTTTTAAGACGAATGATTATATGTAAAAAGCTCACATTTCGCAAAACATCCATCAAGGTGGACGAGAAGCTGACCGCGTCGTCCTCCCATCCCAACGAAACGTTGCGGCGCATCCTATCCACCATATCGAAGCGATACATCATTCCTACTTCGTGGAACTTGATTCCGCGTAGGTCGTCGTCGGGAAGATTGAGAAGGCCATTTTTTAATTTGATAATTTTGTCGTCCAAGTTCAGGTGGGCTCTGTCGTTTATAGCATGCATCTAGAAACAGCAGAATACAGGAGAATTTGCAAGGCATGTCTCGGTATACCGGCTTCTGCAAGTCCCCTGCCAAGTCATAAAAAATCATTTGCAATATTTCAAACCTACCAGCCGATAAAACATCATGGAATATTTCGTGACCTGATCTAGCGTATAGTTTAGCCCCGCATCTTTCACGATGAGGTACAGTTTATCAATTAAGGCATCGGGTTCGACAGTACAAAATGCCCCAAACAATATTCCGCAAATCAGGTAGACCTTCATTTTCGAAACGCTTCAATTTTAATAACCTTCCTTTATAGCCGCCAATGAACCACGTCAATGTGATTTATTCACGGTTTTAAATTTTTTATTTACTAGCTGTTTGAAGATTTTTATTTCTCGTGATAATGTGGGAATCAGCTGGACTAATGAGGGTTTATTTCGCTAGCATGAGTAACCATTTCGCGTAATAACATGCTGATTGGAAGTGGTGGTCACTTGAAGAAACCATTCTTGTTTGAAGGCACCGAGATACGGCCTCAAAAGAATACACAAAATTGCGATGTTACCGATATGGACCTGTTGACCATTCAGTCCAAAAAAATTGTCTGATTCGTACCATGGCATCCCCCCCTTGCCCGCGTGACGCTCTAGAGATCAGATATTCATCATCACCTCCGAGATAAACCATTCACAAGGGATCGGTAAATAGTTGCAACCTGCTTTCTTAACGAAACATAAATCATTTGAAAGAGCATTAAAAATAGTGCACAACGCAAAAAAAAGCAGCTGCCTAATTGACCTTGGGGTATAGATACGACCTCTTGTTAGTCCAAAAAAGTATTTGTTCATTACAGTCACACCTCACTGTCAGGAGACTTTTGAGGGTTCTACAACGGCTAACACCTTCAAGCTCTAGATTGTACTCCATACTTTATCGAAAACGCGCATTAAAGACATCAAGTAAAACATTGAAGCTTGTCACTATCAACCCACATACTTCTAATAGAAATTACTTATTTATTTCTTCGGTTAAATCATTTATAACATTTTGTTCTATTAGGTTGTCCAACAAATAATGACCCTCTTCGAAAAATTTAATTTTTCGGCAAAATTTACCGTAATAACTGCGATCTATTTAATCAAAATTATTATCATATGCTTAATCACGCTTGCTACAACGTGCCAAAAAGTTTTTTATGTTTGTAGCTTTGGAACCCCGGCTTCTGGAGCCGATGAAACTTTTGAAGGCCTTTTCAAGGGCGTCTTGATTGTCGAATTCCCTACCACTGATGAAACGTGCTAGATTCTGGAACTGATGGTGATGTGTATAGGCGAGCTTTGACAAATAGGCTGGACGAGGGACAGTCTCGTATCTCTATTAAATCGGCTTCTGGAGGGTCATCTTTCAAAGGGGAGGTTCCGTGTAGCCGCTAAGAATTTTTGGACTTCTGCGGCGCATCGTTGAAGATAGACGCTGCCACAAACTGTCTCTCTGGATACAGTAGGGGATGGTATCTACATTTTGGCCAGCTTTCAAGAAGGTGTATTGTACTATTCCCATGCTGCACCATCAAGAACTAGTCATCACCTTGTTTTGTGGGGAGTCGGGCTTTGACAAGTGCCGCAGCGATACCCTCGGAGGACTCTGTTCAGCATATCTGGTCTGGTTGTCCCAGTAGGTCCTCTTTTCATCAGAGGCAACGATTCGATCCAGAAAACGGCACGTAAACGCGAGAAATGTAATGCTTCCTCTCTTTGCTTTGATCCGATAACATGCGAAAAAGTTGCCGAGCATTTTTTGAATTCCATCGACATCAAATGGTTAGCCACCGATTATTTCAAACGCCACACGATGTCAGAGACGCGTTGGATGTTGATTCTAGGATGTTCGTCAACCGACGACCTCAGGGTAAATTGATAAGGTTTGGATTCCATACTTTATCTATGGGTCCCTTGCCGCCAAATCGTAATTTTTAAATCCATCGTTTCACCGTGTTCAGACTCAGAACACACTAGTCGAACATAGCGTTGATACTTTGCGTAGCTTCTGAAACTGCCGCATCCTGTTTTTGCCCGTAAAAGATGACCGCGCGAACCGACTTTTTTTTGATAATTTTTGATTAGGGCTAAATTACTGTAATTTGGTCCCAATATGACAAACGATACATCAAACGAAACCCTGAAATCTCAGCTACAAAACGCTGTAATATTTCGAAATTCCATCATCGCCTGCCTTTTTTAGAGGCTTTACACTTTGCCCCTCTCACAGAGGGTCATTATTTGTTGGACAACCTAATAATTTGCAAAAGATCTTGATATAGTGTCACCGCCGCGTTACTGTCGTTGCCATACAACGCGTCTAGCAACGGGTCGGTCACAGTAAATGGGGTATTAATGCAATCCTCCTGAATATACCTGTCATATATCTCGCAAAGCTGTTCTGTCAGCTGATGCTGAGTTATACCTTGACTTATAGCTAAGTCTTACCATGATACCATCAAATTTAGACATAAAATTTCAAGCAAGATTGGTTTCCTATAGTGACTAACCCTTCCAATCAGCATTTTGTTGCGCGTAATCACAACCCATACCAGTGAAGCGAGCTCTCCTTAGTCCAGCTGACATCGACCTCATCGTCCCCAGACAAATCAAGCTCTTGAAAGTCGTTATACTGACTACAGCGACATTATGTCACAACCGATAACGTTCAATCTGTAGACATTTCGAGATTTCACACTTTTCGTACGGAAATATGTTGACGTTTCCTTACCCTTTACGACGGAATTACTCTTTACCAGCTAATATTTTGATTGCACCATGTACAAGAGCTCAATTTCTTACACTACTTTTTGCTTGACGTCGCTTCACTTTTGAGTTTGGTCTAAACCAAGTGTCGCAATTGACAAAAAAAATAAAATAATTCCGCGAAAACATATTCTTCGGACATAAAACCCCACGTAAAAATTCATTTTTGACGGTTCGTTTGACTACTACGGATGCGGGGTGGGCGAAGTGCCGAAATGAGGCGTGGGACTCCCTGGGTTGCCGTGCGTTGTCTGTTCGGTCGGTGTCAGCCTCATGTGCGTAAGTGCTTCATATTGTATCACTGCCATGTGACCGTCGTTCCAATTCAACGAATCTAGCAACCAGTCGATCGTAACAAATGGGGTATCTTTGATGTCCTCCCGAATATACCTTACATAAACCTCACAAATCTGTTGCGTCAGCTGAAGCTGAGTTATGTTCAGGAACTTCCGTGCATTTGCGTCGATAATTCTTTGCCTGGAATCCTAAAAAAGAGTATTTTTTAGGACGAATAATTATTAAAAGCTCACATTTCGCAAAAGATCCAACAAGTTGGCCTCGAAATACAACGCGTTCTCCTCCCATCCCATCGAGACCTCGTTGCGCATCTTAGGGAACGTATCGTTGCGATACACGTTTCCCGCTTTGCTGAACTCCGGTCCGCGTAGGTCGTCGTCGGGAAGATTGAGAAGGCCATTTTTTAATTCGATAATTTTGTCGTCCAAGTTCAGGTGGGCTCTGTCGTTTATAGCATGCATCTAGAAACAGCGGAATACAAGAGAATTTGCAAGGCATATCGCGGTATACTGACTTCTGCAAGTCCCCCCTTCCCTGCCAAGTCTTAAAAAATCATTTGCAATATTTCAAACCTACCAGCCGATAAAACATCATGGAATATTTCGTGACCTGATCTAGCGTATAGTTTAGCCCCGCATCTTTCACGATGAGGTACAGTTTATCAATTAAGGCATCGGGTTCGACAGTACAAAATGCCCCAAACAATATTCCGCAAATCAGGTAGACCTTCATTTTCGAAACGCTTCAATTTTAATAACGTTTCTTTATAGCCGTCTTTGAACCACGTCAATGTGATTTATTCACGGTTTTTAATTTTTTCATTTACTGGCTGTCTGAAGATTTTCATTTCTCATGACGATATGGGAATCCTGAACTAATGAGGGCTTGTTTCACTAGTGCACGTTCGTTACTAGCATCACTCACGATCGTGCAAAGACTTGCTGATTGGAAGTGGTAGTCACTAGAACAAATCATTCTTGTTTGTAAGTTCGGAGATATAGCCCCAAAATAATACGCATAAGCAGCGACTTGAGCCCATAAAAGTATTTGTTCATTACAGTCACACCTCACTGTCAGGAGACTTTTGAGGGTTCTACAACGGCTAACACCTTCAAACTTCAAGACATCGAGTAAAACATTGAAGGTTTTCGTTATCAACCCACATACCTCTAGAAATTCCTTATTTATTTTTTTTTGCTTACAAGGGAAGTACCCCAAGTGCGACGCTCAGATTTTCTTTAAATTTTGCACAAACGTCGGGCATGAACCAAGTATCAATTCATGAAAGTTTGAGTTCGCGTTTTGCAAGCGCCACCGAGATATTGAACGATCTTCGCCGCGGAGAGAGTACGCCTAACGTGGAGAGCGGTCAGAGAGAAAAACGTTTTTTGGCCATAACTTTGCTAGTTTCGTGCGGAAAAAATTATTTTTTTACGAAAACGTTGCCCTCTATGGTAGAAATAGGCATGAAAGTTTTCGTGCAAGATCTAAAAATCTCGGTTGTTTCTGCAAAGCGCGATCTAGAATTCTCGCATATATTTTAGAAAAAATTATTTTACATTTGTGCCACGTTTCATAAAAATCTAAGCGTCGCACTCGGGGAACTTCCCCTGTTAAATCATTTATAACATATGTAATGTTTAGGGCTTTGAGCTGCTGAGTCAAAGCAGCACGAATTTCTTTACCTTTTCAAACAAATCCAACGACTCCGACTTTCTTCCAGTGGACCAATTTACGCCCTTTTAAAGAACCAGTTGTTGCTGAGAGCGTAACAGTCATGCCCATGTAAAGATTTTTTTAAAAGACGACCTTTAAGATAGCAAGAAAAATAATTGCATATAATTTGCGCACTTTAGAAGAAAAATTTAGACATTTTTATCTGTGTACCATCGGCATTAGTATTTTTGGAAGGGCGCAAATTGGCCCACTGTGTCAAAAGTTATGGCCCAAAATGTGCGGCAGTGGGCGAAGTGCCGAAATGGGGCGGGAGATTCCTTGGGTTACTGTGCGTTGTCTGTGGTCGGTGTTACCCTCATTTGCAAAAGATCTTGGTAAAGTAGCACCGCCGCGTTACTGTTGTTGCCATATAACGCCTCTAGCAACGGATCGGTCACACGAAATGGGTCATCTTTGATGTCATGCTGAATATACTTGGCATATATCTCGCAAATCTGTTCTGTCAGCTGATGCTGAGTTATGCCCAAGAACTGCTGGCAATTCGCATCGATAATTCTGTGCGTAGAATTCTAAAGAAAAGGATTTTTAAGACGAATGATTATTAAAAGCGCACTCGCAAAAGATCCAACAAGGTGGCTTCGAAGCCCAACGCGCTCTCCTCCCATCCCAACGAGGCGTTGCCGCGCATCCAAGGGAACATATCGTTACGATACACCCTTACTGCTTCGTTGAACTCCACTCCGCGTAGGTTGTAGTTGGGAAGAATGAGAATGTCATCTATGAATTCGATAATTTGGTTGTCCAAGTCCAGGTGGGCTCTGTTGTTTATATCATTCATCTAGAAACAGCAGGATACAAGAGAATTTGCAAGGCATATCGCGGTACACTGACTTCTGCAAGTCCCCCTTTCCCTGCCAGCTCTTTCAACCACTGGCAATATTTCAAACTTACCAGTCGATGAAACATCGTGGAATATTCCGCGACCTGATCTAGCGAATAGTTTAGCCCCGCATCTTTCACGATGAGGTACAGTTTATCAATCAATTGGTCGGGTTCGACAGCACAAAATGCCCCAAACAATATTCCACAAATCAGGTAGACATTCATTTTCGAAACGCTTCAATTTTAATAACTTTCCTTTATGGCCGCCAATGAACCAAGTCAATGTGATTTATTCACGGTTTTTAATTTTTCATTTACTGGCTGTCTGAAGATTTTCATTTCTCATGACGATGATGTAGGAATCAGTTTTAAGAGCTCGCTGTGTTAGAATGGGCGATGATTTATTATTTTGTGCAAGAGCTTGCTGATTGGAAGTGGTAGTCACTAGACAGAACCATTTTTGTTTGAAAACTCCGAGATATAGGGCTCGTGCTTTATAAGTTTCGTCGGCTTTGCAAAAAAATGTTGCAAAAAGGCGTTCAGAATTCGCTCTGAACGCCATTTTGCAACATCAGTTCAAATCGTGAACGCCTTTTTGCAACATCAGTTCACCCCGTGTTTTGTTTAAAACATGAGCGTCGCCTTTCAAAGATTTCCTTGTGAGTTTGTAAATACATCCACAGGTCCAAACTTAATCCACGTCAATGAGAATTGCATACCACGAGTTTGAAAAATGTAAATTACAAATTTTACGATCATGATTTCAATATTCTCTGCATTAAAACCGTTTCCAACTCGGGCAGTTGTAAAACGACGACCATGAAGTTCCTGGTGGTAGCGGTCTGCCTACTCTCCTATGTTGCTGGGTTATCGCAGACGTTAATGCTTGGTCCAAACCACATGGATCTTGATGACATTGAACAAATCAAGGTGTTTAATAACTTAAAACGAATTTCTGATGATGCCGGTGTGAGATTCACGTACGAAAGCATCAAAAGAGTATTTGACGACTTATTCGAAAAGGTGAGTGTAAGAGTTGGGATTGTACATAAAAAACATACAGTTAAATACCCGCAGGTAACGAAAAGATTTTCTCATAGAGAAGTTAAGTTCGATTTAAAATTGGCAGGGCAGTACAAGCGCACAAAGTCATTGTTTCTTATACGAAATAGGCAAAGTGTAGTCAAAAGCGTATCCTATAAATCATACCTTCTTCAGCCTCTCTTGCAGGACGTAAAATGAAGTTACTTCGCTGCACTTGCCCTATACTGGAGCAGTCGACATATTCAACGATTTTTGCTGCGGAGAGGGCACGCGAAGCGCAGACGACAGTAGCAGAGAAGAAAAACTTTTGGCTAAACCCTTGCCAGCTTGTAGCGATTGTTCTCCCAAGCTCCTAAAAGTTTAATTCAGGCAAATAAAGTCGTTGAACCGGGCACGAATTACCCATCAAGCTATCCAGTCGAAGAACTCCAAGTGGAATTGATCGATCATCCTGAGATAAATCCCAGAGGTCCGGATTACAATAAAGTATTGGCCAAGGTTGAGGAGGTTCATGGCTTTCTGGCTGCCGTGCTCTCCGAACTCGATCGCGCCCCATACGATGCGGTGCGCGACGTTGCAAGGCTCTTGGCTAAGGTGGGCTTGTATTTATGGAGGGTATATTTGTTCTAATAAGGAGACTGACCTCTAAATTAAAATTTCAGAACGAGGTCACCGACACCATCCGCAGAAACGCACAACGTTTTGGAGAAACATTTGATGACATTGTTCATGAAGTTATTAGCATCTATCTGAAAGGCGAAAGGAAGGGACTGAACTTGTTCAACCATGTGCAAAAACTCCTAGGCATTATCTCGAAACCCGAAGCCAATAAGCTCATTTATGAAAAGGAGCTTCAAAACATCGATGCTGTAATCAAGAATGCTTCAAATGTGAGCAAGAAGCACTAAAACTGGATTGCTTTTTAAGATCACTTGCTAATAAAATTTTCTGCGGCGTTGGGTTTTCTGAGTTGAAGATGGTGCAAAAACATGTCAAAAAATTTTCGGAGCGACTGAGCGCTCACTTTTTCCGATAGACTGTAAGAAACTGCGATGAATGAAAGTTTCGTCAAAAACACAGCTTGTTGAAAAGTTGAATGTTTTTTGGCGTGGCCCCTAGCCACGTCTCGGTCGTAGCGTTCAGCCTTCTGACTATTGCGATATTTCTGCGGAGTAAAATGCTCGAGATTCGGCGGCAATTCCTTAGTTTTGGCGGTTCGAGTACCAAAAGATCTATTGTACAATCCACAATACTTGGTTGTTTTGAACTTTTCCCAATTTGGCTTACGGTGAGAGACAACAAAACTTCTATGAAATTTCGTCTTTCAAGCCGTAAAAACGAGATTAAAATGTAGTACTTTCGGCTTTTTAGGGCAATCCGAACAACTAACAATTATGTCGTCTTAACACGTATTATAATACATTTGTTGTTCACACAATCATTCCATGGGAACATCCTGTAGCCTAATAATTTTTAAAATTATTGCTTTTGAACCTGTTCTCATTGCTTCCACATCAAATTTACAATTGTTGCATCATCACCTAGGACGCGCCATATAAAGCTACCTTGTGCTCCAACCGAATTTTCAATCAAGATTCTGGCACAATGAAGGTTGCGGTGCTTCTAATTGTGTTGGTGGTCGCTGCGTCGGCTATTGAGAGGAAGAACGCAACGATTCCAGTCCCATCCGACATAGACTTACAAGCGCTGCTCAACAAGTTGAGTGCTGATCGTTGACGACGCCGGAGTTCCATTCAGCTTTCAGGAGATTGCCCAAATCACTGACAACATCAGACATGGCGTAGGTTGATAAATTGGAATTTTACGATATAAAAATAAACTCTTAGCTCGATAAAATCGAAAGCGACCATCATTTGCCCATCCTTAATACACTCGCCAGAGAGTTGGAGAAGAGGATTCTCGATCTGCCTGAGAACGACCCAAGGGGTGCTTACAGTTTCAAAGGCGTCGCCGAAAAATCCGCCGAAGTCCGCAACGTTTTGTTCCCGGTCCTCAGCGATCTCCAGAGAGCCCCATACGACGTCGAAAACCTGATCTTACACTTGTTGGGAAAGGTAGGCGGCTGTGGCTGGAGGAAAACCCCTGACATGCAAATATGATATCTTTTCAGCACAAATTATGTATAGACATCACTGTAATCAATATTTTGCAGAGCCCTGAAACAAACCAAGTCCGCAAGAACCTCCAGAGTCTTGGACAAAACTTCGGCGACGTGGTCAAGCAGCTGGCTGCAAATTTCGCCTCCGGAGCCCAGAGGAACGTTAGCATCCATCATGAGGCTCAAGCGCTCGTGGATCTGCTCGGCCAGCCCTCAGTTTTGCAATACGAATACGAAGAGGCTATGGCAGCAATTGATAAAAAAGTCGGTAATCAATACGTCATCACGGAGTTTAATCACGTACAGAGGATAAAAAAGTGACTTTATTTTTTTATTCAATAAATCCGGCTGATGAAACACAACTGTAACCAAGTGAAGAATCTCCAAAAAACACTGCCAAAATGCTGCGCCCAATTTTTCAAATTCAGAACTAAATTATCTATTAGTTCTTGCGTTTGCAGAGCAGCAATCTTCAACAATCTGTGCTGAAAAGAGAGTAACAACTAGGGGCATAACATTACGACAATTTTATCGGAAAAAGTTTGGCGCTTCTGATCGTGAGAAAAGCGCAATGTCGCAACTAGTAGTCGAAGCAGTTGTTGGTCGCAAAGGCCCTTCAAAACGGAGTTTTTTAATTGAAGAGGGAAGCATTTTGCCACACTTTCTGATACCTCCTGGATGCAAAATGGTACATTTTTTGCCACTGGATCAAGTCCGTCATTGTTAATTTGAAAGAAAGGCCAGCCATTAGTTGTGGGTGTTATGCGGTGGACGGACAATTATGGAAGCAAAATGTTCCCCTGTTCACACAAATATTCCACTTGCGATGGAATATTTGTCTACAGCCCAATTCAAAAAAATAATTGCCTTCAAGGTTTAATTAAATTTTTTCTCGTTACATTTACATAATTCCCGTTGCATCAGACTTATCGCGGGGTATTAAAAGAAGGGGATCCACAGCGATTCAGTAATTCAAAAACCATGAAGGTTGCGGTGCTTCTGTTTATGTTGGTGGTCGCTGCTGCGGCTATTGAGAAGAAGAAGAGCATCACGATCCCTTTCCCTTTCCATGCCAACAGAGCCAAGCTGATCAACAAGTTGAAGCTGATCGTTGACGACGCGGGAGTTCATGTCAGTCATCGAAATGTCGCCAAAATCACTGACAAGATCAGAAATGGGGTAAGTTTACATGCCGGTAATCTCTGTTTATAGTCGCATAATTATTTTATGCCTATATTATCATATTTTTAAATTTCTAGCTAGCAAATATCAAAGCAATCCACAAGTTGCCCAGTCTTGTCGGGCTCGTCAACGATTTGGAGAGCAGCATCCTCGCTCTCCCTGACACCAACCCAAGAGGTCCCGCCTTCCAAGCGGTCGTCAAGAAAGCCGATGAACTCCACGCCGTCTTGTTCACCGTCCTCAATGACGTCAAGAGAATCCCATACGACCTCGAAAAGCTCAACTTGCACTTGTTGGAGAAGGTAGGTAGCTGAGGTCAACTTGCAACCCTGACTCGTTTATCCGCCGGCTTATAATCAACCTTTCAGAGCGAAGAAAACGATCAAATCCGCAAGAACCTCAAAAGTCTTAAGCTAAACTTTGGCCTAACGTTCTTGCAGCTGAACCACTTTTACAGGCGTGGAGCACTCAAGCGTATTAATATTCACCTTGAAGTCCAAGAACTCGTGGACCTGCTCAGCCGGCCTTCCGTCTCGAAACAACAATATTCTGCGGCTATTAAAAAGATTTTAAAAAAGCTGGGTAGGATTGAGCCACTCCCCACAAAGGAACCAGTCAAAAAAAACACAGACGTACCATTTATCACATTCGATCCAGTCCACATTTTCACAAAGGGACCAATCCACATTCGCACGAAGAACCCACACCAGAAGATCACAAAGAAACCAAGAGAGGATTAGTGAAACGAACTGAGCTTCTATTAATTTTATTCAATAAATCCGGCTGCTGAAAAAAATTTGTGTGCTTTTTTTTGTGTAAACTTCTTAAGTACCCTGAAGGGTCTAAGACTCTAAATTTGCCTGTACACATACAAGAAAAGTAAGGACTGAGAAGTGCGCGTCGGAATGGAGGTTCAGGGCGGAAAGAAAGTTTTAGGCCTAGTTTACTCCGAAAATTAACTGGCAAGAATGCATATAAAGATGTTTTATTTACACTATCAGGAATGTATCTGCACCCCAGTAATTTGAATATTTATTGGTGTTGAAACACTGATTATCCTTTTACTCATCTCCGTCTTGATTTGCCCGAGAAGACAGAGAAAAGACGCGTAAAACATGCTCTCTCGCCCCAAAAATTCCCCATTTATTCATCGTCAGAAAGTTTTTTTTTTTGAGATTTTTTTAATTGCCAGTCCATTCACTGGACCGTTTCAGCTCTTGTATTGTACATGTAGTTTGAAGTGCAGTTTTTTTTGATGGTCTTCTAAAGAACCAAGCTGATCAACAACATGAAGCTGGTTGTTGATGATGCTGCGGTTCGATTCAGTCAGAGATATGTCACAAAAGCCACTGCCAACAAATGTCACCATTTCGCAACGTATACGTAGAAAAAGGAAGCAGAATTGTAGTCAGGAATAAATTGTGCCAAGACAAATGCGACCCGACCACATTTTTTGTAATAAAAATTCTGTTGAACGTCCAATTGAAAGCACTGAATTGGCCTCATAAAATTTACAATCATGGCGGCCATGTTATAAAAACGCTGTGAAAGCATTGCAAACCATTCACAATTGTTCATCGTGAACCATGGAACGTCTTGTCTTGCTATGCTTGCTGGTGGCCGGAACAACGGCCATTGAGGCGAAGCGAAAATCAGAAGGTGAACCTGGGATAATGCCACTCACGCCCGCAGCGAGAGAGTCGCTGATCAACAAGATGAAGCGAATTATCGACGACGCTGGCATCCCTTATTCGTTCGATGAAGTCGCTTTTAGGACGGATCTAATGAAGACCTTGGTAAGTGACATTTCACAAGGAAAGTACTTTTATGGGGGCTCCTACTTTTTGACGGGACATATCTCAAAAAATCAGCAAAAATGTGCTGATCAAGGATATATAAATCTTAGCTGCCCATTTTATTTTTTTATGGGTGAAAATGCCCAAAAACTGGCTTAATTTCCCTACAAATGCGCAGGCATTCGAAACGATAAAAAGCGCAATCGGTCTCTTCCTTCGGAAGAGAGCGGTGTGGCCGAGTGGTTAGTGCCGTAGTCTGGGAATCAAGAGGGGCGACGCCGCACGGGTTCGATTTCCGTTTTGGACTGAATCAACTTTTTTTGAAGTTGAAGGTCGGAAAAATAAATTTTTGGGCCAACACCGATTTATTACATCTTAGAAACTCAATAAGCATCATTTTAAGCAAAAATAAAAATTGTAAACCTGTGAAAAATTAAGCGAAAAGGGGTTCATATAGGACTTTAAGCCAACTTCCGATTGATTTTTCACCCCTAAAAACCTAAAATGGGCAGCTAAGATTTATATATCCTTGATCAGCACATTTTTTCTGATTTTTTGAGATATGTCCCGTCAAAAAGTAGGAGCCCCCATAAAAGTACTTTCCTTGTCAGAAAAATTCTTACGGTGCCATTATTTAACTGCATACGTATATGGCTCGGCGCGAAATTGATAGCGATATTTATATCTAAATTTCAGCTCGAAGTCGTTGAAGAGAAATACAGCATCCCCTTGCGCAAGAAAGTCCATGACTTCGAACACGCCATCATGCAAGTCCCAGATCACAACCCACGAGGCGAAGAGTACAACAAGGCTCTGCAGAAGGCCGAGAACCTCTATCACGCGTTCATCGGCCACCTGCGAGAGTTGGCAAGGATCACATTTGATGTCGAGCTTATGAACTTGCGAATGATGGCTAAAGTAAGTCTGCATTGAAAACAAAGAAACACTGGTTTCAGAATGAAGTCACCAACCAAATGCGGCTAAATCTGGCCAAACTCAAGCATATACCGTATAGCTTTGGCGGCCTTATCAAAAAACTTTCGGAGGATTACTATCTCGGCAGGGAGCTAGACCTATACGTGAACGATGATGTGCAAGGCGTGCTAAACGCGCTGTATAAATCGCCGTTTGACTATGTCGACGCTATAAAAAAATTGGACGAGAAGCTGAAAGGCGGGCACGCGAAAGCAAAGAATATTGCGGATGCTTTGAAGAAGAGCATTGAGAGCGCCAAAGGCAAGAGTAAGAAGGAAAAGAAAGAGAAGAAGGATAAAAAAGATTGACTTTAAATTACATACACTGTGATATGTTATAAATCATAAGACGGCCCAGTCTAATTTTCTCGAAGCTGTTTTCGACTCGAACCATAGTCATCTTGCCAGAGGCTTAAACGGTCAGTACAGGTACTTTTGAATCATGCTGTTGAATTGTATGGCGTGGGAAATGAAATGTAAAAAAAATTTTACGCCCTGTCGAAAAAAATTCGACAAAATTGCAAACAGCAAACAAATTACGAAATCGTAAACATGTAGAATATCGTTTCAATTTTTTCCGTCGTTATCAGTACAGTGGACAAAGAAATCTTTTGGGCATTTCGTTTCCCAATCCGTAAATACGCAAGTAAAAAATGGCTGTACTGATCTTGCAATCACTGATTTACAACTTTATTTTTGCACGGACGTGAGTAATTTGAAGTGTTTGTCGCATTTATTCCCATCAAATCTTTGTCCCAAGATGATAATTACAACAGTGGGAAGCACTAAGTTTGGAATGCTCCGATGGTCTTTGCAAGAACCTGATCACCCAAGTGTACACCAACGAATCTTCGGCCTTCATTGTGTAAAACATACCACGTAGCATACCTATTCTCCTCAATACAATTTACTGAGTGAAAAAAATAAACGAAAATGAAATAATAAACTGGAAGACCAGGGGAGAGGAGGAGATGACGACGTTGGCTTGATCGACCGGTAAGAGGAGACGAGAGCAAGAAGATAAAAATAAATCTCTTTTCCCTACATTCGAAGACATAAAATCAATATTACGTTATTGGTAATTCTACAACTATGAAATCTACGGCGCGCCGCGGCGTTTCTGTTTTTGTCGCTTGCCGGTGCTGCAGCTAACAAGAGGAAGAAACAGCTTAAAGATGATTCTCCGCACCGACAGAACGGAGGTGGTCAACAAAATGAGATTGTTTGTGGATAACGCCGGCGCTTCTTTCAAAGGTTGCGAACATCACGGACATCATTAAACAAACAAAAATCTATCGTCATTTCATCGCCGAAGACTTAAAAGTGCATCTCAATGTAATTTCGATAAATTTAACAATTCTATTTAATTAGTTTTTTTATCATGTCGTTCGGTTCATAATTTATTCACACAATCCGAAAAGCTGGCAATATTGACCGTTATTAGGCTATAATGAGAAGACGAAAATACTCTTCCAATTAAATTTACATTCCATCCCAGTCGTTAGTGCAATATAAAATGCGACACAATTTCACATTCGTCGCCTATCCTTAACTATGCGTGGGTTTGTGCTGTTATGTCTTGTCTTGGCTGTCGTCGATGCAAGCGGTGACAAGAAGGGGTCGCTGGCGGAAATCGTCCGTAAAATACTTCTTGTGACTAAAGACGCTGGTTGGCCATACCACCAAGACGCAGTTGAATCGTATACAGAATACCTTAAGAACTTGGTAAGTTTGTTTGTAGAAGCGACTTCACTTTCTGTCAAAGCTTCAGTGAGGATAGTTTTGGAGCGCGTTTTTAACATCTTGGGAAGCGAAATGACAAAAAAAATGTTATGTCCTGAAAATGATATGAACAAAAAAATGTGAAAATTGCAAACTGTAAGACGCGTTATCATCAGTAAGCGGTAGAATGTCGCTTTAGCTTTTTTCGTCGTTGTCAGTACAGTAGACCAGCAAAACATTGCTGACATTTCGTTTCTGAATTGTGACATTTCGTCAAGAACAAATTTTTTTGGACTTTTTGTTTTTCAATCTGTGAAGAAACAAGCAATTCGTGCCATTATCTTAGCGCATGTCACTAACACTGCCAATATCGGTGTTCTTTGGTTAAAAGCAGAGATTGCCACGGTCGAAATTTCGGCTCCGGCTCTTAGCTCCCAGAGCCGGAGCCGAGGCCAAATTTGCAGATCCGGCTCCGGCTCCCATGAAAAATTTAAAAAGGTCTTCGGCTCCGAATCCCGGCTCCCATTCAAAAAAATTTTTAAAATATTTTTCCAAATAAAAAATTATTAGTGCCAGAGATCACACACCCAACGTTTTTGCAGTATGCACCACATCTTTACCAGTATTTTTTAAGCAATTTGGTTTAACAAGATTATGGAATTTTTACTTTTTTGAACGCTGAGAAGCCGGGCTCCGACTTTGGGCTCGGGAGCCGGAGCCGCACCCAAAATTACCGGCTCTGGCTCCCGGCCGAAGCCGCTCGGAGCCAAGAGCCGGCTCCGGAGCCGTGGCAATCTCTGGTTAAAACTATTAGATCCATTGTAGACAAGAAAGTTTTTATTATTGCCAGCAATCCCGCTAAGCCCCTTCTTTCAGCTGGACACTATTTCAAAAAGAGGAGGAATCGACATTGCACAGAAAATCAAAGAACAGGACAACAACGTCCTCAACATCAAAGAAAACAATCCCAGAGGCCCGGAATTCGACAAAGTTGTCAGCACAGCAAAAGAAATACTTGATAAACTGGTTCCCAAAGCCCATGCCAACGAAGAACTGGATCTTCGGACGTCCTACGCACTTCTGAAGATCTTGTCAAAGGTTCGTTTTGTTCAGAACACGGTTATTCCCGTTACGCACAAAACGGCGTACTTCCATTTGAGAGTTTCAGAACGAAGTTAACGACCGGATTCGCGGAAACCTCAAGAAGATGAACCAAAAATTTGGCCGCTTCCTTAATGAGATCATAATATACAAGGATGTTGGCAAAAAAAAACAAATTTATAGTATAATGGACGATGTTGAAAACCTCCTTGATGTGCTGAGCGGACCAAAAATGACAGAGAAACAATACCGTGAGGCTGTTAAAAAGATCGAGGAAAAACTTGGCAAGAAGAAGCAGTGAATGGGAGTAGAGTACTCGACGCCAAGGAATTCAAGAAAACTAATTTTAATTAAAGCATTGACTTTTTAATGGAATAAAATAAAATTTTGGGCAAATTTCTTGTCTTCAATGGCCAGTACAGCCACTTGTGATCGAGCTTTTACGGTTTGGGAAACAAGATGGATTCTTCTCTTGAAAAGTGGGCGGTTTTCCTGTCCATATATGTCGTTACGGACATAAAGAGCTTTATCTCTGCCGGTACTACATATAGTCCGCTCTTAAAGTCGCTGAAGCAGCCGTGAAAGGCAACCGGCTTCAACACGAATATCTTAGCCCAACTAAAACATGGTCGCGGTGGTTTCACTTTTGCAAAACCCATTCCGTTCACACCATTACATATTTCATCTGCAACCTCATGAGGTTGGAGATTATTGCCTTATTGCTGTTAGAATATTAATTTGCCGATTAAATTCACACCCATCTGCAGTTTAAAACGCGTGCGAAATGATTTGCAGTCAAGTTTCTGCAGCCATGAAGTTGCTCGTGCTTTGTCTTTGCCTTGCTGGCGTTGCTGCCAGCCCGAAGCCATCCAGCGTTGAGCCTCTACGAATTTATACCCTGCCTTTGCTTCCGCCATCTGCTCATAAAGTGCGGCTCAGCAAAGACGTGCTGAACAACTTGAAAATGCTCGCCGACGACGCTGGTGTGATATATAACATATCGGACATTGCAAGCAGCGCTAGAGAGCTCTTGAAATTGGTAAGGATCGAAAACTGGAGCTGACAATAATTTTTTCCTGAAACTAACGGTAAGCAATGAACAATCTTTTTAGGTTGCCAAGTTCAACCAAAAGAACAGTCTTCATCTCGCGTTACCGTTCAACTTATTGAGAAGTCAGATCCTCAAACTCCATGACTACAACCCAAGGGATATTGAGTATAGCGTAGCCCTCGCCGGAGCTGATATTATCTACAATGTCTTGTCGTCACAATTGAGCGAGCTGGAGCGGAACCCCTTCGACAACGCGTACTTGATCGCTCGACTCTTGGCAAAAGTACAGTGGGGTCCTGATCCAGTGGCAAAAAACGTACCATTTTGCATCCAGGAAGTATCAAAAAAATGTGGCAAAATGCTTCCCACTCCAAGTGAAAAAACTTCGTTTTGAAGGGCCCTTTCAGTCACAAAAAGAGCGGGCGCGCTTTTGAAATCGGAGTTTTTTCACTTGGAGAGGGAGGTATTTTGCAACATTTTTTGATACTTCCTGGATGCAAAATGGTACGTTTTTTGCCACTGGATCAGGTCCGCCACTGTAGGTCAAAGGTTTTTAAAAGTGACCGTTTTTTAGAACGAGATCAACGCCGTAATTCGCAGCAACTTGAAAATATTAGGCAGACATTTCGGAGCTTTTGTCAAAAGCCTCTCTTCTCTCTACGGAGTAGCTAAAAGAGGAGGTGTCCCCATCTTCGTTGAAATTGAAAACGTTCTCGACGTTCTATCTCAACCAAATGTGTCGAATGAGCAATTTAAAGATGCTGTTTTGGCCGTTCTCAAAAAACTGTTCTCCGACAAAGAAGCTGCCAAGTTGTTGAAGTCAATCGGTGAACAAAATTAGAAGGCGATCAAGGTGACAGAACGAAGAAAATGTTCTGACAATTATGAGTTGAATAAATTTTCCGGAGCAATTCCGAATAAACAGATGTTGCAACACTCGAAAAAATTGAACCAGAACTAAACCAGTGAAGCCGGCAAACAGAACTGAAGCAAAGTAAACTTCAAACAAATACGAAGCAAGATTCCACACTCGCGCTTTCCAGAGACCATCAAAAATTTTTGATCGCATAAGCTGAAAAAGTGGCACCCTACTCTCTCTCGAACTGACCGTTGAATATCTCGGCCGCGCAAAAAAGCGCATGTTATATCGCAGAAGAAAAAATTGCTCATACTACAGAGACCACGAAGAAGTATTTATAATAAGAGCAGATTGACTCAAAAACTGGACCCAGAATCACAAATTTGCAAGTAGAACCATCCCCGAAATTCCGGGACACCCAGAATCCAGAAAAATCGCCATAACGGCCGAGTATCGCTGCGCAATGAGATGAAACTTTTCATGGCTTATTCTCAAAGGCTGGCTAATATCTGTGTAAAATTTCATAACATTTCGAAAAGCCCCGTCCGAGATGTGACCAAAAAATGGGGTGGAACCAAAAACCCCAGACGCGTCGTATGGGGCTTACACAGGAAGTAGTACTTCCCTGTGAAACTAAAATAGTGATTGCTGCTCCTATTGGAGAAAAGATTTCTTCTATTTCGTTAAAAATTACGCAACTCCCCTTCGAGTAACACTGCCCAAGCTTACGGGGGCGTGGCATGAAAAATCTAATAAATGTGTCGGCAGATCGCAGTGGAAATATTACAGAGGCTTATGTATGGATATAAACCATCACATGTCATCTTCTACAGGCTAGTCTTCATACAACGAAGCACAAAAAACGATAATATTGGAGTACAATCATGTGGCCAAAATGTTCCTTTGACCTTGCTGTAAGAGTGCAATCCCATTGTAACAATATTTAAAAACTAATTAAAAATGAAATTTTCCCGCTTACAAATCGTATAAAGTGCACTCCCATTAAGGATACTATCGTTAATGGGCTTCCGGGAACACAGCAATTTTGGCAACAGAAACGTGACCATTTTTTCGATCGGCTGTTTCAAACCCATTGAATTTTAAGAAGCGGTGTACTTTGCAACATTTGTATAAAAAGAAGCCTGAAGCCTGTTGGAACAAGCATCTCGTTAATCATGGACATGATATTGCTCTTCCTTTGCGTCGCAGCTGTAAGCTGCGAGCATCTTGCCGAGTTGGCACAACTGCGGCAGCCTCTGGGGAATGAGGACAGACAGAGATTGTTGAACAAGTACAGGCTGATCAATGAGGACGCTGGTCTCAAAATCTCGACCGCGGAGGTCTTGGAGTTCACGGAAATCATGCGAAAGAGGGTAAGTCGAAAGCACAAAAGATTAGTAGCAATTCTGCAGTCGGGATCGCAAACAACCAATAAATCTGAACATCTTTATAGCGATAGTCGCCGCTATAAAGAGCCAGGGCTATAGCTCATAGTCTATTGCCCATAGTTTCCTTCAATCCCGGACATATACAGTGGCGGACCTGATCCAGTGGCAAAAAACGTATAATTTTGCATCCGAGAAGTGTCAAAAACGTGGCAAAATGCTTCATTCTCCAAGTAAAAAACTTCGTTTTGAAGGGCGCGCCCTTTCCCTAACAAAAAAAGGGCACGCTTTCCAAATCTGACTTTTTTTACTTGGAGAGGGAGGTACTTTGCCACATTTTTTGATGCTTCCTGGATGCAAAATGGTCAGGTCCCCCACTGTACTGGCAGCTGGCCATAAATCAGCCCTCCAAAAAAATCTAGTCCGCACGTAAACAATCGTTTTGTGCGAAGATTGTGTAAATGGAGGAAAAGAAGGAGCGTCAAGGAGGGAACAGAAACGTTTTTGGACAATAATTTTACGAACCCTCTTCAGAGAAAGCTCAAATTCCTAGTACAAATACCACAAGCTACAACTATAAACAGTGCCAAATTTCCTATAGTTCAATTCAGAAATTGATGTAAAATTTTTGCCATTCCTTTTCTAAAAACTCCAACCCGATTCCCACTCTAAAAACCATTGCAAATGACATCATTTCCAGCAACGTCAAGCCTCCGAAAAGCACCACCTCAACTTGGAGCCCCATATCGCTGAACTAGAACGTCTATTCCTGGCAGTTCCCGATTCCAACCCGAGAGGTCCGGAATTTAAGGAGGTGGTTGCGAAAGCTAACGATATTTTTGATGTTATCGCATCCAAAGCAAGTTCGCTTGAGCTGGTCCCATTTCACATTGACATGACCTTTTTGAAGCTGTTGGAAAAGGTGGGTAAAACTTCAAAGTTTTTTTCAATATACAACTATTATATTTTTTGACTAAAAACATGTCTTTTTACCAATCTTATGGCGACTGAATACCATCATTTTTAAAGAAAAAATGTATCCAAACTTTGTTCAATTTTTTGCAAAGTGTGAGCTAAAATTTTCACGTCCGCATTCCCAACCTTTGCTCTAAACTTATTCGAAGTTTTCACTACGTTAAAAATACACTTTTTGGGTACCCTAAAAAACTGAAACTGTCGATTTCAACTCATTTTTCAGAACGATATCACCAATTTGATTCGTGCAAATCTGAAGAAACTTGGTCGAGACTTCGACAAGACCGCCAAATACATCGCAAATGTCTACGTTCGCGGCCTGAAAAAGGGCAAGAACATGCATGAAAGCGTTGAAGCCCTGTTCAATCTGCTGAGCCAAGGAGATTTAAGCGCGGAAAGATTGGACAAAGAGATACAGAAAATCGAGGATATTCTCAACCACTAAACTGTAAAAAAAACGTCATTTCCTGCTATTTCACAACCACAAATACCCTAACTTTATCGATAAAACACTGTAATCAACATAACCAATAAAAAATATCCGTAAAAACCTCAATTAAATTATTGTTTATTGAGTTCCAAACGTAGATCAACTGGTTCAAAATTACATAAGAGCTATTAAGGGCGAGAATCAAATAATTAGAGTTTGAGGGTAACAATTCACAAAAAAAAATTCAACAAAAACGAGCTCAAGTAAAAATAAAAACAAGAGAAAAACGCCTATCGATCTCGTCGGACCTTCAATTTGATGTCGTATTCCTGATCCGCGCCAATATAAGAGTCACAAATAAAGTAGAGTTTCAAGTCGTGAGTGCCATCCCTTGATGGGATAAAGTCCAATTTCACGGCGGCCTGTTGATTCACAACCACGCGCTTGATGCATAAAAGTGGATGAGGGGATTCCGGATCCGTGTCGCCGATCACGATCCACCAGCCTTCTTCCTTTCGTTTCTGTGGCCAATATGGTGCAACTACTGGTGGGGCCATTCCCGTCCTTTCGTCCACGTTTTCTCGTTCGATTTGAACCTAAAAACATTGAACTTTATCGTTCACAAAGCCACAAAAAATGAAAATTTGACAAATTTATCCCATCCTCAAAATTTCCCAAAAAAAAATAGTCCCAAAATTTGTCAAAAAATTTCTTGGCCAAGTGCCCCAAAAAAACGCCTTCGATTTTGTCATACCTGGCCCAAATTTAGACTACAATTTCTACGACATATGTCAAGTCTTAGCTCTCCCTTGCCCTATTCAAAAATCATTAAAAGTTTAGGAAACAGAAAAAGTCGGAGTTTTCTATGCCGGTTTCAAAATTTACGACTACTGGAAGGGACATGAAATTTTCTTCTAATTTTCGGCCAAGATACAGTGACAGACCTGATCCAGTGGCAAAAAACGTGCCATTTTGCATCCGGGAAGCGTCAAAAATGTGGCAAAATGCTTCTCTCTCCAAGTGAAAAAGTTCGTTTTGAAGGGTTTCGCTCACAAAAAGAGCGAGTGCTCTTTAGAAATCGGCGTTTTTTCACTTGGAGAGGGAGGTATTTTGCCACATTTTGTGACACTTCCTGGATGCGAAATGATACGTTTTTTGCCACTGGATCAGCTCCGTCACTGTAACTTGGCCGAAAATTAAAGAAAAATTTCATGTTCCCTTCCAATAGTCGTAAATTTTGAAACCGGCAAAAAAACTCAAGACTTTTTCAGTTTCCAAAACTCTTAATGGTTTTTGCATAGGGCAACATAAAACTGCCACTGTACCTGTCCCTCAGCCCAAGACCCCAAACTTCGGCCCACAATCACATGAAAATCAAATCTTGTTCCCAAAAACACTCAACTTCCCATCCTCTTTTCTTTAAACCCTCTCTCCAATTCCACTTTTCCTCAAAACCCATTCCAAAATCCTACCGTAAACACGACCGGCTTTCCTTCCACCGGCTTTTCCGGCTCATACTCATACTCCAACACCAACGACGGATAATTATTGCAGAACTTGGCGACATCAATCAACTGGCTCTTCTCCATCTTCAACAATTCATTTCTTTGGTCGTCTTCCAATTCCTGCAGGTCTATGATCGTTTCCACATTCATTTTCTTCGCTCTTTCGATCAATTCGTTCGAGCTGTGGGGTAACTGGGTTAGATGATGTTGCCCGGCGTACACCGCTTGAGTCAGCATTTGACAAAGTTCCATGGCGTTGATGGCGCTGGTCAAGTATCCATGGGAGCCGAGGACGTCCACACAGGCCTGGATCAACCGCACGGCCTTGGGCAAGATTTGTTCCGTGTCTTTGGTCAATTCGGCGGACAGCTGGATGCGGCTGAGATGTGCGTTGAGCAGCAAATGGACCTTCACATGGGGATCGGACCATTTCTGATTCTTCTGGACGTTGGGCAAAGTCTGGGCCAACTTTCTCAACGTTGCCTCTTCCTTTTCTCGGATCGGGAGGTCCTTGAATTCGTCGGCGTGACTGACAATTTCAAGGATCGCCTTGGCCTTCATTCTCTTCTTCAGGGCCATTTGGAAGGTGTCAATTGTGGCATGGCGGATGTAGTAGTAGGCACAGATGATGCCGGGGTTCAGCGCGATCGTGTCCATATCGTCTTTGATGGCGATGCAATTCGAATTTTCGAGATCTTTGAGGGTACTTTCGACCAACTCCGAGAGGGCATCCGAGAGATGGCGATGAGTGACGCCTGAAAACATTATTTTAGACTATTTTTCTTTTCAAAAAAATATCCAAAAACGCAAGAAAAATTCTTCTCGAAATCGCAAAAAGCAAGCTTTGTCCAAAAAAAAGATTTTATCCCAAAAATCAAAAGCCCCTACACTTTTTTTCCAACCCCCAAATCTCACCTTGCAACGAATAGTAATTTGGATTCTGCGTCATTCTTCTGTACAGCAAGGTCCAAGTCAAATAATCAATGGCATCCTGCTTATTTTCAATCGTTTTTGTGACCACCTCAGCGTTGAAATGATCATGGAGATCATGATCAAGATGGCTTTCCACTGGAAGCGGTTCAAACAAAAACTTTTTGAGGAAATCCCTCTTCGACGACTGGCACATGAGGACGCACTTCGCTGAAAAGGAAAAAAAATCATATCCTTTCAAGGGTGAATCGAACTTACAATCCTGGTCTTCATTGGGTCGATTGGCCAGGCCGATCATTTGCAAAATGTCCGGAATGGGGTAATCATGTTCGGTGTGGGTTTTACCATCGTAATATTGAGTGTCCATGATGACGACGAGGTGAGAAAAGACGTTGACGCTGTAGCAGAGGGTTCTTGGGACAATGAGGACCTGAAATTGGCAAAAAAATCAGTAAAATCGTCAGCTTCGACAAAAAAAATTCTTTAAAAACAGAAAATTTTTACTCCATGTAGGATGTCAAGATCGTAAAAAACAATTTGTGTTACCTTCTACTGTCCAAACGAACCGTGTTTTACCCATAAAACCAAAAGATTTGCAAATTTTTTATTCGGCGACCTGCGCCCTAACTTAACCATCATAATGGCTTCAAAAATGTTTGAATTTCAACTTAGGACATATCAACTATTCATAAAAACCTATGAGACATAAAACCGACCAATGGGAAACCTTTAAAAACAAATCGCCAAGCTGCGCCCTACCAAATATCCAATAACCCCAAAAATTTTACCTGAATAGTTCCAGCCGAGAACAATGTTTCCAAGATCTGGACATCCTTCTTCGCCGTTCCCTCATGATAATATCCCACTCCTCTTTTGGCGGCTTCTTTAATATTTGGATCAGCAATCGCGTTCACCAAATTCTGGAAATCTTCGTCTTCCGGGTTCACATGGAGGAATCTGTCGGGTTGATTTTCAGCCTTCGCCAAAGTGAGAAGATCAAAGGCTGTTGGTCGGGCTTGTCGACGAGTTGGGACGAAGACCAGGGCCGGCTTTGGTGAGAGCTTTCCGCCGTGTTTACAGACGGCCGAGTAGAGAGGGCGGCCCATGGCGGCAAGGCGAGAGTCGGTGTGAGCCAAGTTGAAACCTAAAAATAAGTTTTCAATACATTTGTAATGGCATAATACACCTTCTTACAGTCTCTCAAGGCAAATTTATTGTGGTTCAAAACACTTAAAAAATCGAAATTTGGTCATAAAACAAAAAAAAAAGTGCCAAAAAAACTAATTTTCAACAGACAACTATATCTCCAAATCTTATAACAGACCTTACAAATGCCCCTAGACTTTTTAATCTTACATTATTTCACCTCAAACCTCTTCAAGATCACAAAAAAGCGCCCTTAAAAATCAATTTTTCATCGTAGTATATCCCAAATCCCAAAACTTCAACAAAAAATCAAATCTCACTAATCCCTCCTACCTTGAATATACAGGTCCAACGGTAATGGTCTCGCATTCGGTGGGAAATTATAATTGGCGGTCATCGAGACTCCCAGCCAATTCTGGACATCTTTTGCGTTGGCCAAGCTCGTGCTGAGTGCGATGATTCTCAGCTTCCCTGTTTCATCTTCCAACTGCCCTCCCATGTATCTCATTCGACTGCAGACCACTTCCAGAGTTGTGCCGCCGGAATATCCGACCATTTGGAGATCATCGACGATGAAGAGTTTGACGGCCATCACATTTTTGCGCTGTTTCCATCTTCTGGACATGTGGTCCCATCTCTCGGCGGTGGCAATGATAATATCGCCTTTTTGCATCAGCTTCAAGTCAATGCTGGAATCTCCGGTGAGTTGGACGACCGTTTTGTCGAGGACCGGGGCAATTCTTTCGGTCCATTCGTTGAAGACCTACAAGTGAATTTGAGGTAAAACTACAGTGAGGAACCTGATCCCGTGGCAAAAAGCGTAGCATTTTGGATTCGGGAACTATCAAAAATGTGGTAAAATGCTTCCTTCTCCAAGTGAAAAAAAACTCCGATTTCAATCACTCACAGAAAGAGCGCCTTCAAAACGAAGTTTTTTCACCTGGAGAGGGAAGCATTTTGCCACATTTTTGATACTTCCCGGATGCAAAGTGGTACGTTTTTTGCCACTGGATCATCCATAACTTTTTCCAACAAAAAATTAGAAAATAATCAACTTTTTAGGCCAACAGCCCAGCCCAAAACCAATAACATCAATTTACCCCTAAAAATCTCCCAAAACTTCCTAATAATCTTCCCACAACATCCAAAAAACACCCACAAAATCCTCATATCACCAAAAACCCGAAAAAAATCAAATCTCAACCCACCTTCTGAGCGATTTCCTCCTTCACTGTCACATAGACTGCTTTGGCCTCCGGATTGTTGTCAAAGTGTCGCAAGAGAGCGAATTCCGCGCAGACTCGCTTTCCACTTCCATTTGGAGCTCCGATAAACACATTGTCGTTGGTTTCATAGCAGGAGCGGAAAACTGGAAAAAATATTATAACTGAGATAACAAAAATTCAATTTCTAATGGCACAGCTTGTATTCTACCCATAAATTAAAACTAAAACCTTTGAACCGTCTTATACGACCTTCAACAATCAAAAAAATATTAATTATTCGACAAAATCTCCTAAAAAAATACATTTTTGGCCAAAAAAACTAATTTTTTCTCAAAAAACATAAGGTAAAGTCCCCAACGACTTTTCTCTGTCCCATCTACCTTCTACACTCTTCAAACTCCTTCATTAACCCTCCACTTTTCCTTACCTTGAGTCTGAATCGGATTGAAAACTCGAATCCCCCTTTCTCTGAAGACCGATTCGAATTTCTTGTTGTTCAATGCGCTCAAAGGCAGTGGTTGTAAGTCCAGTAATTCGGTGGGTGGTGGGTACTTCTCCGGTAAAATCATATACCGGAAACTGACCGGCATCACCGTCTCGGAGCCAAGCCATCGATCGCTGACCAGCCGGATGAAGTACAATGGCGGGAGGGGGTCAAAGACGGGTACAAACATCTTCACCACATGCTCATCTTCGTAGTACTTCTCTCTGAGGATGAAATACTCCGAATGGAGGATGACTTCGCCATTCACATCTTCCACAAAGATCCAGAAACCTTCGGCTTTTCCGTGGACCTTCTCGTCCCACTTGAAATCGGCGGTAATCGCGAGTTCCACTTGAAGAGTTGACCGTGTAATTGGCAAAACAAGGACTTGAATGTCGAGTTTCGGGATCTGACGGATCAGTTTGTACAATGGCCGGCCCAGTTTCGGAGTGCGGACCAAATCACCAAGCTGATGTTCGTTGTAATCATACAGTCGATCGAAGGGGATATTCTTCTTGTCCAGCGTTTTCACAATGTCCTTGGGGATCTTGGTGAACTGATGGAGGGGGTTTAGGCTCTGCCACTGACGCGCGTTCACCATTTTGCAGAGGGCCAGGACTTTGTGGGCGAGTTGAGCCCATCCTCGCCATAGGACAATTTCAAATAGAGCTCGGAACAGACGGCCGGCTGACTGTGAGACGAAAACCATATCACATTGAAGGCAGAATCCATCCAGTTTCAGCTGGGAAATGTAGGCCTGAAAACAAAAAAAAATAACAACATTTTTCGGAGCTTAAGCTTCGATATCTAGAAATCCAGGTCTACTCTAGACAAGTTTAAAACAAAAATTTGAGGGCCCACATTGCAATTGCATGGCTGAGGTATTCCAAAAAATCTCAAAAAATTTCAAGATCTTGCCAATTTTTCAAAACTTTTTAATCATTAAAATCCCCGAAAAAGGCAAAAAAATCAACCTCCGAATCATCTAAAAATCCCACTGACAGAGAATCATTGCAATTGCATGGCTGAGATATACCAAAAAATCTCAAAAAATGTCAAGATCTTGCCAATTTTCCAAAAATTTTTGGTCATTAAAATCCACAACAAGGCAAAAAATCAACATCCAAATCGTCTAAAAATCCCACTGACCGAGAATCTACCGATACAAAAAAATCCAACTCAAAAAAAAATCTTCATCCCCACCTACCTGAAGGAGAACATTGACCTTCGCCGACGGCTCATCCAAGCTTTCCTTGATGGGAATAGGGACATGTTCGGATAACTTTTGGAGCTCCAATTTCTCTTCTTCTCTGACATGAATGTGTTTGAACTCCGAGGACATTGAGAAAATTCTGAACAAGTCCGTTTCCGTGGCCGTTTCCTTCAGCAATTTGTTGTAAGTTTCCATTGATTCGAAGGTGCAATAAAAATGAGAGGCAATTCGTCCCAATTCCGTGGCTTGGACCAGTCCGGACTTCTTATCGTACTTGATTAGGTTGCCCTTGTCGAGCATGAGACAGGCAGTATGGACAAGATCAGCTCTCGGTTGGTCGAGGAGCTCATCCTTCCTCGCGATATCATGCGAGATTCCGTATAGGGTTGGGGAATGGATCATTCGGACATACAGATAGGTATAGCCGATCCATTCCATCGCATCGTTGACATTATTCACCGTTCCGAGGACAATTTCAGCGTTCAGCATGTCCGGAAGTTTGGGGATCATCTGGGACTCGACCGGGAGTTGTTGATTCAGCAAGCTGAGGTAGTATTGGAGCTCGGAGTTGTGGGTAATCAGGATACCCTTTCCGACCGAGTCGTATTGAGGGCGTCCGGCACGGCCCATCATCTAAAATAAAGTTCATTTTTTAAAAAGAAAACCTCAAAAACAAAATTTTTTTGTTCAAAAATTCTAATTTTCGTTCAAAAATCAACTACACCATAAAAAACCTCGCCAAAAATCTTCGAAAAAACTCCAAAAACTCCCAAAAAATCTCACCTGCATGATATCCAGAGCCCCCAGCTCGGTCCAGCATCCCTTCTCCGCATTATAAATTTGTGTTCCTTTGATCATCACAGTATGTGCGGGCAAGTTCACACCCCAAGCCAAGGTGGCAGTTGAAACCAAAACTTGAATATGTTTATCGCCAAACAAATCTTCGATCAAAGTTCTGTCGACTCTGTTCATTCCAGCGTGATGGATACCAAATCCATAGGGAAGTAGGTCCTTCAAGTCCTGATTTTTCACATTCTCCGCTTCCGTTCTGAGGACTTCCATGGTCGAAGATCCTTCTTTGATGAAAGCGGAGAGGGTGTCTCGCTCAAGGCACGCATCTCTGAGGGCTTTCGCTGTTTTGGCGGTCTCTTTTCGGGAGTGGACAAAGACCAGAACCTAAAAAGAAGGCCAAAATAAAAATTTTTGAGGCATTAAAAATGTCATGTATAATATATTATTAAAATTTCAAACATATTAAAAAATGCCTTCAAATTATTTAATATAAAACATCCTAAAATTCAATCAACAATCAAAATCACTTCTATAATGTACCTTTTTTAAACAAAACTTAAAATTCGATTTTCACCATGTATAATATAATTTTTGTCTCCGAAACATACAGAAAAAATCCCTAATAATCTCCTGCTTCAACTCTCAAACTTAAAACTAAATCTCAAACCAAAAAAACCTCAAATTCCACCTCTTCACTACCTACTATATCAAAAATCCCCGTTCTTACCTGACTTTTTCCAGCATTTTCCATAATTTTATCGTAGACAACCTCATTCATGGCCTGATATCTCTTCAAAGCCTTCTTCTCCGTGATTCCAATGTATTCCTGTTCCAATGGGACGGGTCTGAACGAGTTGTTGAAGTAAAATAACCCATCATCTTTGACTCTCAAAAACGCCGCCACATCTCGATAATTCGGCAGCGTAGCCGACAATCCGACCAATCGGCAGGATTCCTGAGTCTGTTCGCTGTTTCTGATCGTTCTGGCGACAATTGCTTCCAAAACCGGGCCTCTGTCGTCATGGAGAAGATGAATTTCATCGATGATGATGACTCTGACCAGCTGGTTATAAGCTCTTTCTCCGCCCTTTCTGGTGACAATATCATACTTTTCCGGGGTGCAGACAATGACTTGCGTCTGCATGAACTGCTCTTTCGACATTTGGGCGTCTCCAGTCATTTCTCCAACCTAAAATTCAAAAAATAAACGAAAAAAAGCTATTCTTACCTCTAATCCGTAGGGTTCTAGGCGTTTTTTGAAGGATCCGACCATTTCTTGTACCAGGGATCTCATTGGGGCCACGTAGATGCATTTAAACTCGTCTTTTTTGACCGATCCATCCGAATTTAGATGTTTAGAGAGCTCGCGGAGGATGCACATGACCGCAACATTGGTCTTACCGGCTCCCTAAAAATTTTACAGACTATAAAAAAGAAAGTCAATAATGTTTTCTGCAGGTTATCTAGGCCATAATTTATACCAAAACGACAAAAAAATTTGGAAAAGAATCGTTCAAACATAAATATTAAGTCGTCCAGAAAGTTCGCTCGTTTTTTCATTGCTTTGTTTTACAAGGATTGTTGGTTCTGTGGCAAATGGAATATATTTATTTGATACAGCTTTTTCACCTGTACAAAACTGGCTGTATCAAATAAATATATACCCTTTGCCAAACAACCAACAACCCTCGTAAAACAAAGCGATGAAAAAAACGAACGAACTTTCTGGACGACCAAATATTTTTATAAAATCCCAAAAAAAAGTGCACTTTTGCTACATTCCACTTTACAAAATATTCGAAATTAACCACCCATCTTACCGTTGGAGCGCAGATCAACAAGTTATCATCACTTTTCAGGGCTTTTTTGCTGATTCTGGACTGAATTCTGTTCAAAGATTGGAATCCTTTGAAGCCAGGCTGTGCCCATTTGGGCAGCTCTTCAATTGGGATGAGTTTTTCGTTTTCATCAAAAGGCTCGGGCTTCAGTGCAGGGACATAGACAACTTCATAGCTTTTCTTCTGTTTTCGGTATGATCCATCCGGCAAGATGCACTTCTTGTTGCTCATGAAGTGGGATCCCTGTGTGAAGGCCATGTCTTCCAGGTCGAGGACATTCCTGGACTGCACCCAACTCGTGCTTTGGGCGGCTTCGGCTTCGCGGCGCTTCTGGGCTTTGGCTTCTTTTCGGTCTCTTTCGGTCTGAAAATGAGGGAAAATGATCAAAACACCGTCAAAAAACAATATTTTCTTTCCACCGAAATGAAATCCTCCAATAGCTCTCTAAAACTAAAAAAAAAACATCAATCTCCTTACCTGAGCCACATCTCCAGCGCCTCCTTCACCACGGAGACTTCTCAGAATTCCCGATAAATCTGGACTTGAGCTCATTTGTTCTTCAATTTGCTTTCTTTCGGCTTCTGGAGCCTGCTTCAGCCTTGTGCACCAATAAATCATGGTTCGATTTTCTCGGAACAACTTGATCACATCGAAATTCTGATATTCCAACGATCTAACCAAAGCATTTTCAACGGCTCGATCGTCTTTAGACTCCTGAAAAACATGACATTTTACTTCAAAATTTGTAAATCCCAACTCAATTCTCAAAAAAACTGAAAAAAAAATAATATTGAGGTAGGTTTCAAACTTACCCCAAGAATCCTCAAGATCTCCTGAGCCTTCTCTTGGGCCTTCTCTGGCTCAAAAATCTTGCTCATGGCTCTCTGAATCCAATGGGCATCGATATCCGTGGGTTTGAGAACACTCTTTGTATCACTGTAAGCTGCTCGTTCTCCAGTATCTCCAGCTTGCAGGGTTCCATCAAAGACTGCTTCAACTCCATTCTCTTCGTCCTCATCCGACTCATCTTCCTTGACTTCTCTGGCCATTTCATCTTGATCTTCTTCTTCATCATCATCAAATCTGACCGGCACTCCTTGCGCTTCGTCGATTTCTTCGGCCTGGAAGACATTAATGTTTCCATAAGTTATAAATTATATTTTGGCATGAAAAATCATGGTATTTTACCTAAAACTCAAAAAAAAGTAAAAATCTTACTTCTCCTTCATCCTCATTCAAGTTCAGATCAAAATCGGTAATTCTCTTGGAAAGGTTAACCAAAACTGCATATCGCTCTTCAGGCAATTTGCCAACAAGTTCTTCGACTTCTCTTCGGCGATCTTTCTCTCTGACGGCTTCACTTTTGAGGACTTTCAATACTTCTTCGGCAGCTCCAATCAAGATGTCTCGAGGCTGAAAAAAGGCATCTTACAAACTAAATCAACGAAAAATTCAATATGAAGCATTCAGCTGAATAAAGGAATTCAGAATTTCTCTTAACCAAAACTTTATCCTGGTATTGCTCTAGTGTATCAAAATCGGCTTATTTGATGAAACTTCCTAAATACTCTCAAGCGCAATATAAAACTAGCTCACGTTGTCTCCAAGAGCATCCTGGACGAAGTTTAGGACCATTTCAAAGCTCTGTCTTGTCTCTTGTGTCCTTGGTTTATAGTCACCAGTGAAATCTCCGACATCAACGACTGTTAATTTGGCCTTCTTCTTGGCTGGTCCCCCAGCTCCAGGTTTTCTAAAAATAAATAAAATCGACATCAAATTGCATGAAGAAGGTCTATAAAAATTCAATTGATAAGAGGAGGTACAGGTCACCACGTATTTTACCTAAAAACCAACAAAAATAATAAAACACTCACTTCACTTTCTTCGCTTCCTTTGGAGCATCAGTGCGTTGGAAACGATCTCCCATCTTCATCCTAGCCAAGGAATCCCTGTTCAAGGGCATCACCTCACCGGTAGGCTCATCTCGACTTCGCCGATCCGTGTAGTTGTAATCGACTTGAAGTACAAGATTGCTGTTCTAAAGCAACAACAAGTACAATATAAAAATCTCATTTTTTGGAAACAAGGGATACATTGCAGAGTTATAAATTCTTCTAGATTCCTATCAACCCAAAAAGAAGCCAACTTACCGCCCGGTACTCATACTGCTGCTGACGAGCTAATTCGTCAGCCATGGTTAATATCAACTGTAATTATCAATGAGATCAACAATTTTCACAATGGAATTCGCCAAAGTTCACGGTAAAAACTCGGAAACAAGCCACAGAAAGTTTTCCGCCAGTTTTTGCGAAATGCTGGCATTCTGTTCCACTCCGGTTTGTTTTCGTGGTAAGACGCAGAAAATTAGACAATGTGAGAAAAGTTTCGGCCGAAAATCGACGAAAAATTGGCACAACAAGCTGAACATGGATAAAATGTTGAAGGACCATTCGTCTAAGCAAGCTGTTCGAAAGGAAATGCAGGGTAAGTTCATTTATATTTTTTGATGCAAGGTTTTAATGGAATATCAAATTTTTTGTTGGTTTTGATGGATTTCTTTCAGAAAAAAGAAAATCAGAAGCTGTTGTAAGTGCTCAGGGATTCACACACACAATTGTTGACCACTTGAACGACAAGTAAGTGGTTTTTCGGACTGTTTTCTTTAATTTTTAGGTATTTATTTGATTTTGATACCTAAAACCTGAGAAGCCAACTCTCTCCGGTTTGAAATTGACGTGCTCTTCCTTACAGAGTAGCCAGAGCCTATCATAATCAAAAACGACTAGATGTGGAGGCAAAGAAACTGCAGAACAATTCCGAAAGCCTTCAAAAGATTGCGGCTGAATGGATTGAAAATATCGACAATTTCTCCTATTCCTTAAAGGTTCTTGGCAATGTGGAAACGTTTGCCAGAGCAATTGAGAAGGAGTGCACAATAATTGCGAAGACATTGGAGGAGACGCATAGAGGTAAAGAGGAAATTCCCGATTAGCTGCAACTACCTAGGACAATATCTGTAAATAACTGCTTAATAAACGCTAAGCTTTATAAAACACTCGTATACCTGTCCGAACTCATTTTTTCGATTAACACGCTTTAAACTAACCGTAAATTTTATCTTCATGTTGAAATTGTTATAAAATTAGTTACAAAATTCATATTTTACAGAGAAAGTCGGTAATCTGGAATAACAATGAACCCGATTCCTACTGAGACCTTTGGACATTCGTCTCCGACTGATTATGTGGCGAGATTCTCGAGTTCGGCCGTCAATTTTTCAATTTCATCGGTTATAACGGGTCTTCTCTCAATCTTTTCCAATTGAGTTTTCTCCGGATTCTTCAGCTCACCAGTGTCAATTCGCTTCTGTAAATAATTGTAAATTAATTTTAGAATAAATACATCAAAACGAAACGGAATTTTTTTCAGTTTCTAATAGAGAAATGGGAGAAAAACTTCTCCAAATGGCGTAAAAAACTCCTCCGAAAAGTAAAAGCTCTTCGTCTCTCTTGAAACCGCGGCTCAGTGGTCTAGTGGTATGATTCTCGCTTTGGGTGCGAGAGGCCCCGGTTTCGATCACCGGCTGAGCCCAAAATTTTTCTTTTTTGGAAAAAACTCGTTTTTTGACAAAATTAAAATAAAACTTTAAAAAATAAACAGTTTTAACGCTTTGCATCGCATTTTCAACTCTAAACCTCACCTGAATCTTATCGATATCATCCAATTTCTTCTTCAAACCATGAATTTTCTTCTGAATGTGGTCGCTTTGGGTAACTGGAACATTTTTTGATTCCACCGCTGCTACCGGCATCTCAGCCCGTTTCTTTTTCTCGTCTGCGACCTTCTTGGCTTCTTTTTGAAGTTCTTTGGGAGACCAACCAACTGGGAACTTTGGTTTCGACGCTCGATCTTCAGCTTCTCTTTGAGCTCGACATTGAAATCTCGGCCGTTCATCCGCAGGAATGTAGCCTTCTTTTACCTTCAACGGTTTTCTCCATGTACCATCTGGCCTTTGGCTAGCTGGGATATAAGTTTCTCCTGGAAATTACGGGAAAGTTAACTCTTATTTGCGAAAATCCGTATTCTTCATCACGTCTGATTGGTCAAGCTGCGATTTACCAAAAATTTAAATCCTAAAAGCCAAAGCACTAAAATCAAAACACTTACCATTCGACGTTTTCACCCTTCGATCGCCTCCAGCTGCTCCGGACATTGTTTTAAATTAGATTTTCACCTTACTTTAGGTAAAACAGATAAAAAATTTGAAAAAAGTGATAGGAAATTGTAATAAAGTGTAATAAAAATATTGGAAGGTTAAAAAAGTCCCAGTTGACCAGTTCTAGTTGTTTCACAGTGCAAATACGAGGATTTTGCGAATTATGATAGCCGCCAAGCTGCGCCCGCACTTCCGTGAAGTGCGGCGACATTTTATACGCTGCATGCGAAAACATGCAATTCCGCTGTAAAAAGAGTTTACTTGGAGTAGATTGGGGTTCAAAGAGATTAAAATGGAGTATATAAAAATTTTTTATTAGCTTCGGTAACGGTAAAATAGATATTGGATAATGTTTTAGTCATCATTATTAATACAGGGGTATCAATTTTGTGGACCGATTTGAAATGGCTATAACTTCTTTAATGTTGGCCAAATTTTAAAATTCTTTTTTTTTTCCCTGAATCCTCAGACGTCCCCATTTATGAATTTACAATTCATGCATAAAAAAGTGTCCGTCAAGAGTTATCAAAAATTTTCGCCCACTCTGAACCCAAGATTCGAGTTCATTCTAGTTTTAACTGACTCACTGACCGGTCGACAATTCGTCGCTCTCTTTGCCCGTCCGGTCGGTCATGGGGAACAAAGGAAGTAAGGTGCCGGCGAAAGGCCCCGGCGCGCGAGACAAGGCGAGTACCGCCAAACGGAAGCAGCACATGAGCAAGAATCAAGCGCTGAAGAATGCCAGTAGACAGGTAAGTTGGCTAATCCGGAAAATCAATGTCATTTACTAGCTGTTTCAAGTTTAAAGCCGATTTTTTTCAGCTCAGTTGCATGTCCCGAGACAAGCGCACCAAACGCGAAAAGGAGATGAAAGAGGATGAGAGGGCCGGCGATGCGGAGAAGGGCCATGAACTCGCCGAACACTTGCGCCAAATCACCCCATTCAACGGTCGCTGGTCCGTCTCCAAGACCATTAACGAGGGTACTTACGGTGTTGTTTTTGACGCATTCGATGAGAAAACCAAGGTCCAGGGAGTCATCAAAGTGGCCAAGTCAATGTCCGCTGGCAATCAGACCACCGAATGGGAGAGTTTTCTGTTGGAGAGAATCTTTAGAGAGGTAAGGGGATGTTTTATAGTGGAGTCGATTTTTTTCTGAATTTTTGCAAATTTTTGTTTGTTGTGATGCACTGTGCAAAAAATGCAAAATCTTTTTTTTTTCCATACCGCACTGTGCGAAAAAAGTTTTCTTCGATTTTGCAGGCAGTAAATTTTTTTTAAAACCTTTTCGGAAAGTCGCTGGAGCGATTTCGGCGACATGCACGATGCAAAAAAAAGTCAGGGTGCGAGCGACAGCCGAAAAAAAGCCGATTGCACGGTGCGAAAGACACGAATTTGCACAGTGCAAAGTGAAAATTTGTTTTCGCACGGTGCATGTCGCGAAAATCACTCCAGCGACCTTGCGAACGGATGAAGTACCGCACTGCGCGAATTTTTTTACTTCATTTCGCACTGTGCAAAAGATTTTTTTCTCCAGCTTGCACCGTGCAAAGGAAGTTTTAAAGCGCACTGTGCAAAAAACTGCGCACTGTGCAAAAATTTTTTTATCAAGCTTGCACTGTGCAACAAAATAATGTTGTCAGAATCCGGCTAATGTAAGCTTTTTGTGCACGGCAAAAAACGTAATTTTTGTCTTCCGCACAACACTTTTAGCGACTCAATTTAGTATGAATTTTACTGCTTGATAAAAAAAAATTACTGTTTTTTTCCAATTTCAGGACAATGATGCGTCTATCGCTAGAATTCTGGACCGGGGAATGTTGGCGGATCAGGACGGAAATGGAATGGAGTTTGTGGTATTGGAAAAGGCGCAAATCTTGATCAGAGAGTGGTTGGACTCAGCCGTAAACAAGCAGTTGGTGGTGCTGGATGTGAGTTTTTTTGGAACGGATGGCTTTTAAATATGTAAAAATATTGAAAATTTAGTAACTTCATTTCAAAAATTGATCCTGAAGATTTTAATGCGAAAAAATATATATTTTTTTTTGGCAGATGTTGATCCAGAAATCATGATGATTTTTACAAAATGCGAGCTAAATATTTTAGATGCCTTAGAAAATCGTAGGCTACATTTTGTAACAAGTTTCATCGAATGGCCACACTTACAGTCCCGGACCTGATCCAGTGACAGAAAACATGGCATTTTGCATCCGGGAAGTATCAAAAATGTCGCAAAATACCTCCCTCTCCAAGTGAAAAAGATCTCCGATTTCAACAGCACGCCCTTCAAAACGAAGTCATTTTAGTTGGAAAGGGAGGCATTTTGCTACATTTTCGATACTTCCCGGCTGCAAAATGGCACGCTTTTTGCCACTGGATCAGGTCCGCCACTGTGAACGGCAATTTTCTGGATTTTTTGGGCGAAATTGCGGCTATATTCGGCCGTTCTTCAAAAATTTAAAAAAAAATCCGTCATGATGACATGTTTTATTTTGGTCTTTTGATTGACAAAATATTTTTTTCGAGTGATTATAGGCGATTTTGAGATCTTTTTGGGGAATTTTTGCGTTTTTCGATGACCATTTTCAGCCAGATCCACGATTTTAATTTATTTTTTTTAACTATTTTCAATCCAAAATCTGGCCTAGAACCATATAAAAAGCCAAGATTTTTTCAGCCTGTACTTTCATTTCAGGTTGCCATCCAAATGCTGAAAGGCATCGCGGACTTGCACTATCTCGGCCTCTTGCATCGTGATTTGAAGCCGGACAATATGGGAATTTACTCGAAGGAGACGCCCGTCTGTCTTCTGTTTGACCTGGGCATGGCGCGCATGTACACGGACGGAGTGGGCGGGAATCGCGCACCCCGCACGGTGGTCCCGTTCCGTGGGACCCCGGAATGGGCGAGTGGTCATGCGGCGAAGGGAAGAGAGCAGTCGCGATTTGACGACTTGATCGCTTGGCTCTATGTGACTGTGGAGTTGATGGACCCGAACTCGGAGACCAACCAGCCGTTGCCTTGGACTTATCGATTCCAGCAAAAGGTGAGGATTTGTTGGGTATGCGGTGACAGGCCTGATCCAGTGGCAGAAAACGTGCCGTTTTGCATCCGGGAAGTATTAAAAATGTAGCAAAATACTTCCATTTCCAAGTGAAAAGACTCCGATTTCAAAAGCGCCCTTCAAAATGGAATTTTTTTAGTTGAAGATGGAGACATTTTGCTACATTTTTTGATGCTTCCGGGGTGCGAAATAGTACGTTTTTTGCCACCGGATCAGGTCCGCCACTGAACACGGCAACTTTATAGATTTTTTGGACGAAATTGGGCTTACGTTAGTATATATTGGATAAGTCTTCAAAATTTCTAAAAACTCCGTCACGGTGACTTTTTTTTAAATTTTTTGCTTGACGAAAAAAAAGTTTTTTCAGTGGTTATACGCGATTTTGAGATGGTTTTTCTGGCAAATTTTGCTTTTTTCATTGACCATTTTCAGCCAGTAGCCATCTTGAAGAGCAATTACGCCCCAGCCCGTCTGCTCCTCCGCTATTGCCCATTGCCATTCTACGCCATCTATTCGTATCTGATGTCGGCCAACCGTCTGAAGCCGCCAGATTACGCGTTCATCGCGGACCGAATCGTCGAATCCAAGCAGATTGTGAAGGATAAGCCGCCACCCCCGCCTCGGTTCCCGACTGCGGCTGCGGTGAAAACGGAGGTGCCCCAGGCTTAAAGCCGCGAAATCAGAGACTTTTTATGGGTTTTTAGCTTTTGGAAATAAATACTGGAGACTGGCCGTAATTATGTTCAATTAACTTATTTTTAATTAATTCAATCGAAAATTACACCATTTATTATTTACCGTAAGTATCACTGAAGTAAAAAGTTTACATTACAAGCCAAGAAATCAATAGAATCATTGAAATTCCCATCAAAAAATTGATGGATTCCCGACGGCTTCCATTACAAGTCCCACCCTCGCAAACGCACTGTGTTCCCTCGTTTTTGAACGATATCTGGGCTCCAAGGAAGTCGATGTCGTGCTGATCCTCGAACGTGTAGCAATAATCCGCGTTCAATGGACGGATCCCGCTGCAGCCGCGGATCTCGTAACGGCGGCCTGGAGTGGTTGATTATTTTTAAGGTAGAAGTTCCTTATTCTGGCCACAACTTATAACTTTGCGGAAACTGGACAGAATTAGCCTAAACTTGGCGGGCAGGCTCGATTCATCTTTGACAGTGGATTTAGTTAGTGAGGTACCTTCTTTTTTTACGACCACCCCACCTTGCCCTTCAAAAACGGCTGCAGCTTGCGATTTTACATTTTATACGATGAGACCTGTCCAGAACTAAACTTATTGCCTCCGTATAGAACTAATGAGTTGTCATAGCCTTTGTAGGTACCCTTAAAACTATCGAGCTTTCATAGTAATTCAGCGCCATCTCAGTCGAAGCCTTTCTTCGTTACCTTAGCTCCCAAGCTAGGGCGCAGTTCGCAGAGTACCTTTGTTGTGGCCAGAATAAGGAACTTTTTCCATTTTTAACACAATGTTATAGATAGTTTGCGTGGGCCGCAGTAAAATGACTTCCTTACCATTCAGCGATCCAATATTTTTAGTGCAGTATGCACCGCTACAATAGTCGCGAGTGTCCCACCAGCAATGCCCATAGCCGTCATAATATTTGCACTCCACACAGCGCACATCTTGAATTCAAGTATTATACTTATCACCTCGACGAAGACAAAACTACAACTCCCAACTTACTATCCTTCCGTTGACAGGTTATCACCCCATTTGCTTGTCCCCAAACCTCCTGAGTCGCGTGTTCTCGTGTAATGAAATGGTTACAATCATCAGTCGTGCATATCGAATACCCGACATATGGGGACTCGATGTGCTTCTTCTGGACGTAAACCGATTTCGGAGACTTGGCATAGTTGCAGGACGGGGTTAGAGCAGAACGGAGATCTTCGTAGCCATCGATAAATTGCTCCAGACATCCCCGAACAAATGCATATTGGTCGGCTGAAAAGGTCGAGGAACGCTAGAGACCTTGTGAACGTTTCATCCGCAAATCGTTTTGGCACAATCAGCAAGTAAGAATTTGAGGTTTTCAAAAATCATTCCGACAACACGGAATGATTCTTACGTTTGTGATTCTGATTCCCGACCGCTAATATCCGACATATTCCTTTGCGAAAAATACAGGGTGACAAATAAAAAATGCAACTTTTTTCATGGGTCCTGCCGCAAAAACTTTTAAGTGTAGAAAAATATGTTTCATACCATTAAATTATCCGTGTTTTTCTGTCCTAATCGTTTTATTTTCATGCCCATATCGATTGATTATCGTCTTTGTTTTGAGTGTCAAACAGAGGGACCCCGGCTTTACACCTTAAAGAATCTATGCCCAAAAAACTCTATGCCGAAACAGACCTCCGTGACACTAAGCCTGCAATCACGAATAACCTTTGTTATGCTTTGCCATACTTTTTGCAGATGCAACATTATTTCATTTTCGGACTTACAAATCGCAAAAGCGCCTTCAAAACAGCCAATATTCGTCTCACATTTCCCTGTACTCGACGAATCTTGATCGCAATGCTCGTCGAAGAAGGCCGTCAGATTTCCATCCGGCCGAGTTGGCAATCCCGTCGTAGCCCACTCCTCGGCTAGCACTGGGGCCGCGCATGAGCGACAAGAATACCCGTTGATTTCGCGGATACAGTAAAGAATAATCACAAATATTAGACAAATTTGCATATTTCTTCTTTCCGAAATGAAGCGACGAAAAATGATGACTTGAAATTGGGTCGACCAAAGTTTACGACCACCTTGACTCACTGCCCAAACGAGCCGAAATGTGGGCAGTCATGAAGTCCAAGGGTGTTTTTTATGATTTCTAAACAATGCCAGAGGCAGTATGACGTAGTTTTGCGGGTTTATGGGCATGCAAATTTTTTTAAAACGTCTTGAAATTCAAAAGATTTTTTGTAAAAAGAAAGAAAAAATTCATACAAAACTTTCAAAAAATCTTGTCGTATAACGAATAAAACGCTTCCAATCTCCACAAATACTCCTTTATTTAGCGTTATATACAATTACCAACAAATAATGCGCTTCAAAAGTAATCCCTTTGCATTTTTACATCATCTGCAACAAGGCTAAAAAGGCCGCTGATTCACCGCAAATTGAGTGCTCCATGGGGCAACAAAGTTTTGAGGCTGTGCGACCGGTCGATTCCACGGGCCAAAGTTGCCACTAAACCCTTGAGTAGTCGGACCAAAGTTCCCAGTAAACCCTTGCGTTGCTTGCCGCTGATCCGTGCAATACCTTCGATATTTATCGCAGCCATCCCGGACAACCGGCATCTGCATTGCCGTCGGGTTTTGGCAATAGTTCGTGGCGAATCCGCGGTATTGCGCGCAGATCTGCTGAGCGAATGGGTTTTGCGCGCCTTGCGCTACAATATCCTCGCTCGTCTGAGGCGGAGGATCCGTGGGAACGACCGGCTTGTCAGGCAATGGAACATGACATCGCTCCGAGTAGACGGGACAGAAGATTGCAGCGCGTTCGCCGAATCTGAAAGGATCCGGGCACACGTAGAGGAATCGGCGTTTGTATTCGGCGCAGAAGTCCGTGTAGTCCTTGGCCGCTTCTACCGCCGATGAGGGTCTCTTTGTGGACTTTGTTGCCTTAGGAGCCCTTGTTGAGCGCTTTGAGGTGTCCGAAGAGGATTGGTCCACTTTTCCGGAGGCTGAAAAAAATTGGATAAAATATGGGATACGGTGGGACAAAGGAGAATTAGTCGAAATTTGGATTAAAAATACCAATTTTGATGGAGAAAACAAAATTTGGAAACACGGCGTAGTAGAATTTCTCCTCAAAATTACCTTTTCGATCATCCTCTGGAGCCTCAGTAGTAGCTGTCGTGCTTTTCTTCGCGGGCCTCTTTGTCTTTCGTTTCTTCACTTTCTTCGTTCTTTTCGAGCTTGTGTCATCGTTTAAGCCGAATTCTTCCAGCCCTTCACGTGTGCAAATATTCTCGTAGGCCGCACAAAACTCATCGCGTTTTTTCGTCTTGCCCGTGCAACTCATATAATACTCCTTTCGCAACAGGTGGCACGCTCTCTAAAATTTTAAAAAATCAAAAATGATGTCAATCTTTAGCTCCAAAAATTAGCGTACTTGATCCTTCGAATCATCGTTATTCATTGCGACCATGTCATTGTCCTCTGTATTGTCGCAGAATGGCAGATTTGGGTTGATGTCACAGTTGGCTCTCTGTTGCTTTGGAAGCGATGAGATCGAGGTTATAGTCAGCAGACAACATATTACTGAAAATTTTTCAAAATACGAGTGAGCTTTGAAAAGAATTCATAGGTTTACCCAGTTTTTTAGCGGAACCTCGACTTTTCTAGCTGGCTAACTGAGGATAGACCCTCATGGAAGATATGGTCTGGCCCCTGCGGACAAATGACGGAAAGTTTGCGCAGCCTCAGGTCTTCCACCAGGCCCAGCTAACACGATTCGGGCAAGCGCGGCCTTATACGATATCTGCCATGGCGGTCTTCAAAAATTTTCGCTGTAGAGGAGTAGGACAGGATATTTGCGTTTCCTCAGGCCTACGCGTATTGCTATATAAATTTGCGTCAAACTGGCGGACCGCCATTCTAGAGGGTGTCGGCTTCATGCCGACTCTCTTCGCCGATACTCCGAGGTCCTGGAGACAAATAATTTTGACTTCAAAATTCCGGACCTCAATAAAATAAGGTGTAAAACTTTTCCCGAGAAAATCATGATCCTACCAGATAAATTTTAAAATTTATTGAAAAAACGCATCTTGCCTAGGACACCCTCCTCAATTTGCTTAGTTTCTCTTAAAACAGACTGCCGAATGTCTCGGCTTGCTTAGAGAAAGCAAGCAAGAGTCTTTAGAGAAATATAGTATGTGCGGGCTATTAAAGTATCTTCGCAAAATTTCAATATGACACTCAGGTACCCTCTCAAAATTTCTATTTTCGTTCAGCACGAGTAAAAAGATAGACAAAACCAAAAAAATCATGACTTACCCAGCCGGATCATCTGGGATGACACTTCTGTTCAATTTTCCTCCTTTCCTTGCTTTCTTTGCCCCTCTTCGCCTTCCTCAGATTACAAACGATTCTTTTTCGGGTACGCGAAAACACTTGACTGTCTGTTTATTGGGGTTACTGCGCCTTTGTGAAACTGAGAGCATAATTGTGGAGTCAATTATGATTGTGTTCGACTTTCCATTTATTAATAATCGGGGAAGCGCGAGATTTGGGCGACGAAAAAGAGGGGAAGAATGGTTACGAAAGAGTTTTTCCCTTGGGGTTTTGTACTAATTGGAGGGCAAATCGTTGGATGGTACGGAGGGAAATGAGTCATAAACACGATTTATGTGCATTACTGTATGGTTTATTGCGGCTGCTGCGCAGAGTTGCAAGAGAAAAAAGTTTCTTATTATACTTTACAATTTTCTTCAAATTTTACGTGTATACTCTAAACGGCCTCTAAATTAATCCGTAAAATAATTTAGCTCGAAATTTAAGAGATAGTCAGCGATTTTTTTGCGAGAGAGCGCACGAAACGAAGAGAGTTGGCTAGACAAAAAAAAAACTTTTTTGGCAAAAAACCTTTCGAATTCCGTTCAAAAAAAATTGATCTTTTACAGAGTGTTGAGACATCGTCGTTACAATATCGGTAAAATTTTGATGGCTGGGTTACTGTAACGTAGCAAAATCTTGGTCTGAAATTAAAATTTGTATAATTTGATATACGTTTTTCACAGATTTGTGTGCCAAACTCGAAAGAAATCAGAACAAATTTCACCATCAAAACCAACTAAAATAATGCCGGCAATTTCAAGGCAAAGAACATTTATTCAGTATTTGATTTAAAAAATTCCAACTAAACAACTATCTGTACTATCAAAATAACTCTTTAACAATGTGAATTGATCTATGAGAACATCATTAAGACTGCTGAGATCATGAAAAACCTGAGAGTGAAACGCACTACTGCTCCATTGGGGTCAGCTGCTGTACCAGTAATTTGAGGGCTTCGTTTTCCTTGGTGAGTTCGGCAATTGTTCGATTCTTCTCTTCCACGATATCTTTGAGGGTCTCGCATTGCTCGTTGAGATTTGAGATAACCAACGAAGAGGCAAAGTCGCTGAAATTGAAAGACATTATACTTGACATTCAAATTGGGGTAGATGCGAAAAAAGAGGTTGGTGTGGAATTTTTTGGATATTATATAGTATAAATATTATCGTCATGGCACAGTACGCATCAAACCGCTCTTTTTGAGGCCAAAAATACTGTTCTAGTCCAACTGGCCGCTGAGATACAAAAAATCAAAATTTTAGTCTTCTGGTGTAACATAAAATCAGAATTTTATTGCGAATCACTCACAAGAATAAAATTAGGCACTAGTAATGCTTCAAAAAATATTTACAGACCACTTTCAGTCGACAAAAATTTAAATACAAGCAAAATTTAGACAAAAAACATCAATTCTTGGTCATGGATAATATAATTTTAAGCCTATTACTCAAAAATCTTCCAACTTATTCAATTAGATCCCCATAAATAGAAGAAACATACCTTATCGCTTCCTGTGGACTTTTTTCCTTCATCATGTCGAATAAATTGAACGGCCGGTTCTCGTTCTCATCCGCCTCCTCATTTTGCAAAGCCTGGCATACGAACTTGGCAAAGCTCAAATCGCCCTCATCCTCCTCGGAATTCCTCTCACTGTTCGCCAGCCCAGAATCCGATCTAATGGAGATGTCCATCGAGCTTTCCGCATAACTTATTCCCGATTCGGCGGCGCTTTTGTCCAGCTCGTCGATGGCGAAGAAGATCTCCTTGTGTTTGGCTTGCAGGTGCTTTTTCAGGTTCGAGCAGCCCGGCCCAACCACGTGCAGATTGCAATGCCGACAGCGGAACTTTTTGGTGTGGGAGATCGGCTCGAAATGGGGCCACGCAGCCGAAACCTTTTTCCGTCCTCGAACCATTCTGAAGCTTGTGGGAGAGCGGCTGAAATTAGGTAAAAAAAGGCTATAAATTTCAAGATTTGTAGCGAAGACGCGGAAAATACTGAACTAATATAAGAACAAGTTAATAATAATCAGTTTAGAGCTCAAAAAAATAATTGTTTTGCAGGAAAACCTGCCAAATTTTGCGATCGGACATTATACGTTGTCCTAAAAGTCTCTACAACAAAATCACGAAATTCGAAAGGTTCTCCAACAAAAAAATGAGCATTTCTCATATCAATAGAAAGAGGAGCAATTAAGCTAGCCGAAAATATCAAAGTTAGTCTGTTTTCGAGCCGTCTTATCAGAAATATACCATTCGGAACATTGAAAATACAGGGTGGGGCATCTTTGTGGCCCGATTTGAATTGGCTATAACTTCTTTAGTTTTTGGCCAAATTTTAAAATTCTTTTTTTCCCTGCATCGTCAGCCAACCCCATTTTGTTTGATACCAAATATGTTATACTTACAAGGGAAGTACCCGAAGTGCGACGCTCAGATTTTTATAAAAATTGGCATAGATGGAGATTAGAATTTTCTTATTCGATTGCGAACATCCTAGCTCGCGCTTTGCAGAATCCGCCGAGAAAGAAGGGCCGGAATATCGAAAAAAATCTTCAAATGCCGACGAATTTCCCTGAAAATTCTCTTGATCTTGGCATTTCGTTCCAGGAGAAAAATATTTTTTCTCGCAAGAAATTTTTTCTTGATAATGTTCAAGACTATTTTGTTGCTTTTATGTGGAATATTGTGTGTTATTTTCACTTTTTTATACTCAGGACATGATTCTAGCGCTATTAATTGGATTGTCGCCATCCGAGGGGTAAAATGTTTCGTCCTTTGACGAATTTATACAGTTTTTCCTCTGCTGATGGGCAAACCACTCTAATAGTTGCTTTAAATTTGTTTAGGAGACATGCAAACGTTCTACGGTCGTGTATGAGCATTATCTTAAGGTAAGTGTTACAAAAACTTTATTTTTCAGTGAGCAAATTCTGAACAACCACAAGAGCGAATGTACACCATCGGAACACTGACGGAACACCTTGGGACCTTTACTTTGTTTCCTGAAATGGCATAAACTGAAAAATAGTGAAAAAATAAAATGTTTGTAACACTTACCTTATGACTACGTTCCTACGCGACCGTAGAACGTTTGCATGTCTCCTAAACAAATTTAAAGCAACTATTAGAGTGGTTTGCCCATCAGCAGAGGAAAAACTGTATAAATTCGTCAAAGGACGAAACATTTTACCCCTCGGATGGCGACAATCCAATTAATAGCGCTAGAATCATGTCCTGAGTATAAAAAAGTGAAAATAACACACAATATTCCACATAAAAGCAACAAAATAGTCTTGAACATTATCAAGAAAAAATTTCTTGCGAGAAAAAATATTTTTCTCCTGTAACGGAATGCCAAGATCAAGAGAATTTGCAGGGAAATTCGTCGGCATTTGAAGATTTTTTTCGATATTCCGGCCCTTCTTTCTCGGCGGATTCTGCAAAGCGCGAGCTAGGATGTTCGCAATCGAATAAGAAAATTCTAATCTCCATCTATGCCAATTTTTATAAAAATCTGAGCGTCGCACTTCGGGTACTTCCCTTGTTAGTAAGTGTATATCTACAGTTATTGGATTTATTCTTGGAGTTCATTTTTTCGGTCGTTTTTCGGTTGTTTTTTCGGTCTTTCCCGGTGTGTCCAGAAATGGAGTACGGTGCGGAAGAAAAATACGGTGGAATTTCCCCTTCCGAAAATCGACGATGAGAATAAGAACAAAAAATGAAGATCAACCTCCAGAGTTCGTCGAATGGTCCTTGGTGAAGGCATTCCCTCGGTTCTGGCCAAACTTCGTGCACTCATATGCGGATTTTCTCGGAATTTTGACAAAACTTCTTCAATTTTCAACTCCGTTCATACCCATCTTTCCTGCTTTTTTTGTTTCCTGTTAACGCTGCCAGTCTCAAGAAACTTATTCCACGAACGTCGAATTGTCTTGCGATCTGGAGGTTTGGCATTACATCCGTATTTCATGCGGCATTCCCTTTGAACATTTATCGCCGAGCCGTTCTTTCCGTACCAAACCACTGACCAAGCTTTTTCTTCCACACCGTACTCCATTTTCGGACACACCGGGAAAGACCGAAAAAACAACCGAAAAACGACCGAAAAAATGAACTCCAAGAGTAAATCCAATAACTGTAGATATACACTTACTATGTATAACATATTTGGTATCTAACAAAATGGGGTTGGCTGACGATTCAAGGAAAAAAAGAATTTTAAAATTTGGCCAAAAACTAAAGAAGTTATAGTCAATTCAAATCGGGCCACAAAGATGCCCCACCCTGTATAAAAAAAAATATTTTTTTTTTCAAGAGGAAAACACTTTTCCATCAGCGAAAGAGTTGACTCAAATTTATGTCGGTGCCCAAAACCGTTACATTTTGTGTCTGAAATCTTCAAATCACCTCAAAAAAGGCTCAAAATTCCCATAAAGACCATAAAAAGTATCCAAAGTTGTTCTCAAAATTCTCTATTATTCTATTCCGAACAAATTTACTCGACAGACAATCGCTATCGTCTTCTTATTACCCAAAAACAACCAGTAATAGTAAACAAAAAAAAATATTCAAAAACAAGGCGCACAGATAAAAATGTGGGAGATAAAACCGCCCAAATTTTTATCGGTTATCGAGTCCGGAACGCAGAAAGATTGTCGACGTAATCGAGTTGAGGTCGAGGGACGCGCCAGAAGAATGCGAAAATATCGAAAAAACGTTTGGACAGAAAAATTTTATATTGGATAAAGTCCATCAATATTTTCGAACTATCTGGTGAAGCTGAGGAAATGATGATAAGTTGAAAAAAATAAAACCCCATAAAAAATTATCAGTTGACCATGGGTAATATCGCAGTGTGATATAAAAGATTTTTATTGTAAAATACGCAGTGCTATGTTGCCCCATTGAAATAACCGGCATGACGTTGCTTTTGACAACGGATTTGATATGGATAATCACGCAGTTCACAGAGCAATCAGAGAAATCATCTGAAACTCAAGGATAAGATAAATTTTGATGTAAAACGGGTTTGTTGTAAAATACGGCGTAAGAATATGTTCCTTCATAATAAAGAACCCATATTGCTTCATCATCTGAGATTTGGACTCCGTAGCCTTCAAACTTTTTACTAAAAAATTTCATAAATCATTTTAGTCATCATGAATAATATAATTGGCATAATGAAGGGATTTTTTTAAAATTTGGATAAATATTGAGTTGGTTAGAAATCTAAGGCCTCCCATTTCAATTGACAACGTGTTGGCCTCATCTTTTTGCAGGATCAGTATCCTTTACCTTGATTTAGATAGCTGGTATAGCCCAAAATCAAGTCCCTTTAACCCAAAATCTACTGTTCAAAAATCCCCAGCCTTTATCAACATCGAAAATAGACCCCAAACAGCATTGAAAAGAACCGTCGACCTCTTCGATAATCGATACTATCTGCAAAAGAAATGGAGAATAAAATAATGGCGCGCTTTGCCGTGGGACCGCCGGAGGGAAGAAGCGAAACGGAAAAATAAACACGCCGTTACTTGTTTTATTTCATTTTCTTATCGGAATTCGACGATAATCGATTTTACAAATCAAATTCTCAATAATATTGACAGAGCGGAGGTCTTCTGTAGCCGGCATGCGAGTAGCCGATATCGGAAAAACAAGCTGTTTTTTGGTGATACGAAGGAAGGGAAGCGTTGGAAAGAGAAGAAGACCAAGAAAAAAATTGTGATTGATAAAAGAAGGGCTGTTGGGGAAAAGTAGCTGATCCATTAAAGATATGGCCAACTTCAAAAATCTCGTATTTTAAAAGTTTGTCGGGAAAATAATGAACATTTTGTCGCATCGAAAATCGCATCGCCAGCGAGAAAATGAACTGTGCCGCTGTAAAATAAAATTGGTTTTCACCTCAGCGACCTGATCGGCACAGCGACATTAAGCTCATTATTTTCCCGACAGATTCATATCAGCGGCTATCAGTCCGTCGAAAAAATAATATGGATTTGTCGCAGCAAAATATTTCAAAAATCAAATTGCCTTTCACTTCAGGGTGTTTGGTGCTGAGACGGTGACGCTGAACAGGCTCGATAGCCGCGACTCTCATGTTCCTCCAATTTTTGCTGAGGAGGCTCTAATTCTACGGACTTATGCCGTGATCAGTATCAGTCTGTCGGGAAAATAATGAGCACCTTGTCGCAACGAAAATCGCATCGCAGCCGAGAAAATGAATTGCGTAAAATCGAATTGATTTCCACTTCAGCGACGCGATCGGCGCAGCGACATTTTTCTCATTATTTTTCCGACAGACTGTTAGTATGCTACAGTATGACCCCAAAATTTTACCTCTTTCTCTTCAAAACTGAACTTTTGACTCTCCAAAAAACGCTGTTTTCAAAAAAAGACGGGGGGATGTTTAGCTGTATCCAGAACTCTTCAGAGAACCGCTTTCTGTAACCGCTTTTCACCACTGGATTACTGTAATTTTATATAAGATATCCAGTTCATTTCAAAGAATAAAAAACAAGTTTAATACATAAGAGATAATATGGGGCTAAGGTAGTACAGCCCCCCAGTCCAGTTTAGCCCCCCATGACCCAGTACAACCCCCCTCGTCCATTCTGAACCTCCAAATTTATTTCAAAAAATTAATCCAAGTTGTATGGTCCAGCACAAGCCCCCCTCGTTTTAGATGCAGCCCCCTACGTTTTAGATCAAGCCCCCTACGTTTTAGATGAAGCCCCCTCTGTTTTAGAAAAAGCCCCCTACGTTTTAGATCGAACCCCCAACGTAGTAGATCAAGCCCCCACTTACATTTTTTGTAATATTCTAATTTGTTCATTATGTGGGGTGTGAAACGGGCAAAACAGTGGGGGTTTGAACTACCTTTCGTGGGGGGCTGAACTACCGAAGCCCCGATAATATTAACAATACATAGGGCGTGGCAAATATGAGGTGTGTTGTAGGTTAAATAAAATAATAAAATGTGTAAAAAAAGCAATCAACAATTTTCAGTCGACGACCTTATCCGCCGAATCGATTTTGGGTCCTTCAAAAGCCCTCGAGTTTTGCGGTTGATTCCGTCCTCCCAGATGTCCAAATCTCCTTTTCGACGTTTGCTGCGAATAAGGCATTTCAGAGTCGACAACATTTTCTCGAACTGAAAGTGTTGTACAAATTACTCTGGGCCCGATTTCTTTTACTTACTCGAGTACTGTCATCCAGAGCATAGGAATGATCATCATAGATGTTTTGGAGAAGATTCATAATGCCCAATGGAACGTACATTGTCTGTTCCTGCGCTATGTATTCGGGGAGAACGGTGAGGGCCGACTTGTACGAGAGCTCGCTCACATAGTCGTCAGAGTTGGAGTGAATCAGGGTGAGGACGTCTCGGAGATGTGCGAAACTGAAAATGTTATAGATATGTATATCGGAGATGAGCGAAAACTGAAAATGTTATACAGCGGGCGCGCTTTTGAAATCTGAGTTTTTTCACTTGGAGAGGGAGGTATTTTGCTACATTTTTGATTCTTCCCCGATGCAAAATGGTACGTTTATTGGATCAGGTCGGCCACTTTACATATTAGGGTGTCACATAAGCCTTATGTATTTTGGGGTCGTCAGGTTGTATGAATCGTGAGCTTCCAAAAATAAAATTTTTAGCAACTTTGAATATTTTGAAAAGCCAAACAAGCTTTGCAAAAAAATCCGCTCTCTGAATTTTGCGTATTTCCTCGTCGGAGAGAAAAAATCGACAGCCCCTGCAAGGCGCACACTGTAATAAAATTTTTTGATAATTCATATGTAAGTACATATGGATATGTAGTCCTTTGATAGAAGATATAAGTCTGTCGGGAAAATAATGAGCACTATATTCGAAAATCGCATCGCCGCCGAGAAGATAAACTGTGTCGCGACAAAAAAAAATTGCTCTTCACTTCAGTGACGACATTGTGCTCATTATTTTCGCGACAGAGTGAATTCTTTAAGTTAAAAGAAGCCAATATCTTCAATAGTTTTCGTCAGAGAGTACGCAAACTACGAATAGTCAAAAAATATTAAACTTTTGTTGCCAATTGGCCAATTTTGGACGAAAATGTTTATTTTTTTTCTTTTGATGTCCATTGTGAGGTATGCAATCACAGAATCACCATGTCCAAAATTTGTGATTCAAGCGAAGACCCCACCAATTTTTGCCAACTTACGATTACTTACTGTCTCAATTCGACCATCGTATCCAATAAAGTCCCATTCAGCTTGTCATAATTCAACCGTTTGTGATAATTCTCTTTCTCAAATATCCTCGTAAAGTCTCGATTCACTTCGTATACTCTGACAAAGTCAGCAACTTCATTGTAATGTGTGTAATTGTAGACACTGAGGGCTTCAGTAATCATCAGATCTTTATCCGACTCCTCCATTTCCGACATGTAAATCTTGGAGACAGCTACAGGCAAGAATTGCCGGAGTTGAGAAGCACATCGACGAAGAGATTCATCTTGCTGGAAATAATGCTTTTTGGTCAATAATATGTATGATGTATTGAAATTTCAAGTTTATAAAACGCTCTTACATTTAGCGATTTCTTCCAGTTGGCTTCAAATTGCTCCGTGAGATAGTGATCTTTGTATTCGAATAGAGTTGTGTAGAACTGCAAAAAAATTGTGTAAAAAAGGCAGCTGTGGGAAAACCAATAATTTCAGCGTGCTCAAATTGAGATCTTTTCTGTCCACGAAAGCCGTAAGATTAAAAATTTTTATATACTTTTCGAATTTTGATGACATATGTAAGAAGTCCCAGTACACGAAATGTGCAGAGCGGTCAGAAAGATTTTTTGCAACATCCTGGCCAATTTTTTGCCCTAAAGGACTTTTTTGATGGAAATTTTGTAGTAAACCCAAAATAAAAGTATCGAATTATCTCCAAATTTGGGGTTATCAGTCTCTCTAAAAAATAATGAGCGCTCTATCGCATTGCCACTCAAAACGCTGCCTAGAAAATTAATTGTGTAGCGGCAAAATCAAATTTCTTTTCAATTCAGCAACGCGATCGGCGCAGCGACATTTCACTCAATATTTTCGCGAAAAATTGATAAAAAAATATTTTTTCTGCAAAATGATATTGCATACTTCTTATGAAAAACCAATCTTCACTTAATTTTGTAAAAACTTTCACTACCAATAAAATCTCACCCCAAGATAATGCAAAAAAGCAAAGGCCGCCGGTTTCTTTGCATTCTGCAAATAGTCGTCCAATGCGTCCAAGTATTCCACCGATTCCACAACGAACTTCATCTCCACTTCATCGGCGTAGTTGTTCATTGGGTAGCCGAGTTTATGAAAGTATTCGGCAAAGTCGAAAAATGGCCATCGTTGGTTCGCTTCCGCAACGGAGAGGGCGATCCAGTCCAACGGGTTGGAGGAGTAGCGTTTTTGGAGAAGCTTGGAGTTGGCTGAATGATTGAAGAATTGCAGGACATCTGTAGCCCCCGTTCTTCTGTCTGAAGTGATGACAACAATAATACATATGTAGTAAGAAATCTTTTTTTTAATTTTTAAAAAACACGCTAGAAGAATGCAGTAAAATTTATCCCATAGATCGATATGGGGCGTAGGGCAGGTGGATACCAAAAAAACAAGGTTGTAGGAAGTTTCTACCAGGCCTGGCAAAGCCGTTGGATGGCCCGCAGACGCCCGGCGAAGGCTCAGCGGAGACTTGGCGAAAAAGTGCAATATGTCCAATTTTTCTAATTTTAGTCATTACTGACGTTAGTTTTCTTTGCGCTGAGTCATTGTAACCTATAGAAGATCAAAATTTAATTTACGGCAAGAAGACAAAGACCCGTAACTTTTATATTGACATTTATTATGTGAGTAGATGTGAAATATTTACCTCAAAACAGGCAATAAGCTATCCTAGGACCTATCAATCTTCGTATTTCTACTAACTAACAATAAGCCTTCTCCTAGCCTGCATAAGTGCAACGACGAGCCGACTATCGTTGACCTGAACTGTCGCTACCCCCGAAAAGTCGTAGCACCAAAACTATCTTATAACCTATCCTTGAACTTACTTGTGACTTGAGCTCCTTTCCCCACCATGCTAACCAATTTCTTATCCAGTTTTGGCGGAGTCTTCTGTTTCAAGTACACTGTCAACCTTCGATGTTGATCATCACGGTCGAAATTCCAAAAACTTCGATGCTCAAAAAAGGTGTTGATTCCGAGCTCTCTCCAGAAGATCAGTGCTATTCGAGTTAGCCCTTGGGCAAGTGAGATATTCGGCTCCACGCTAAAAATTCCAATTGAAATAATTTGTTTAAATAGCGAAAGTTTTACCTAAGTTTGTCCACAAATTCCTCGATATCCATGATTTTATTGTAGACATCCAAAAACGTGTGTTTTGCGCTATTTTCGTTTAAATTTTCCATGCATTTTAAGAAGGAGAGCACAACTTTTTCCTCGGTTTCATCCTGAAAACAGAAGTTCAAAAATGGATCCGCAAAAAATCCGAGAAATGCCGCTGAAAAAACGGCTTCTTTAAGCATCATTTGATGTCCATCTGTCCAACTATTTACATGCTTACTTTCGGCTCCATTTCAAACAGTCGTCTTCCAAGATCCACATCAATTTCAGTTTGAATTGTCCTCTCATCAAAGTCGAAGCCGGCCAAGCAATTTATCTTGAGGCATTTCACCGACTTCTCCAATTTCAAGGCTCGCGATTGCCGAGAAAGCGATCTCTCCTGTGGTGGAGGAAGGCTCGGAAAGATGTCGTCAAAATTCATATTCCGTTTGGATCTTCCATAAAGGTGGGAAGCTGAGACAAGAGCAAATGCGACGGTGCATACTGTGAGCAGAGTTAGGAAAACGAAGATTGCCGTTATTAGCGTTGAAGTCGCTGAAAAATATTGTGATTATTGGATGCGGAATGAGTGATACTGTTGATTTTGAAGCCTGAGGGCAGTCGTTTCAAAATTTAGTGGCAACTGAAGAGTGCAAAATGTATCAAAAAGAGATCAGATTTACAGGGTAGGGAGTCCAAATGCGACCTTCAAACTTGCAGTAAGTTGTTATAAATTTGGATGAAAGTAGCTCTATTCTCATCAAAACTTGTGCCCCAAAAAAGAATTTTATCTGACCCACTCTCCCCATTTTGCCTGCTCTCTCGCAAAGAGCATTCCCAAAGTTTTGTTTTGTTTGCACAACAAAAATTTATTTTTTTCGTGCGGAAAATGCAAAGATATACGAGAGATTGCCAAAAAGTGCTTTCCGCCTGGCCACTCTCCGCCTTTCACGCACTTTATCCAGCTGAAAAGCCGTTTAATATCTCGGCTGTTATTGTAAATGTAGATTTATAATTCTCAGAGATTACTTTATGGCTTATTCTGAATACTTATGCGGATCAGAAAATTTCAAAAAATTGAAGAGCTTCACACTTGGACCCAATTAAATTTTGCAAGATCTTTCAAAAAATGGGATACACATTTTGGGCTTTTTATCACATTTTCGATAGAATGCAGCCAAAAAACATGAGCTGAAAATCTGCTTACTTACATCTTTTGCTATCAGCGGTCTTCTTGATAAACTGTTCTTCTTCATTCGGTTTAATTTTCATCTTTTTCTGAAAAATATGTATACATGACAACAAAGTTAAACTCATGGTACAAGAGCCAAAAATATGTGGAATATATATTTTTTATAGACTTTCAATGTTCCAGTTTACAGTGTTAAAAAAATACATAATAATCTGCTTAACTATGATGTCCGTATTTTACAAATAAAATCGAAAAAAATTAAACAAATATTCTCGGTTATCGCAATTCGTAACAATAACAGAAGCACGGCGAGTCGTTCATATCGATATCAGAGTGTCTTTTCTAATCAAAATAATAACAGTTTCCAATCAAAACATGACTCGTACAAGCTTCCTCCGAGAAATTTCCGCACAAAAAGAGAGTCTTAATCAGACCGGGAAAGGCTTTGCTTATCATTTTTAGGGACCTTCCAGCTTTGCTTGAACTTATGGGATTAAAAGAAATTTGGGTGAAAACATTAACGATTTAACCAAGAGTTAAAATAATCCGTAGAAAGAAGGCTCATTTCGTGCATAAATACATAGTATGAAAAGAAAAGATGAATCTTGACAAACTTCCTAGTTAACAGGGGAAGTACCCTAAGTGCGACGCTCAGATTTTGATAAAACTTGGCAGAAATTTTGAAAATTTTATTCTAAAATGCATGTGAGAATCCTAGCTCGCCCTTTGCAGAAACAATCAAGATTTTTAGATCGAAAGCCGGCGAAAATTTGAGAATATTTTTGAGATTTTGCCGAACGAAAAGTTGCATGCCTATTTCTAGTGTCAAGGGTGATGTTTCCACAAAAAAATCATTTTTCCGCACGAAACTAGCAAAGTTATGGCCAAAAAATCTTTCTTTGAAAAATCAAAAAATTGCACAGTGCAAAATGCACTTTTGTTTTTGCACAGTGCATGTCGGGAAACTCACTCTAGACTTTGCGAATGGACTATTTTTCACAAAAACCAAATTTTTCCAAAAACTATGACTAATTATATCTACGCGGGTATACGGTAATTTCCAGTCCGTCGATTTTTTCCAATCTCCAAGGCTAGTTGTTAAAAATACTGTTTTTTAAATATAAAACCCTTCACAATTTTTCGTATATCAGAACTCCCAAAAATTCCCCGAACGTTCCCTTGAATCACTGCAAAAACAAAGCGAATAATTGAATAATTCAGGGAGCACCAAGGCTGATAAGAAAAGTCATAACTTTCCTCCCGATTGTCATAATTCCGAGAACACACAAGACGAACTGCCATCTCAACCAAGAATTAGTTCTTATTCGAATTATATGACTAATTTCCAGCCAATTTCTCAGGATCAGAAAAATGGGAAATTTATGCAAATTCCATGGCCTTTGAAAGTGATTGCCGCGATTTTTTCTCATTTTATGGCCAAAAAAGTGAACAATAGTGCTACCGAAAGTTTTGCGTAGACAAAAAATCGCATTCCCACAAAGATTTTTGATCGAAAATCCAGAATTTGGCCAAAGAATTTTTGTTTTGACCCGTTTTTTGTAACAAAAGATGATTTGGACAGGAGAAAAAAGTGCAGCGGAAACGAGTTTTTGTTTTGTAAAAAAAAGTAGCACTGAAGATGAAGCTCAGGTGGGGGGTGTTAAAGAGGGGGTTGGGAAGAGTTGCGGGTTCAGACATGAAGTACTAGCCCTTCGGAAAGTCGCTGGGATGATTATTGGAGCTTGAACTGGGCAAAAAAGGCCAGGGTACAATTGACAGCAGAAAAAACGCCGCACGGTGCAAAAAGCAAGAATTGCACAGTGCAAAGAAAACTTTTGTTGTCGCACTGTGCATGTCGCCGATTTTGGTCCGGCGATTTTCCGGGAGGACTAGTACCTATGTAGAATAAGTCGCAAAGTCCAAGTCCGTCAAAAAAATAAATTGTGTTACGGCAAAATCAAATTCCTTTTCACCTTACAGGGGAAGTGCTCCAAGTGCGACGCTCAGATTTTGATAAAACTTGGCACAAATTTAGAATAATTTTTTCTAAGATATATGCGAGAGTCCTAGCCCGCGCTTTGCTGAAACAACCGAGATTTTTAAATCGAAAGTCGGCCAAAATTTATCAGTCTGTCGGAAAAATAACGGCGGATCGTCGCGCCTCGGAATCGCCCATCATCGCTTTGCGGCTGCAAGCCGCGGTTGGGGATTTGGTGCGCGACAGCAGCGAGGCGAGACATTTTGCTGCGACGATCCGCCGTTATTTTTCCGACAGACTGATAGGACTTTTTGCCGAATTTCGGCACGAAAAGTTTCATGCCTATTTCTACCGTAAAGTATAATGTTTCTACAAAAAATCAGCTTTTTTCGCACGAAACTGCCAACGTTATGACCAAAATGCGTTTTTCTCTCTGACCGCTCTCCACGTTTAGTGTGCTCTCTCGGCGGCAAAAATCGTTCGATATCTCGGCGGCGCCCGCAAAGCGCGAGCTAAAACTTTCAGGAATTGATATTTAGTCCATACCCGACGTGTGTGCAAAATTTAAAGAAAATCTGAGCGACGCACTTGGGGTACTTCCCGTGTTAGTTACGTGATCGGCGCAGCCACATTGTGCTCATTATTTTCCCGACAAACTGATATCACGTAAAAAAAACTTATCCGTTATATGCGGGCTTCGTTGTACGTGGCTTATTGTGTCGAGCTTCAACGTAAAAAAAAATTAAATTGATGGCGATGCAACAACATTTTTTTCTGTATCCCAATTATAACACAGCTTTGTACTACATAGTATATATGTATTTTCACCAGAATCTACCGAAAAATTAAGGAAAATATCACAGGCTGATTACTCAGAAAACAACTTTTATTGCAAACCATGTAAATGAAACGTAGTATAACTTATTAAAACTGGCTCATAGCTGCAAAAAGAGAGGGCGACCAAGTTTACACAGCTGTTAATCATTTGCCTCCGCACATCATCGTTTTCCAAGTAAAGTCTGATCATGTTTATCCCCAAGAATTAAACGGTCTTCCACCGTTCCAACCGCCTCTTCCAAGGCCGAATCCACCAGGCTGTCCGCCGATCACCGCGTTCCGAACGGCCTGGTTGGATGCAATCTGAGAATTGAGTAAATCTTGCCGCTGACGCCCCTGGTTTACTCTTTGAAGATAATTCGCATCGGCGGTGGCTTGGTTGGCCAGAAATTGGCTGTTGGCCAGATCTTGGCGAGCTCTATGTTCAGTAAGCAGAGTTGTCGGCGCAATCCCAGCCCATTGGCGCTTTTGGCGGACGGGCAGAGCAACAACGGTTACGAAAATTACAGCAAATGGGAGAAGAATAGATTTGAAGGGCATTTCTGAAAAAAATTGAACTCATTATTTACTGGGTTACTTCCAAAAAAGAAAGAATAAAGTTTGACACAGTTTCCGTCACAAATGTGTCGTTTCTATTCGGACAAAACTTGGTCCAAATTTAGGGCTGGGCTTTCTAGAGCGGATATAAAAGTCTAACCTTGCGTAAAGCTGCGATTGTAACCGGTAAGAAAGAAGCAGCTTTTTTCGATTTATGGCTTCTTCTTGGCCTAAAAGTAAAAAAAACTCTGACCAGAAATCTTATTTTTCCCAATAGTTAATGTTATGAAATTCATGGCCTAAAAAGGTTTTTTTTTACCAGCGCGACAAGCCTTATTTATCACTGGAGTACTCCCATTTGTGTAGCTCTGTAAAATCTGAACGGACAGTCCAGTCCACAGAACTCCCTGGGCCTCCCGTAAATATGAACGCCTGCAAAAATCAGAATGAAAATCCCCAAAAATCGCGCTTATAAAAACGATGACACTGCCGAAAAAACGCATGACACGCCGCAATTATCTCGGAAACGGTTATTTCATATGTATTTTATTTGAAGGCCGCCTGAGTAATCTACTCATTTGCAATGAGTCAATTCGCCAGGATAAATAAGGTCGCATTGCTAACCCGAAAAAATCGGATTCATCAAAACTATGTGCTTTTTAGTGTTGCGAAATTGATAGTAGCCGAATGAGATGACGTCATCATTGTTTACTATATGTGTTCTGTTGCCATTTTTTGAACATTTTTTTTTTATTTTTGTATACACATGCCTTTATTGCAAAATATTTTTGGTGATCCATTCATAAATTAGTTACAAAATATACTATATATTATACATATGGCACAAGTACAGTCATCATTTTGTGCAACAAGCCACAAAAGGTCTTAAAATGATTTGCTATGAAAAGAGTTTGTTATAGGGAAGTTTATTTCGGCAAAAAATGAAAAGAGTTTGTTATAGGGAAGTTTATTTCTCCCATAGGGACCTCCGAAATTCATCGTTGCAGAGAAATTTCGCTCTATTTGAGCTTGTTGCACAGACGTTTTAATATACCAACACATTTAAAATTGAAACAGAAAACTGGTTGTAAGAGATCCTTCCCCGCCGTTTCTTTCCTCACTCAACCTATCCCCACATATACGGAGCAGCCGCGCTCCACTGAGCTCGCTGAACGGCCATGTTCGAGTTCATAATGGCTTGGTTGGTCAGCATTTGCGAGTTCATCAAGTCCTGACGTTGTCTTTGTTGCGCTTGCATGGTGAGGTAGTTGGAATCAGCGATGGCCTGATTCGTCAAGAACTGACTGTTTGCCAGGCTGGCGCGAGCTTGCTGTTCGGCAAACAGAGTTGACGGTGGAATTCCCCATTGACGTTTTTGGCGGGTTGGAAGGGCCGTGATCACTGTGATAGTAATGGCCAGGAGGAGAAAGGTGGTTTTGAGAGACATTGCTGAAAAATAAAAAAATAAATTTTTTAGTAATAATGCTATGATAGCTTCCAGTCTACATGGGAAAAATGCCGCCGGAAAATGATTTGTGTAGCGGCAAACTCAAATTGCTTTTCGCGTCAGCGACGTTAACGGCGCAGCAACATTGCGATCATTATTTTTCCGACAGACTCATTTAAAGAGGTAAAATTCTAAGAGTATGTAGGTGAGTGATTTGCACGGTCAGCACGTTATTCATCGCGCTTGGCTTTTTCAACGAGAGTGCTTGCAAAATGCGGGTGGTTAAACGCTTCTTGGTCATCTCCTCGAATTTTGCGCAGAAAAAAATGATTTTTTTTGTGGGCTTAGTGAACTGCAAAACTCAGGCTGAAGATTTTCATAAAAAAAATGTAAAATTTCGCCAAGCTTGAACATAAAAATCTTCGCTGTTTCTGCTGCAGTGGCGGCCCTTATTTAGTGGCAAAAAGCGTACCAAGTATTTTGCTGCGTTTTTGATACTTCACGGATGCAAAAGAGTAGGTTTTTTGCCACTGGATCAGGTCCGCCACTGTGGTTGTGTGTAAAAGCATGGGATATATCTTACAAAAACCTATTCTAAATCTGTCCCAATTTTTATGAAAGTCAATGCGTCAAAAGTTTCAAAAAGCACCATTTTTTTGCCTTACCCCAAAAAAATTTTTTTCCACAATAAAAACACTCACCTTGAATTTCCCAAAAGCAAGATATAAACAAGGAAATGAAAATCTTCACATCTTCTCCCTTCCTTTTATATTTACGAAGATCGCTGATCGACATTACAACCATTTGACGAACATGGCTTTTTGCCCAAGAAAAGTTTTGAAATTGCTCGGAGAAAAACGTGAAAATTTTTGTTTGGATACAAAATTGAGCAATCTTTGGAGAGTGGAAAAACAATGTAAAGAGTTGAGTTTTTATGAAAGAAGAGTTTATTCGGCAAACAAAGTATATTTTCGTTCGCTCATTCTCCAAAATTAGCGATTAGAAAGGGGTTTTTGCGAAGAAAATGGGCGAAGTTGCCAAAGACTCTGCTTTTACTCTGCGTTTTGTTGTTTGGCGAGTAAATTCCGGCCTTTTTCAGGATTACAAAGTTTATATTCGTAATCATAAACACTTAAGAACAGCTTATGTGGTCGCGGAAGAACACATTTTTTGAAGTAAATGGTCTTAATTGATCTATAAGCCGATTAAAAGACCTTCCGTTTACTCGGTTGCGAAACATTATCTATCGACCAAAACAGACCTCTTACATATGATTTGTACCCTCAAGAAATGATGGAGAATGGTATGTAAATGTTGTAATTTTACGAAATGCTGGAAGAAAAAATATTTCTACTAAAATTTTGTTTAAGCCCGCAAATGCTACAACAAAAAGGAGGTCTCGGAAGTCCTGTACTTGATGTTTTCATCGACCTCTACATTTACATCAAATACGATTCTGTCTTACGAAATGCAGGTTTAATATTCACAGAGAAAGAAGTCAAAGTTTGACTTAAAATTTTTCCGTCCTAACATAAATGCCGTGGATCAGTTTCTCTCATTTTATCTCCTGGATTGTTTGCATGTGCGGGCTGAATGATGGTGATGTTTTTTTCGGAAATATGATGCTGAAATGTCGTCTACAACATACAACCTGTGTACAACAAACTCTTGTTTAACGCAACGGCTTATAAAGAACAGCTACGGAGAATCCGGGGTTCATGTTTCGAGCAAACCGAACCTCCCCCCGCGACGCCCTGTTATTCAATTTCAATTCGATTTATTCACTGTAATAACACGACAAAAGCATGTAGCGGATTAGAACGGTTTCAGTTGTCAAGTCAGTGTATGTAAGATCCTTCCATTGCCGGCCACGGTTTTTTGCGAAAATCATTGGTCCATCTCATTCTTGGGCCGCCAAGTTGTCGTGTATGCGGAGGTGTCCGTTCTAACCATCGCTGTTCCCGTCCTTCTTAGGCTGCTATAGCAAAGAAATTTTCCGATCCTTTATTGTGTATCATACTTTACTTCGTCTTCCTTTGAAAAAGCTTATGGCTTTGTTTTTTTGAATTATATCATCATTTTGGCACATCGATCATTCAGTCACACATTTCAAAAGTGATTACTTCCTTCTTCATCAAAATAAACTTCCTTTTGCAACTATTAGAAATTAATATTGTATTATATTGTTCAAACGCTCACGTTATTTTTCTCATGACTTTTTACTCGGCATTACAATAATTCGCTGAAAATTTGTTATTTATCTATCCGATTACTCCTTAGTTCCTTCTTGCGTCAGCCTCTGGTCTGATCTTTTGGTGTGTACTCATTTGCATTCGATGCACTCCAACGTCAAAGGCTGAGTGTTCGGGGAAAAGTTTTCATGTTTTTGTATACGTTAGAGTTTAGATTGGAAAGTGAAAAGTGATAATCGGCTGAAAATCATGTAAACGCAGAATAAAAAGTCTCTCAGTGACTGAAAGTATGAGTTGAACTGTTCTTTATTGCAAGATAAAAAGGAAACCCTAATAAAATCTTATAAGGAAGTGCAACGAATAGGATTTTTTGGATTTCTTGATTCTTACAGGAGAAGTACCCGAATGTGACGCTTGGATTTTGATCAGCGCTTTACAGAAATATTCCATCCTCTCGGCGGCAAATATGGCTTAATATGTCGGTGACGCTTGGAAAGCGCAAGCTAAAACTTGAGAATGAAAAATTCTCTAGTTTAACGAGCTTCGGAAAAAAATACTTTAACTGCAACCCAATGTGTTTTCATAAAACGATTTCCTCTCTGCCCCGTGCTCATCATTTTGCATGCTCCGTTATCGGCAAAGATTGTTGAATATTTACTATTCTAGTCCGTTTGCAAAGTCGCTGGAATCGGGCGCCTCTCAAACTCATAAATCAAAACTTCAAGGCATCTTAAGTATACATGTAAGTAAGCCTTAATTGAAGGTTCATTTGAAGGAATTGACTAATCCCTTGGTACCATTGGTTTCCATTCTTGGACCCCTGATAACGCCTCATTCTCCTCACTGTTCATTCGACTAACTAATACTTTTTGAACTTCAAACAAACAGTGGAGAACAAAGGAACAAAGTAGTCATGCCTTTGGGGCTGCTGTTTGAAGCAATCTGATGGTATTAAGCCTTCAAGAGACAATGATGTTTGCTTCTTACAAGAACAATACAATAATTACGAGATTAACGTATCTGCACTTAAAGTCACATTTCTGATAACCCGCGTCCTTTATCGCAAAAAAACAAATAAAATAACTTGATTATCTTCCTGAATACCATAGCATTCAAGTGGAGTCGAAAGAACGCTCGGTTCGGCTGCTATTTCCCCCTCAACTTGTTGTAAATTCCGTTGACATTGACACTCTGAACCCAGCTGATACGGACGTTGAGAGTGGAAGGTCAATTCTCAGCAGCCTCCCGCCGTCCGCGAACGTTTTCCCAGCAGCCCGTTTATGCAAATATCAGCGGTTTAGTTTGCGATATTGGGGATTTGCCTAATCGCCGAGCCGGAGGAGGATTCGAAGTTGTTGCTATAAAAACCGGCTGTGTTTGTCGCCGACTCTAAGCAATTGCTGGCTTAAAATTTAGCCAGCCACCGCCAGCCACCCTCTCCATTGAGACAAGACTACTTTCTGGTACAAATCTTTACTTTATTTCTAAGCTAAAGTAAAGTGAAGTTGATTATCCTACTACAATAAGGCATATTGCTGCAAAGAGTGTTTGGTAAATATTGGATTTGTTACTTTGTGAACTGAAGTAAAGGATTATTCGACAATGGCTCATCAAATGCTGATTGCGCTGTTTATGTGTTTCATTTGCTCTGCGCTCTTTGGATCCATGTTCGTTCCGATGAAACGGTACAATCCGGGGGATGGTGAGTCATCATAATAATTTCTCCTCAATTCATACTTGTATTCTTATTGTGGTTGCTGCGGTAGGTATTCTAATTGCGTAGCGCTTGTCAGAGGTCGACTAGGACTTGGCAGAAGATTGAGAGTGAGTCGGCGGAGGCTCGTCTCTTTGCGTCAAGCTTTCGCTGATTTCTTCGTTAGGTTTACAGCTAGAGTTAGCCGAATCTCCACCAAGCCGTGGCCAACAATCCATTTTTTTGTTAATAATCTTGCTACACAACATAAAAGCGAACGGACTTATTGACGAGGGTAATAGTTCCTCTTGGCCTGAACTTCATAACAGAGGAGAAACTCACAACCAGAGGTACAGAAATTTGTAAGCAAAGAAACCTGCCTATGGTTCGCATATTTAGACGTTTCAAAACCAAAATTTTAGGCTTAAGCGAAGCTCTATACAACAAAGCCCTTTTATGGATAGACAATATCTTTTTTAGTCCTTTGCAATTTGTAATACAGAAGTCACGCTGCACGTGGGCTCAAATTCTAAATCGGAATTGTAGGATTATGAAAGAGCAATGTATGATTCATGGGCGTAGCTTGAGAATAGGGCTAAAGGGGGAAGTTTTTTTGACCACAGGCCGACACTACCTGTTAATTTTTTCCGCATTTATTATATTTGCCTTGGTCCCCTTCCCTATTTTTATTTCTACTATACAATGCTGACCTCTTCCTCTGTCTTTCACGCCTTTACCTCGACATTTCACATTTTCCGTTGCAGGTCTCTTCGCCCAATGGCTGATGTGTTCGGCAATCTGGTTTGTCGGCTTCGGCGTCTTTCTCTACACGGGCTATCAGGATTTCTACCCATTTGCAATGCTCGGCGGCTTCTCTTGGTGCTTGGGCAATCTGATCACCGTCCCAATCATCACTGAACTTGGGCTCGGACTGTCCCTGCTGCTCTTCAGTGTTATGAACACGACCACGTGTTTCTTGGTCAGCACTTTCGGATTGTTGGGAACACACGCCAGACCGGCTGATTATATGTGGCTAAACGTCACCGGATTGGTCTTGGTGGCTGCTGGGTAAGAGATTTCTGAATAAAACATATGTAGATCGTGGAATCCTCTTATGCTTATGTTGCAGTGGAGTTTTGACCTCGTTTGTCAAACCTCGCCCGGCCGTGGTGCGTGCAAGTGGGACTCAAGTCGAGGAGGTTTCAAGGAAGGACAGGAAGAGCACGATCAATGTAAGCCGACTTATATAAAAAATTTCCCAGCCAGTCTAGTGACAAAAATATCACAGCAAAATATGTCTTCATGCAGAGCTGGTGTGTTGTATGATCCCAGGCAAAAAATTGGCCATATCTTTTGCCATTTCGAATGAAAAAAATGATTTCTGTGGAAATGTTACTCCCCACCAAAGCATAGGGAAAAAACTTTTTATTCTTGTCAATTCGAAAAATATCACATTTTCCAAATTTTTGAGGGCTATCTCAGTTGTAAAATTTTCCAAATGTTCCGGCGTTTCAAGATTTTCCCGGGTCAAGTCCAGGGTTCGGAATGCTGGGACGGTCCCGTTTGCAGTCATGCCTAGTCCTACTTCGATTTTCAAGAATTTGAAGCCTCGTTTCTTCTCTCAAAGCCGAAATATAAAGCTTCGGATAAGAACTCCTCAAAAAATCTGGGTGTCGAACCTGCACAAATCTCTGTCATGAAGCTAAACTTCATTTTCAGATTGAAAAATCCTTCGACACCCTGTCAACTCAGAGCGACATTGTTGAGATTGTTGACCAACCAGACACATCAAGATCAGCTTTCCGCCGGAAAATGTAAGCCCATCTTGCTATAGCTAGGGTTTTATTTTGCATATTTTACCTTACTTCATTTTTTCAGCGCTTTCCTCGGAGCGTTTATCGCTGGTATTCTGTATGGCCTAAATATGGTTCCGATTGTGTTCATCCAGGACAATGAGGACTTGTTTGACAACGTGAAAGCTGGTGGAATGCCCTATGTTTTCTCTCAATTTTGCGGTGTCTATTTGACTTCAACTGTTGCCTTCATCGGATACGGACTTTTTAAGTGAGCCTTTTGTTTGTTCCCATCAGCTTGCCGCCATGATATACCTCTTTTTCATAGCTAAATTTGCAATTTTCCAGGAAGAACAAGCCCTTGATCAACCCGGAAGTCGCCCTTCCCTCTCTTCTCTGCGGGTTGATGTGGGGTGTAGGGCAGACCATGTCCATCATCACCACGGAGGCTCTTTCTCAAGGGATCAGTGGCCCGATTACAGCGATGGTACCAGGTTGTGTTGCCACTGTTTGGAGTTTACTGTACTTCAAGGAAATTGAGGTAGGCTGGAAGGAAAGATTGTCGTTTAGGGATGCCAAAATTGTGACATCATATACAGGGTGATTCAAAAAAAATGGACACCTTTCTTTCTTCGATTTCTCTTGGCTTTGAACGTTTCTCGGAAAAAGATACGCATGGCATAAAACTACTACGTTATGTGTACATATTCATTGCAAAAATTGTTCACTAGCTGCAAAAGTTGCCGACATATGGTTGCTTAAAAATTTCCGGGTCAGCGCACCCGTTCCCGCGGCGAAATTTGCAAAGTTTTCGCTCCTAAATGTCTGAAGGGTGTAACAGAGACGTTCTGATCGGTCTGAGCGAAACACAGACGCCTATTCTCTAGGACCTTTTAAGGATTTAATCCAGGTCTTTCAGACAACGAAAAATCAGAGGCCAAAAGTTAGACAACCAGCGAGAGAAAATCAACGCTCATTTGGGCGCTTTTTGAAAAACTTAGCTCTGCCGAACGTGGGAAAAGTTTTAGGACCAATTCCATTTGTACCACGTTTACCGCTCTATTGTGAGTATATTAAACGCATTTTAAACAATAGTAACCTTCAGTTGGCAAAACTGCAAGCAAAATTTCGACTTTTTTGACTTTTTGATGGGTCATCGCAATGATACTTGGATTCTGATGGCTAGGTTTGTTCAAATTAACAGGGACCAATTTAAAATTGAAGAACGGACTTATATCACTATCGTATAAATGCAACTTGTCATAGTTGTGCGGCTTGTTGAAGAAAGCCAACAAAAAAGTAAAATTTTTCTGGTCAAAAAATATCGGCGTCTCTGGGTATAGCCGGCTAAACTTTTATAAGCCCAGTGCATGGATAATGCTAGCTACAGTCAAATCAACTGCTGAATCATGTAAAGCAATGTTAAATGTCTTACAGAAATCTCTTTTTGCCGTTAATAGCACAAGCCAGGCCGCCCTGCTAAGTTTTGAAACCCGATCGTCCCAAAAATCCAGAACTATCTGGATGGGTCTCTTGTGGATCACGTTGCGCACTGCTGGAGCGTTATTAATAGAATAATGTCAGCGTTTTCGCTTCTCGAGATTCCCCTTAGTATCTTAATAAACAGTCAACACGCAGTTTTTAGCTGGCTGAAAGAATTCAGCCCGTTAAAGATTTTTGGACCTGCAAAATTTTTGGAAAATTTGGTCAGAATATGGGCTGACCTAGTATTTTGGCTCGTACAAGCCGTACAGCAAAACTATTTTAAAAATTGAAATAGGTGTCATGAAGCAGGATCGTTGACGATTTTAAGACTATTTTTCTTTCCACCGACTACGGTATTCGTGGTGGGATACACCAACTTCAAAAGTTGTCCATTTTTTTTGAATCACCCTGTATACAGTGGCGGACCTGATCCAGTGGCAAAAAACGTACCATTTTGCATCCAGGAAGTATCAAAAAATGTGGCAAAATACCTCCCTCTCCAAGCGAAAAAATTTCAAAAACGCGGCCGCTATCTTTGTGAGGAAAAGGGCGCGCTCTTCAAAACGAAGTTTTTTCACTTGGAGAGGGAAGCATTTTGCCGCATTTTCTGATACTTCCCGGATGCAAAATGGCAAATCTTTTGCCACAGGATCAGGTCCGTCACTGGATATTAAAAAACTTCAAAAGCGAACTAAAAAATTGAGGAATAACATAATAAACAGAGTCTGCGGAATCTAAAAAACGGCCTGCCGGGAAAATAATGAGCTTGCTGTCGGACCGAAAATCGCATCGCTTCCGAGAAAATGGATTGTCTTCCGAGTAAACCAAATTAATTTTCTTTTCAGCGACCTTGCGCCCATTATTTTACCTACAGACTGATAACTATCACACCTGCATATTATTTATGTGCTAACTTTTCATCAAAACTGAAATTTTTTTTGTGTCAAACTGCAAAGCTTATGAAAAAACTTCCGCAAATCATTTCCCATTCTTTTTGCAGACCGGCAAGAACCTGTACGTTCTGTGGACTTCAATCGGCCTGACCATGACCGGCGCGATTTGCATCGGATTAAGTCGAATGTAGAAGAGTCGAAATGCGTTCGACAATGAATGCGGAACAACCATGATCTCACAGTTGCCTATCGCAGAGGAGAAGCTATACTTTATACAAAATTTGTAAAAAATTTTCGTCTAATATGTTGATATAGGTAAAATAAAATAAACGATACGCCAACAAACCACTAGACGACACTTCCTCTTCCCTCGGCATTCTATTCCTGAGCCGCGATAAGATGGATAAACATCTGCCGACGCGAATTTTTCCTGCCTTCTGCGCACCTGAAGTTGAAAGGGCTTTGCGGGAAATGTCGGAAGCTTGGAAGTCGCACAAAAATAAACGGCTGTTTGTTGGCTTGGGCGTCACCGCAACGATTGCATTGTTTGTGACGTCGCAACTACTAATAAATGACAATGTTCCGTTGAATTGGATTCACAATCGGATCAAAGATGTGGTTCAAAAAGACGAGCCGATTGACATGTTCGTGGCGACCGCCCATGCCGCGAACTTCGAACAGTAAGTTAAATACTGCACCTCGGTTGCTCGCAGCCCTCCTCCAATTGGTCTAAAACCGCCTTTTGTAAACAACTTGCAAAGATCAAAGTGAAAAACGACCTCTGCTCATATCTTTGCAAGTTTTGCATTAAATAACCAACTTTTTTGCAGAAACGCTGCCCTCACCGTGAGAGATCGCTGAATTTTTTTTTTGCTATAAACAACAGAAAATTTCATATTCTAGCTAGTCTTCAGGCAAAAAATAGTTTGATTGTTCTTGCGAAGCACAAGCAAATCTCGAATTTCTGTCAAGAAACTGTCCAAATTTTCCAAGTTTTATTAAAGACTTAGTGTTGACGGACACGATCCAGTGACAAAAAAACTTACCATTTTGTATCCGGGAAGCATCGAAAATGTGGCAAAATACTTCCCTCTCCAAGTGAAAAAACTTCGTTTTGAAGGGCGCGCTTTTGAAATCAGAGTATTTACACCTGGACAGGGAAGCATTTTACCACATTTTTGATACTTCCCGGGTGCAAAATTTTACGCTTTTTGCCACTGGATCAGGTCCTTCACTGTAAATATTATTTATCAAAAAATTTTATTACACTGTAGATTCTTTCCTGGAGAGAAAAAAAGCCCTGCTTCTGCACATAAACCCTATTTGCAGCTCCCCTCATCTCCACACTGTATATCTCAATACCATGGTTGGCGATACCGCTAACAGTGAAGAGAAACGCAGGGATCGCATGAAATTCAAGTGTATAAGTGATGGAGATGAAGTTGTTGATTCCCTTCTTCATGGGATTGATGGTGGAGGAGGCTGCTCCTGGAAGAACTACTACTTTGTGTGCCAATTCCAAAGGCCAGTTCAGAGCGTCAGACTGGTGGATGACAGCGGATTTGGCCCGGAGGTTTGCGTTTTTGGATCTTGTACCATAATTGCGAATTTCAAGGCGTATTTTAATGCATTTTCCCATTTCAGCTCGCAGTGAAACAGCCAATCTCCGGTAAAATTCCACTGGTTGTTTGTCTCTCCCGAACCTTTTACTACGAAAATTGGCAAGTAATGTTGACCGTTCTGGAGATGTACAAAGCGATGGGAGTCTCCGAATTCTCCATTCATATCATCAACATTGTCAAAGAGGTCTATGACATACTAAAACTGTATCAAAACGAAATCAACTTAAAAATCCATCCTGGATATTTGACCCCAAAGATTTTGGGAAGGCCAGAGAATCCGAATTTCGAAACCGAAGCGATCAATCAAATCGTCGCCTACAACGATTGCTTTTACAGCTATCGAGAGGCCGCTGAATTTCTAATTTTCTCGGATTTGGATGACTTAATCACGCCGGAGAATGGAGATCTGCTGGCGAAGGCACAGCAGTTACTGCAACAATTTCCGACAGCTTCTTCGTTTGAGTTCCCGTGGACGATTAGTAAATTTGGAGGAGGTAGGTGAAAAAAATGAGAGCTGTCAAGACTTGGATAGTCGAGGTCTAATGAGGCCCCTAACTTGCCCTCTACTCCTAGTATCAACTACTTGCGCTCTTTATTTTCCGAACAGACTGATATTGGTTGGGGGTGATATTTGGGACTTTGTTGGGGGCAATATCTTGCCCCAATAAAGCTAGTCATAACCGGGGAACACTTTATCATCACTTTTATTTACTATTTTCAACGTTGTTTTCAGCCCAAAATCCCAGCGCCTTCTCAATCCCCCGTCTCTTCAGCGGCCTAGAAGTTCTGCACATTGAAAACTACGGGAAATCGATTATTGTCCCTAAAAGAATTTGTAATGCCATCATTCATAACGCTGTTGGCGAGTCGGCTCGAGTAAAAGGCTATGAGCATAAGAACGTCTCGTTTACCGAAGGCCACGGCCGAACCTTGCATATCAGGGAAATGGTCATGAAGGATTTCAATGGAAGTGTTGCGGACGATAAGAGTGTTGATAAAGTCGATCGAAAATTTGTTAATATCGAAGCGATGGAGAGAGCGGAGAGGGCACTGAGGCAGAGAATTGACGGAAAATTAAACAAAGTAAGTGTTTTACGAACAAAATGTATCCTTTTGTAATATTTATGGTAATATTGTACAGGGTGTTTCAAGCAATTTTCTAAAAATGTTTTGCTTATATCTTTATGCTCTTTGAAGCTATCCAAGAAGTTTAAGTCATATATAAAATTCGAAGTCGTGCGTTTTTATAATAGAATATCCAAAAGAATTTTTTTCTTATCTCGGCGGAGGGACCCTTTTTTGGCGGAGACATTTAATGTCTTTTTTGAAAATTATGCCTTGTTGCAACGCCTATACTTCTCTACTACGGATGAAGTTTGAGTTGTCACATCTGGTAGGACGTAATATTTTAATTTCGGAAGCTTGGCGGATGTTTCACACATCGGCGAAGGCTCGACGGAAACTTTTTCACTGGCGGAAGCCGTTTTGGGGACTTGGCTTTGCAGATAGGATCGCTGGAGTGACTTCGGCGGCATGCACTGTGCAAAAACAAAAATTCTCTTTGTACCGTGCAATTGGCTTTTTCTGGCAATGATACCCTGACAGTCTCCGCACAATGCAAGCCGCAAAAACTATTGCAGCGACTTTGCGAAGGAACTAGTAGTCTTTTTCATGTTACAAAATCATTGTACCTTGCAATGATTTTTTTTGCAGGCCTTTCAAACCCTTCCCTCCAACCTCTTCTTCACCCCGCTCTTCCGCAATTGCTACAAGGACATGATCCTGGATAAGCGGCAATGCTCAAGCCTGAGTTTCTGCAAAATCACAACCGAGAATCGACCGCAATGCGCAGCGGTTGCATCCGATTATAAGGGCTATATCAATGGGAAGCTCAACTTCTACGTTCAACACAATTTGAGGATAGTCGAGGACAGTAATTGCGAATTGCAGCTGGCCAATCCGGTGATTATTGAACGACGCTAGGAGGATGTAAAGGTTATAAAGATTAATTGAATGTTGTGTACATAGATTGGAATAAAGCTTTAGAAAAAGTTCAAGGCTTTTCGTCAGAAAGTTGACCAAAATTCGGCATCCATTTTCGAGTGTCCGATTTTTATAACAAGGGCAAGTGAAGTTCTTTGTTGCGAGTGTTGGGTATTACAAGGTTGCCGTCAGACACGCCAATAAAAGTTAGAAAAAATGGCTGCATCAACAAATCTCAAAAGGTGGAAACAGGCATGATACTTTCTAGGCTAAAATTCATAATGAACTCTAATTTTTTTGGGCAAGTTTTGACCTAAAAATCAAATATGTACACATAACACGTCTAAAAGTATGACCCCTCCGTTTTTTGGATTTTATACAGCTTGGAAGACAACTTTACAATTTATGTTCACAACATTTGAAAGAACGTTAAAAACGCTATCTAACGGTATACACATCGTATAGCAAGGCCTTATATAACGGTTTTTATAAAGCTTCAAAGACGACCAACTTCATCTCAAGAAAATGTCACTTGCGGGAGACTTCATTCTTCGCGTGTAATGTGAGATAAAGCGCAAGTAATGCATCAAACGCTTACAGAAGCTTGCATGTGTGTTGCATGCAGGCCAAATTTCAAGAAGTTTGAGAAGCCTTGTTTGGTTTGTATATCTTATAAAATAATACACCGCCGCCTATATTGATTTCTGATTTCTCCATAAATCTCCCGAGTAATGAGTTATTGGTCTGGAGCTTTAGATATGATCGCCAACGCAAAACCACCTTCACCGGCGGCGGATAACATCTGCCTCTAGACTCTCGTTGGAGTTTCAAAGAGTTTACCTTACCCAATTACCACTACTTTCACTTTTCCCGAATGTTATTTAGGGTCTCGACGCTTCAGAAACACACCAAACATGGAGCTGTTCTGGTGGTCGCTGGGATTGTTTTGCTCTGTCTGGTAAGAAGGCATCTACAAATTTGGTTATTTATTGTGTGAAATTTTAGGTCTCCCTTCAAATGTGGATCCTAGACAACGAAGTTGAGCAACAGAGGAATCCGATTGATGTTTTTGTGGCTTCAGTCCATGCCGCCAATTTTAATAAGTAAGGGATTACTAGGTCAGTGGCGAAATGATCATACCGTCTAAGGAAGATGTATCTTCCCATGGCGTCGTGACTCTTGCGGGCGATCACCACCATTTACCGATTAGAATTACGATTTTTTTCCGCAATCAATAGGGTTTGCTGAATTTTGAACTCTATTGATGCAAAACATGTTTTTCTATTTATATCAGTCTGTTGGGAAAATAGTGACGGATCGTTGCAGCAAAATATTTCTCTTCATCGAAAAAGGGGTCCATTGGCGCGCCAATTTGCAACGTGTTAGAAATTTACTTGCCCTTTTTCAACGTCAGCTCTATCGAAAACCCCGAATGAACCCGGCATTTATTTCTTGATGATTTTCAACTGAAAAACACTGGGTTTTCGGGGCAGAAATGCCCCTACTTCAGAAGGTCGTAACGATCTCCGTTTGCAGTTTAAGATGTTGATATTACATAGACTAAAGTTAATGTCGCTTAAAAATACATATTCCAAAAACGAAGCCTCTGCGCCACCTCCGCCGGAAGTTATAGCCTCCGACTTTCCTTCACGTTTCTCGAAAGACCCTGTATTTTATTGACGTGTAGTTTAGCGATTACACATATTCGGAGAATTGTGCTTTAATCTCTGGCAGATTGCATTACAATTCTTTAAAAAAAAAAGCCTTTTGGATCTTCTATAAAATAAAAATTCTGCTTTAGTCTCTTGCGGCCCTACGCCGTGTTTCTCAACACAATGCTGCCGGATACACCCCGCTACGAGTGGAGACGACGTCAGCAGCTGAGCTTCAGATGTGTCAGCGATAAGAATGAAGTGGCTGATGCAGAATACCGAGACTCTGATGGCGGAACGGACTGTTCTTGGAAAAATTATTACTTTGTTTGCGAATTCACAAAACCGGCTTTGTCCGTTCGGCTGGTCGATCAGGAAGGGTTTGGGCCGAGAGTAAGTACAATGTAGCTTAGAGAAAAACGGAATTATTTACTATTTTGACTGCGATTGAAAACATTTGTGATTCAGTCAGACATCCCCAAATGATGGTCTAAAAACTTTGGCCGTGCATTGGCACTTTGATCACCGAACCTATTCGCAAAAAATATCAATTTCGATTTTGCCCCTGCAAAGGGCAAGCCAAAAATCCCGTATTTTAATGCATGGCCCAGGAAGACTACGCAAGCAAACCTCTGCCCAAATAAAACCCTGCATGCACAAACTCAACCACCTTTCATTGATGACTTTAGGTCCTAGTCAAACAACCAGTCACCGGCAAAATCCCTCTGGTCGCTTGCCTCTCCCGAACCTTTTACTACGAGAACTGGCAGGTAATGTTGACCGTTCTGGAGATGTACAAAGCGATGGGAGTTTCCGAATTCTCCATTCATATTCTCAACATTGTCAAAGAGGTCTACGACATCCTAAAACTATATGAAGATGAGATAAATTTGAAAATCCACCCGGGATTTTTGATTCCAAAGATCCGTGGGCGCTTTGAGAATCCGAATTTCCAGACCGAGACGATGAATCAGATCATGTGCTACAACGACTGTCTTTACAATTACCGCGAAGCCGCTGACTTTCTGATCTTCACGGATATGGATGACTTGATAATCCCCGAAAACGGAGATTTGCTGTCGAAAGCGCGCCAATTCCTACAACGGTTTCCGCTGGCGGCGTCGATGGAATTCGCGTGGACGACCTCCAATTTCAACGGAGGTAGGTGGAGGTGTGGAGCGGGGAAATTGAAAAGGTAGCAGGGTAACCGTGGAGGGATTGAAGAAAAGAAGAAATATTGCAAAATGCCTATATGTGGATGAAATTAAGTCTAAGTTTATAGGCAATGTATGCTATGTGAATAGCTGCAATTATGGTGAAATTTGGGGCTAAGAAATTTTTATATGTAACAGTATGCAGTAATTTGAAGGTCATGGTACATGGCCTTACACTATTTACAGTAGGTCGTAAAAATTTGAAACCAGTCGGACAGCACGACAACTCAAAACATAGCAAAAATGTCTTCCTCCCATTCGTGACTTTCGACCAAACGAAGTGCCGCAAGCCCAAAAAAACAAAATCATTTCGTAAAAAAATGTTTTTCGTAAAACCCCCATGAAAAATTCATTTTTGACATTTCGTTTGACTACAACCGATAATGAGTGGGCGAAGTGCCGAAACGGGGCCGGCCTGGGTTGCCGTGGACCGCGGCAGTCTGGGAGTTTAAAAAAATCAGGCTGTCGGGAAAATAACGAGCACAATGTCGTGGCGCCACATTGTGCTCCGTACATGAAAGTTTCCGTATATTTATAATGAATCGCTACACACTATAAATTATTTCTTCCTTTGAAAAAGTCCTTCTAGTCCCGCATCCCAATCAGTTCTCCATCCCCCGCCTTCTCAGCGGCGTCACCAATCACGTCGAAGCTTACGGAAAATCAATTGTTATTCCGAAGCGAATGCTGAGAGCCATCATTCACAACACCGAATTTTACACAGCCAGAATCAGGGGATATACGAATGTGAATGCAAACCAGACTGCCGGGCATGGATTGACATTGCATATGAGGGAAATGGTCATGATGTCTTTCAATGAGAGTCTGGAGAACGATCGCAGTATTGATCAAGTAAATCTGGATGTGGTTAACTTAGACGCCATGAAGAGGGCTGATAAGGCGTTCAGGAAGAGGATGAATGGGAAGTTTAAGGATGTAAGTCCAAGTCATCACTTTTTAGGGTAAAGCAAAACTAGCTGCTATCACAGTGACGGACTTGATCCAATGGCAAAATACCTAACTTTTTGGGAAGTATCAAAAAATGCGGCAAAATGCCTCCATTTCTTACTAAAAAACTCCCGTTTGTAGAGCGCGACCCGTTTTTTTTACTTCGAAGGGGAGGTATTTTGCTACATTTTTTGATACTTCCGGATGCCAGTTGGTACGTTTTTTACCACTGGATTAGATCCGCCATTGTATGTAGATTCAAACCTTGCCTGCGCTGTGCAGAAACGAAACAAATTTTTTGACCGAATGCTGGGAAAAGTGACGTTTTTTTGCGAATTTTGGCATGAGGAGGTAGATACCTATATAGTTCTTCTGTAGAGCGTCATGAATCTGCAAAAAAAATCTATTTTTTCTACGGGAAACCGGCAATTATACGACCACATCTTTTTTTCTGTAACCGTTCTCCACGTTTTGCGTGCTCTCTCGGCCAAAAAAATTGTTCAGAATTCTTGTAAGGCGCGAGCTTAGATTTTCAGAGCATTAATAAGTGTCCTGTACCCGAAGTATGTGCAAAATGTAAAAAAATCTGGACGTCATACCAAGGGACCTTCCTTATTAGAGTATCATACCTATACGCTTCCTTTCAGACCTTCAACGCCCTCCCTCACAGTCTCTTTTTTACCCCACAACTCCGACAATGTTATATTGATATTACTGCCACTCGACATAAAGGCGCCAATCTCTGCGCCAGCATCAATAACTGCAAAATTGATTACGAAAACAGTCCTGGTTGTGCGACTGTCTCCGCAGAAGATGAAGCATACATCAACGGGAAAGTAAACTTTTACGTGCAGCGCAACCTGCGAATACTGGAGAAAGCCAACTGTAAACTTCCTTTGGGTAGACCGGTGATTTTCGAGCGATGAAGAGCTTATGAATTTGAGTTTATTGTGGGCTACGAGTAATAATACACTAAAAATTGAGCTTATTTCATTCTTCAAGATGTCATAATGATATTAACAGAAATAATAATGCATAATCATATTAATAATAATAAAAAAATAATAAATTCATGAAAAAGATACTACAGAGTTGGATCTTGGAGCTCAACAAATTTGTTCGAAGTACACTGTTAGCCAGGCTGTCTAATAGAAAGCGTAGTAAGGCCTAGGAATATTAATATTACTCTTTATTCCAGAGGTCTGCTCTGCACCCCTACATCTCTCTCTCTCTCTGTTTCTTCGGGGAGCCGGCGGCGAGTTCGGGTCAGACGTCGGGGAGACTCCGCCTTCTCTTTCGATCCGGCTTTGTCCGCCGCGACACTGCCAATTTGGATTACATGTCATAGTAATAAATAGATCAGGTTTGCCATATGTTTTCGTAAGAGTCAATATGTCATCATCGTCAAACTGAGATAAGCTGAAATAGTCCGGTGAATGAATTGGCAATCTGCCAAAGAAAGAAGCGAAAAATCTTTTTGTCGGGGAAGAAATGGGGAATTTTGGGGGTGAGAGAGCATGGTCTTTTTCTCTGTCTTCTCTGCGAGATCAAGACGAAGTGTAAAAGACCGGTAGCGAAGAGTTTATTTCAGTCACCGGACTCCTCAGTTTGACATTTTTATAATAAAAACTCAGGTTGTCCAAGCCGTCTAAGAAAGCCTTTGTACTAGAAAAAGGCCTCCATCTTATTCCCATTACCTCATAATCCGGCTTCTTACCGGTAATTAAATGGATGTTTGGTTAAACAAGGTTCCTTCAACAATAAAAATCCTGGTAACCGGAAGACCAAAAGGCGCATTAGTTATCGCAAAATCTCACCTAAATCACTCTACCTCAAATTTCACCAAAATTACAAAAGATGCAATCAATCTTCGCGCCAGCAAAACAAGACTCACTCTCCGCGGCGCCATTTCAACCGCTATTCTGTTCATGGCAATGTGCAAAGCCTTTGTTCCGCTAAAGGCTTCTAGTCGGATGCTGAAACGAGTTCCCGCTTCGTTCTGTTTGATACTGATTCTTGGCGTAATATACGTTCTGCATCTGTGGGTTTCTCGAGCGCCTAAACTTTTACCACATGACAGGACCAACAGCATGGAGAAGGTTTATCGCCCTGCTCCTCCAATCGATGTGTTCGTAGCGTCGGCTCATCTGGCAGTGTTTGAAAGGTAAATGAATCATTTGACTTATATAACTTTAAACATGTGCGTTTTCAGCTCCAGTTATTTCATCTCCGCCTATCCGTACTCTGTCTACCTAAACACAATGCTGCCGGATACGAACCAAACAGAACCTGAGCGGAGAGAGCAAATGAAGTTCAAGTGTATCAGCGACTCCGGTGAAGTCGCTGACTCTGTTGTTGTTGGAATCGACGGTGGACAGGACTGCTCGTGGAAGAATTATTACTTTATCTGCGGATTCTACAACCCACTCAGTACTGTCCGACTGGTTGATGACCAAGTATTTGGCCCTGAGATTACCGTGAAGCAACCAATTGCTCGCAAAATCCCACTGGTTGTTTGTTTGTCCCGAACCTTTTACTACGAGAACTGGCAGGTGATGTTGACCGTTTTGGAGATGTACAAAACCATGGGAGTCTCCGAATTCTCCATTCATATCCTCAATGTTGTCAAAGAGGTCTATGATATCCTAAAACTATACGAAAGGGAGATTAATTTAAAAATCAACCCTGGATTTATAATCCCGAAGATCGATGGGCGCCTTGAGAATCCGAATTTCCACACCGAGACGATGAACCAAATCATGTGCTACAACGACTGCCTCTACAGTTATCGAGAGGCCGCTGAATTTATGATTTTTTCGGATATGGATGACTTGATCATGCCGGAGAATGGAGATCTGTTGTCGAAAGCAAGAAGCCTTTTGGAGGCGTTCCCAATGGCAGCCGGTTTTGAATTTGTATGGGCGACAAGTCATTTTAGGCTGGGTAAGAGAGTCAGTCGTCTATTATAATTATAAAAAAAGAAGATATACGGGCTTCAAGACCTTTTGTCGAACATACGTTATTCCACGATAAGTTTTAGCCATCTTAAGGCCACAAATGGTGATTTCTGCCCTGAAGGGTGGTCTTGTAACGGTTTTGTGACAGTCCAACTTCCTTTCCGAGCCTTTTAGCCACCGTCTACAGCGTTTTTTGCGTCTCTTACTGTCCCATGCCTCGTTAACGACTTTACGCTGACCTGAATTGTCGTGGACCCCTTTAAAGCAAGATTTTGCAGTGCTTCAGTCCTTTCGCGACCAACAACCTTATTTCAGCACCATCGCTCGACCAGTTCTCAATCCCTCAGCTCTTCAAAAGCCTGACTGTCAAAAATCTCGAAGCCTATGGGAAATCAATAGTCATTCCGAAGCGAATGAAATCCGCGATTATTCACAATGTCGCCGGCGAGTCTACTAGAGTTTTTGGCTACGAAAACATAAACTCCACATTTACCGTTGATGCTGGGAGAACAGTCCATATTAGAGGAGCGGAAACGAAAGAGCAGGACGCTGCGGATAAAAATTCGGATTTTTTGACGGAAGAAAAGGCAATTTTGAATAACAAGGCGATCAAACTTGCGGATTCTGCTCTCAAATCTAGAAGCAGAACTGACAAGAAGTTTGAAGATGTAAGTGTAAGATTAGTGGCCATTTTCCTCCTTCTCTTTAGGCACTGCGCTCCCTGCCACCAACTTTATTCTTCACCCCGCAATTCAGGCAATGCTACACGGATATAACGATGATTCGCAACGCGGGCACCAGTCTTTGCGCCAGCATGAGCAATTGTCGAATTGATCACAGAAATGGCCCCAAGTGTGCGACGGCGAACGCGGACTATGCCGGATATATCAACGGGAAACTGAACTTTTATGTGGCGAACAACTTGAGGATTGAGGAGGACACGGGTTGTGAATTGAAAATTGAGAGCCCTGCGATTTTTGAGCTGTAATACAGATATTATTCACCAAGTATCTTGATTTTTAAGCAATAAAAAGTCGAGTTTTGGCATTTTTGAAAAATGGGTCAAGTCTTTTTCCGGATTGGGGTTAAGTGTTTCTCTCGGATGGCAATCGCCGAAATATAGTTTTCAATAAACGCAGACTGGTCCAGGACAATTTTCACCACTTTTATTGGACGCGTAATATGCTTTACTGGCTCGTGTCAAGTGTCCTTCAAGTTGAGTCAACTCTGTTTCTTGGATGAAAAACATGGAAAAAAGCGTTTTTTTTTGGTAAATGGTAAATCTAGACCAATCTTTATCATGTGTTTTGGATGTGTCATGTGTTTTCCCTGTGGGGTCAAGTTTTTCCTTCAGCGGGAAAAAGTTCGTATTTTACCTTGAAATCTACTTTTTCGATTTTTTTCATTTTTCGGCATTGCCATTCTTGTTCATCTTATTTTGAAAATCAAAAATTGGTCATTTCCATTTTTCATCCGTTCAAAAAAGCGGTCAATTTTCGAATTTCTTGGTGGTGGCAGCGTAACGATGAGTGAGAATCAAGCACCTCAGCAAAAGGTCGCCAAAGATGTAAGTCAAATTAAATAATTAGGTCCTAAGAGTAGAATTAGCGGGGAATCATCGGAAATTTTGAAATCAAAATGAATTTCAAGCCGAAGCTCGGGCGCAGCTTGGAAAATTTTCGAAAAACATTTTTTTCTGTCAGTGGCGACCTACATGCAACTCGGGCGCAGCTCTTTATCAGAACGCCAAAAAATCACATTAAAAAAATTCGAATTCTTCTAACTTATTTTCCGACCTGCGCCCGACCATTTCCGCCGAATTTTGAATTAGAAATCGGCCAGAAAAGGACTTTTTTCTATAAAATTAAAATTATTTTGTTCAGGAAGATGACTCCGATTTTGAAGAGGAAATGCGGATTACAGAAGCAGTGGAGGGCTTTGAAAACCACGGCCCTCCGAAACAGTTGAAGCCAGTGCCCGAGGCTGAAGTTCAAAAACTTCAAGAAGTCAGCTATACTTTCATTTTTATGCTTTGCGTATTTTACCTTTCTTTAGTCAACTTTTATTTTACAGTCAGCGAAGAAACCAAAAGGTCCGAATTACCCGGAATCGCCAGAAAACCAGCAACGACCGGCTGAAGACGCCAATTTCGGTGAGAAGGAGAAGAGCTAGAGATTGATTTCTCTGTGAATAAATACGTCTTTAATTATGCTTGCTTTCTTTACTTTACTTATCAGTCTGTCGGGAAAATAATGACCTTTCTGTCGCTGCGAAAATCGCATCGCCGCTGAGCATAGTTGCAGAATGAAAATTTATTTCGAAGCTATGATAATGCACATTCAATAAGAGTTTCGTACATACCATGACCAATTACTTGTATATGATAATAGAATAGATACTATTTACACTTTTTTTCATGTCGCTTCTAATTCTCCATCCAACTTGAGTGTTCTACAAACTTCTCCAAGTTATATTTCTTGATCAATCCTCTCGCATTCACAATGCTCTGTTGAATTCGGTGGGTGAGGATTCCGAATCTGGGCTCTGTGGTTCCCATTTGCTTGTGGGAGATGTCAATCATTGAGGCGAAGAGCATGGTCTGGACACTTTGCTGGACCAGGCATAAATGGAACATTTCGAGGCCCTAAAACCGCGTTTGACAGTTAAAAAAATTTTTTTAAATCTCGGATTCTCTTAGTTATATTGCTACTTTTCATTCGGCTGCATTTAAATTGCGCATTTTACGACTTTCAGCACTGCAGCCTGCAAATCCTCGGGCGCAGCTCGCCCACTGCTAATCCTTTTGAAATTCGAATAAATCATCAAAAAAGGGTTTAATATGAAACGATATCGTATTTCACCATCAAAAATACCGATTTTCCGTGTTTCCCCTCCGCAGTCTGCGAACCCTCGGGCGCAGCCTGCCAACTTCAAAACTATACTTCAAATTCAAAATTTAATCAAACTAACCTGTTCGTAGGTGAATGGAGGTTTCGAGCACGATTTCCCATACAAATTAGTCAACGTGTTGTAATAGATGTCATAATATTTTTGCTCACATTTCTCCCGAACATTCATATCCGCACCGAGGACCAAAAATCGGGCCAAATCAAGGCCGGGAGAGGCTGGAAGTCAAGATATTTGATATATTTTAGGATGATGGCACCCAAAATTCTGTCATACTTACCATAAAAACACAGCTGCCAATCAATGATTCCGGCAAGCTCGTCCGTTAAAGAGCCATCTTTTTTGGTTTTGAACATGATATTATTCGGTTGAGTGTCTCCGTGCGCCATTGTTAAAGCTCCTAGAAATCATCAGCAATTCTTTTAAACGTATTTTACCTTACCATATTCTATGGGCCGCTCTCTAATTGCATACAGCGAATATTCTTTATTCTGCACGATTTTCGCCGTGTCCATGATGCTTTTGAAGTCTAAAAGCAAGAAAATCAGGCTCGTCCTTAAGTACGCATTACAAGGAAAGAATCCCTCAGGGCTTAAGCCACATCTAAATTCCTGAAAATTTTTGCTTGTGCTTCTCAGGGACGGCCAAGATAAAAAAAAAACAGTCTTTGAAGCCGTGAGAGCACGTAAAAGGCGGAGAGCGCCCCAAAAATTTTTTTGGCCATTTCTTTGCCAGTTTCGCTTGGAATACAGTGGCGGACCTGATCCATTGACCAAAAACGTACCATTTTGCACTCGGGAAGTATAAAAAATGTGGCAAAATGCTTCCCAAAAAAAAACTCCGATTTCAAAAGTGCGCCCGCTCTTTTTGTGAGGGCAAGACCTTCAAAACGGAGGTTTTTATAGTTGGAGAGGGTGGCACTTTGCCACATTTTTGATACTTCCCGGATGCAAAATGGTCGTTTTTTGCCACTGGATCAGGTCCCTCACTGTAAATAGACTTTTTATGGAGATTCTATATACCGAAAATTAACTGCCGTTCCTAGCTATCGGCAGGTCAAGATGACCTTTTCTAGCCCCTGTCAAGAGCATAGAAAGAGCATAAAAAGAGGTCTTACCTTCCATCTCATAGCAATGTTCCCATAATGCCTTCACCAGCTTCAGATCAAAGTCGACATGCATATTCTTGTCAAACTGCATCCACCACCAAGTGTGTCTTGGAGCGAGTGCATTGAATTGTAAATGGGCAATCGATTTGGCTAGCTGAAAACAAAATTACGTTTGTATAATTAGCGAAATGGAATTTCTCGTGGTTCTAATACGGTGGGGGACCTGATCCGTTGGCAAAAAACGTACCATTTTGGTTCCGGGAAGCACCGAAAAGGTAGCAAAATATCTCCCTCTTCAACTAAAAAAACGACTTTAAAAGCGCGCCCTCTCATTTCCTAACTAGGGAAGTTTAGATACGAACTCTCACCGAATGATAAGTGACATACGTCATTGAAGAGCCCTTGAAAAATGGTACAAGACACCATTTTCATTTTTCGAGGAATGCCTGCCCGCGGCGACACACTGTCAGAAAAAGGGAGCGCCCTTCAAAACAAAATTTTTTCACTTGGAGAGGGAGGCATTTTGCCACATTTTTGATAGTTCACGGATGCAAAATGGTACGTTTTTTGCGACAAGATCAGGTCCTGACTGTAGATAGATTTTTTATGGAGATTCTATATACCGAAAATTAACTGCCGTTCCAAGCTATCGGCATGTCAAGATGACCCTTTCTGGCCCCAGCTGGAACATTTCCCTCACAAAAAGAGTGGGTGCGCTTTTGAAATCGGGGTTTTTTCACTTGGAGAGGGAGGCACTTTGCCACATTTTTGATAGTTCCCGGATGCAAAATGGTACGTTTTTTGCGACTAGATCAGATCCGTCACTGTACAGTACAATAACAAAAATTTTTTTTGTTTTTTTGACTACTCTAAGAGCTCACCTCATAGCACTGGTTTTCCGTAGCGCTTCGATAGAATCCTAATGGCTCAGATTTTAGATTCATGTTTTCCATCAAGATTAGGCCACTGTTTCCCCCTTTCAAATCAATTTTCTCCGTGTAATAGACTTCCGGAAGTGGAACGTTCCTCAGATATCCGAATTGCTCGTAAAATTCGCATTCAATCGAATGCTGATCGTAAGGTTTGGTGTCTGGAGAGGAGTTCTCTTTGTCCTAAAAAAAGTTTTTTTATTTTGGCAGTTTCCCCACCTCATCAACATTGTCCAGCCCACAGCAGTCGAACAATCCGTTAATCAGAGGGATCTTGGCAATAACGGAGACGGTTCTTCCATTGGAAAAATGACAGTCGACGGAGTAAATCTTGGACTGGAATCCGGCGCTGACTCCAATCTGTTTGTGGTTTATCTGAAATGTGAAGAATAATTATACTATTGGGCCGAACTATATGTATATATCTTTCAAGTCAAGCACAACAGGGTAAAAAATTACTTTAAGATTAGAAATTTTTCTGACTTTCTTATGAAAGCACGAGGCAAAAAAACTTTTTCACAGTTCGTTTTTTCAACAAAACGTATTCTGTCAAAGCTTATCCGGCGTGGTAATAGTACACTAATGTGTGTCATTGCCAGATACGACTTATTTATATTGACAATTACAAAATTTACAGCAATTTTTAAAGGTCGGTTATAATTACGATCAGCACTTAATAACTGTATTCTCACCTCATCCAAGTCGGCCAATTCACGCAGCTTTTTGAAATGCTTGTTATGCTTCGATAACAACGAAATCAGTCTTGCATTTGTGAAATCCGAATCAGCAAAAGTTTTGTTCAGCTGAACACTTTTGGTGTTGACGAAGCGCTCCAGTTCCTCTTGCAGCGGCGTCAGATACATGGCTGCAAAATTGAAGAGCAGTGGATTAGCAAATTTCAAATTTTTCTTTGAAGAAACTGAATTGTTGCTCGTTGCACATCGTATGTTAACACGGAAGAATTGGATTAAAAAACATTGGGAAAGAAGGCTACAGTAATCGAAAAATGATGACGGGCTAGCGAAAATTAAGGAAGTAAAGCAAAACTGGATCAATTGAAGAGTTTCACAGTAAATTGTTGGTTGGAAAAATGTCCGCCAAAAGATTTTAGGATAGTGAATAGGCTTTACAGGAAGATTGTAGTAAAAATTCAAAGTATCTCTCAAACTCAACGCTCATATTTTGTTTCACAAAAATGTAGATAGCATGCTTTTTCAAACCTGTAAACGACAATAATTCTTTCAGCTTCTTCAGAAACTACCGAGTATTTCTATTCGGTTGGAAAATCGGCAATCTTTTTGACAATTCTTGATACAAAATATTTACAACTTACTTCGGCCAAGGCAATGCATCCACAAAAAATCAATTTTTTACGCATAAACTTGGCACAGACACCACCGAAAACACTTTTTTCCGGCCTTCTCTAACCAGTCTTTGCATTCAGCGCACTCTCTCGCCAAATATGCATTATGGAATGTCTCGGCCATTGCTACAAATGTGGGCCAAAATGTTAAAAAATCGAAATGGACTAGGTCTGTAAGCGCAAAATTTTGAAAAAATTAGCGCCTTGCATGGTCAAAAGAACTTTACTCTCTGACCGTACATTCGGTTTACTCTCTGGTCAAAAATGGTCCTTGATAATCTGCTGGGAAAAAAGAATTTATTTGTAGATCTGGTGCAGCGTGGGCGCTAAATTTAAAGAAAATCTCTCCGTTACACGTTGAAAACTTCCTATGTAAATCGTTACCTATACTTCAGCCAGTAAAGCAGTTTGAAAGAAAACTTTCCAATTTTCAAATTAAAGAACAAATGTTTTCACAACCACAAAAAAACATTTATCTTTCCCTTCCCAATTCGTTAAGACACCAATTGTCATCGTCTGCGCGGTCAACTGCTTGGGAAAGCCAATTGTAATAAAAAAGGAAATTTTACAAACTCTGTAGTTGCATTCAATTAGTTTGATGATCCGAAAAAATGATTGTCGGATCGACCACCTTTCTGTTACGTCAGTCGTTGATGAAAGCCTATTTGAGGGCTATAAAAATTTTAAAAATCAAATTGCTTCTAATAGAATGGCGTCATAAGTTGCTACTCGGCGCACAAAATTCTGTGAACTTGGACAGTGCAGATTTGGCGCAGTGTTGACACTTCGTCTACCCAGTATCGGTTGAATTCAAACGAAATGTCAAAGATGAAATTTTCGTGGGTTTCCGACCAAAAAAATTTTTTTGTAGCTCGTTTGGATGAAACTCAAAAGTAAGCCGAGCTACTCAAAAATTTGAGCATTTAGTTATATAGTAGTTCAAAAAAGGTCTTTGAATTTAGGTTTTGGGCAATTATTACAGTAATTTTTAGATCAGCAAAAACATTTTAGATGCTAGAAATTACCTACATGTATATATGTCAAATCGACCAGGCTAATTTTACAGATAAAAACCGAAAGAAAATTTTAAAAACAATTTTTCCGATAAATTTTTGGACAAAAAGCCATTTCAAAAAGTTGCTGAAAACTACTGTATATTTCTAGTTGTGAAACATTCCACCTCCACTAAGTTTTGGACAGAAAAAATCAAAAATCCTGCAACACCCACAATCTTTCCGATTGTTGTTAAAATCACAAAAACGAATCCTTTTTGATCAATTTTCGCGGGGTTAGTCAAATAAAAAGGACAAAAGAACAAGGTAAATAAACACTGTAAACTGCACCTTTAAAAAATCGAGAATGTCATGTGAGATAACGGTAAAACTACAGTATTTCCGAGCATTGAAAAGTTAGTTGAATTCAATTTCAAACAAAAAATTTAACTCAAAATAAACTGGTCTCTCTCATAAAAAATTTTTGTAAATGAAGGTCGTAGAGTTAAGCCGATCTCCAGACTTTTAGGGAGTTGAAAATTAGTGTTTTGTTACATTCAAACTGTTTTTTGCAAGAGTTAGTCAAGTGCAAATAAATGTACAAAATTTGAATCTTAAAATTCGTTCGGTTTACTGCGCTTCTCGAAGTGAAACATTTCGCGTCCCGACCTTTCGGGTCGACGAAAGCTGGTCGCCGCAAAATGGATTGATACGGTGTGCAAAAAAAATGTAGAAGGTGCCCACGAGGCCTGGCAGAGCCGTTGAATTGTGGGCGGACATTCGGCGAAGGCCCGGCGGAGATTTTGGCGAAGACTTGCAATATGTTCAATTTTCCTAATTTTTGCAATTATATAATACTAAGGTTAGATTTTTTATCCTAAATTATTATAACATATAGAAGACCAAAAATCAGCAAAGTTTGCCGAGTGCTGTGAAGCAGAATTATTATTTTATGATGCAGGGCCTGTCACTAATTACAATAAATTTGAAGCCATGTTAACACTTGTAAAAACTAATTAACAGGGGAAGTACCCCAAGTGCGACGCTCAGATTTTCTTTAAATTTTGCACACGCGTCGGGCATAAACTAAATATCGATTCCTGAAAGTTTTAGCTCGCGCTTTGCAAGCTCCACCGAGATATGAAACTGTTTTTGTCGCCGAGAAAGTACGCGAAACGCGGAGAGCGGTCAGAGAGAAAAACGTTTTTTGGCCATAACTTTGGCAGTTTCGTTCGGAAAAATTTTATTTTTTGTAGAAAAATTATCCTTTACGGTAGAAATCGGTATGAAACTTTTCGTGCCGGAATTCGGCAAAAAGTGTAAATTTTTTGCCGACTTTCGATCTAAAAATCTCGGTGGTTTCTGCAAAGCGCGAGCTAGGATTCTCGCATATATCTTAGAAAAAATTATTCTAAATTTGTGCCAAGTTTCATCAAAATTTGAGCTTCGCACTTCGGGTACTTCCCATGTAAATTATGTCAGTCTGTCGGGAAAATAATGAGCAAAATGTCGTAAGATAATCAATCGCGTCGCTGCAGTGAAAAGCAGATGATTTACCGTTACAAAATCTATTTTCTTGGTAAGGGAGGGGAGATGAGATTTTCAATGCTCATTATTTCCCCGACAGACTGGTAGAATTGTGATTCCGTGTTAGTTCAAAAAAATCACGATTTCCCAAAAGTTTCAAAAATCAAGGCATTATTAAAGTGTCCCTTTCCACTTGCCTGCAATACTGTCTGAATCCAACAATATCTAAATACGAAAGCTTGAAAATTGGCTTACAAAAAAGTGCGTTGAACTGCCTTCAAAAACAGTTGCAGTTCTATTTTTACCTCTCTGTTTTTATCCAATTAGCCCGGGCATTCAAATTACACACAAGAGTGGAGGAAAAGACCTTGTGATCGGCCGGATCAGAGGCCCGAAATAAGTTTTTTTCGGAAAACATTTTTTTACTTTTTGATTCTTTTACTGTATAAAACTTACTCCATTTTCCAGCTAACCTTTTGCCTTTACTTCAGTATCATTTTTCACTGTATAAACATTAATTTTTCCATTGAAATGTGATTTTCAAAGATTAAAGGGGCTTTTGAAAAGAGGAGAAAAGCGTTTTAAAATAGTTGCAGAATCGCTAAAAAGGCTATAAAATACAATTACTGTAATAAAAAAAATTTTACTGTAACAAAAACAAATTCAAAACTACATAACAATGCATACGTTTTGCTTGAATTTTTGGTAAATACACATGTTTTGCTTGCAGCTTTCGATTTGTAAAATACGATTTATTGACATTACCGTATATAAGATTTTGACTTTCGCATGGCTGTATATCCTGAGTTTTTAACGATTTTTTGCTTATTGTCCCAGCACTGCACAACACACTTGTTCGTTAATAAAGTTGATTGGTTGTATACAGGGTTTCACACTTCACGACTTCATAGTTAAAGTTCAGATTTATGTGACAATTAAAACCATCAAAGAAGCTATTATATTATATCCTTTATCAGTCTACACAAAAGTATTTACTTTATTTATTTTTGCCATATATATGTCCAATGATGTGTACATGTAACTGCGACAATATTAATTCATTCCTCCATCCATCCAGAGAACTGTGCGAACCTTTCCAAGTCATAAAGTTTGATCAATTCTTTTGTCCGAATCAGCCCTTGTCGGGTTCGTTTTGTCAAAACAGCGAACTTCGGCTCCACATAATTATTTTGCTTATGTTGTAAGGCAATCATAGATACATAGAGGCAAGCTTGTGTGTCTTGATGAATGAGGGCCAAATGGAAAAGTTCAAGGCCCTGAAACATATTTCAAACATAAATATAAATATAAATAAACATATACATATACTTATACGTATACATATACATATACATATACATATACATATACATATACATATACATATACATATACATATACATATACATATACATATACATATACATATACATATACATATACATATACATATACATATACATATACATATACATATACATATACATATACATATACATATACATATACATATACATATACATATACATATACATATACATCTACATACATATACTTACACATATTTATAACTGGTATGATAGTATTGCAAGTAAAGCAACTCTCAGGAGCTAAGACTTGCCTGTTGATAAGTAAACGGCGGTTTGTGGCAAGATTTGGCATACAAGTCGGACAACGTCTTATAGTAGAGATCGTAGAACTTGGTCTCGGCTTTCTCTCGGACTTCAGCGTCCACGCAAAGACAAATGAATCTGGCCATGTCGAAGGCGGGGGATCCTGAAAGGAAGAATACTGTTATTCAGACTGTCAAACGTAGTGATAAAATATTACTTAATTATGTATGGTTATTTTTGGCTGGGAAGTGGTCAAAGCACCATGCTCAGATTTGCTGGAACTTTCATAGATATGTTTTACATAGATTACTTTTTTTAGAACGAATGCGCAGCTCACGGTACTACAGACGGTCATATGATTGAAAAAATCGGCAATTTTATGCGAAACATGGCAAAAAAAGCTTTCTGGTTTCCTCTGTGGCAGCCGTCTGCGTTTTGCCTACTCTCTTGGGTTTTCCGGCATAGGCCTTGCTTATTGCGAGCAAAGTACCAAACGGGCTAAAAACTATGAAAAAAACCGGCTACAGTCGTATGTTTTGTAGTGCTAAATTCCGCTGAAAAAACAGGTATGTCGCCTTGAAAAGCGGGATTTTTTGAAACATCTAAACAAGATGTTTTTTATTCAGACGAGTAGACGCCATAACTTACCATGAAAAACCAACTGCCAGTCAATAATAGAGACCAACTCATTGCTGAAAGATCCATCTTTCTTCAATCCAAACATCAAATTGTTGGGTTGACAATCCCCATGACACATCGTTGTGGCATCTGCGAAAAAATAAGCGAGATTAAAAAGTTGTTACTTGGTTTAAGGTGACAGTTTTTATTTATATTAGAATACGAGATTCGAAAGTATGAAACAATAAAAACGCGGCTTACTGTACTCCTCAGGCTTCTCCCTCAACGAATACAAACAAAATTCTTTGTTTTGAAAAGGCTTCGCGATCTCCAAGAAATCCTTTAAATCATCGATTGTTCGGGCAAATTCCCACAGGGGCTTTACAAGATTCATGTCAAAGTCGGTGTGAATGTTGGCGTGCAGTTGCATCCACCACTCCTTGTGCCGTGGAGCGGCAGCGCAGAATTGGAAATTGGCCACAGCTTTGGCTAACTAAAGGAACAGGCTTTAATTGCTGAGGAGCTTTTTTAAAACCGGCTTTTGACTGAATTTACCTGAGGCAATTTTACAGGCACTTATTAATTTAATCCTACAGGAAATGCTGGGCCAAATGAAGGTCTTATTGGTTAGGTGATAACAAACGTCTGTTTGAATTAACAAACGTTCTTTTACAGGGTATTCCATCTTTGTGGCTAAACTTCTTTATCTTTGGGCCAAATTTGAAGATTCTTTATTCATTGAATCCTCAGAACCCTTAATTTTAACAGTCGAATGAGCGAACCAAATTTTTTTTGTTGATTGTAACTTTTCGCTGTAGTTTAAGAAAAAAAGGTCTAGCATCTTTGGTATTATACAAAATGGGAGATTCCGAGGATTTAGAGGTAAAAAGAATCTTCAAATTTGGCCAAAAAATAACGAAGTTATAGCCAATTCAAATCGGGCCACAAAGATGGCATTGTGCCGCGACAAAATCAAGTTATTTTTCACTTTAGCGACGCGATTGACGCAGCGACGCTGCGCTCATTATTTTCCCGACAGTCTAATAGACTGCAGTTACCTCCTCGTCTATCGGAAAAATAGTAAGGACTTTGTTAAGGACAGTGAAAATCGCGTTGCCGCCGAGAAACTGAATTTTGTCGCGGAAAAATGAAGTAGCTTTTTTTCAGCTGCGCGACAGAGCGACATTGCGTTCTCTATTTTCCTGACACATTGATATAAAACGGTTTGCCATTGTGATTGCCGCTGTTCTTATAGCAACACCTCTCTGTGGAAAAACCTTTTCTAACAATAAGGGGCGCCAGTGCAACACTGGAATTTTACCTGATAGCACTGCTCCTCCGTTGCGCTTCGATAAAATCCGAGAGCGCCGGACCGAGTAGCCAAATTTTCCATTAGGATCAACCCTTTCTCTCCGTTTGCCAAGTTCGTCTTTTCTGTGTAGTAGACATCAGGCAATGGGACATTTCTCATGTACAAAAATTGATCATAAAAGTCGCACTCAATCGAATGAGCGTCCAGTGTCTCGCCTGGTGGAGAATCTCTTGTCTAAAATAGCGTTTTAAAGAGATTGCTAGCGGATAGCGGTAAGCGGACATGAAAGATATGTCTTACCGTATAAAATAGGTTTGTTTTTCGCTTAAAAGTTACAGTTTTAAATTTTTATTTACCTCTCCATCAGCCCCACAAATCGAGTCGATCCCTCCGACCAGCGGAATCTTTGCAATTACACTGACATTTTGACCGTTGGAAAACCCAATCACAACATTGTAAATCTTGGACAAGAAGCCCGTTGTGACCCCAATTCGTGTGTAGGTTATCTGAAGGTTATGTATGTATGTAAAATACAAAATAAAAATAATTTTCAAATTAGCGAACTTTATAAATACTTACATCAACAACATTGGACTTTTCACAAAGTTTTTGAAACCTTTGATGAGTCTTGGAAAGGAGATCAGTGAGTCGGGTGAAGGTCAAGCCAGTATCGTCAATTGCCTTCTCCTCCGGCTGGGCATTCTCAAAGCCGATGGCGTATCCGTTGGCTTCGACTAGCATTATGGGAGCTGAAAATTGATTTGAAGACAGTCTGTTTAAGGTTCTGGACTGAAGGCGGTATCATGGACGTAAAAAAGGATGACTATTCGTACTTTTATAAATTGGTGAGGAGAAGCACAAAAATAGGAATCCTGTGCACCATAAAGCTTTCTTACCCATTAAGGTTGCATCTCAAAAGGAAAAGGTTTTTTTGATAGTGCAATTAGAGAGAAAACGCTTTTCTCTACCGTAGAGTTACGTATAGTTATGAAACTTTTAATGCCAAAACACGCCAAAAATGCCACATTTTTGATAGCTTTTGATCCTAAAATTCAGGCTATTTTTCCATATGGCTATATATCGAAAAAATGTCATAGAAAAAAATTATCTATATTTGTACCAAGTTTCATCAAAATCTGTCAATTTTTGAGTTTTCACTTGGGGTTTTGAAGCTTCCGGCTTGAACAAAGAATATATAAGTAATATTTTGGAACCCTTTGGCAACATGTCACTAGTCGGCCTTGCTCTGCATCTGCACAGTTACCACCGCCACACAGCCCCGGTATTATGCTACATTGAGCCGACCGAACAATAATTGTAGAAGACTTTCCCGTTTTATAGCCGACTCAACGCGACCTTGAAAGTGACAAGGGTTCGTTTTCTGGATCAGAAAACTTGAAGCCGGCGTTCGGTGCAACAAAAAACCAATTCTTTGGGAAAGTTTCCGCTAATTAACCTTAAGTACCAATGTAGTTGAAGACTCCATGAACCTTGAGTTCAAATTAAAATTATTCGATTTAAACATTTGCTTTTGATGTAACAAGCTTAACTAGGGAACAAGTCATTCAGCAGTCTTGGGGAGTCAGGCGATTCTCTTTATTTGTCATCATTTTTTAAATGATGACATTAAAATGAAGTTCTTCTTCTGCCAAGCTCTACAGCAGCGACTTCTTGAAGATTTGTGACGATCTACATTCCCAATGATCCTAAAGCTGATCTACAGTGAATTTCAGACCACATTTTTGGCGACAAAAAGAGAGTAATTTTTCCGCTTGACTTGTCGTTTTACCGTTCCGCTGATGTTTCAAAAACTTGCTCTTTTGACCTCACGAGATCGTTAGTCTTTAATGTAGTTCTTTGATTGAGGCGTGAAAGTAAAAGCAGAGATCTCCTGAAACGTTTCAAATCGCCATACTTTAGATGCAAGTCCTGGTCGGAAGGAGGCATTGAAATCAAGGAATTGCTCACAGGGGAAGTACTCCAAGTGCGACGCTCAGATTTTCTTTAAATTTTGCACACACGTTGGGTAGCGATTAAATATCAATTCCTGAAAATTTTAGCTCGCGCTTTGTGGGCGCCGCCGAAATATCGAACGATTTTTGCCGCCGAGAGAGCACGCTAAACGTGGAGAGCGGTCAGAGAGAAAGGCGCTTTTTGGCCATAGCTTTGGCAGTTTCGTTCGGAAAAATTTGATTTTTTGTAGAAACATTATCCTTTACAGTTGAAATAGGCATGAAACTTTTCGTGCCGAAATTCGGCAAAAAGTCCTAAATTTTCGCCGACTTTCGATCAAAAAATCTCGGTTGTTTCTGTAAAGCGCGAGCTAGGATTCTCGCATATATCTTAGAACAGATTATTCTAAATTTGTGCCAAGTTTCATCAAAATCTGAGCGTCGCACTTGGAGTACTTCCCCTGTCAACCAAATCTAGAAAGCCCACCAATCTGATGGGAAAAATGCGGATATGTCGGAGAAAAATGGACCGTCTTGTCGCCCATTTTGTGATGATAACATTGTTTTACGAAGGCATATGTCCCGGAAGCCCGGACAGTACAAAGGGTTTGTTCATACTAGGCCTTTTGGAAAGCCGCCGGACTGAAATGAACAATTGAAATGAACAACACGCACTTCGAGGAAATTCATTTACTTTTACTCCTTTTCTGCTGCGTTAGTCGGCTTTTCACCTGCTCAAAAATGCAAAAAAGTTTACTGCTTATGCGGCAGGAATTGTAATTGCAATAGCCTAATTTAATAGGCTTTGTAACAATAAAGTTTTCCAGGTTTCTGTCATCGCTCACGTTTCTGCTCAACCCTCGATTTGATTATAATTTCTTTCATGCATCCCGTTTTTTGGCCGCTACCAATTTGATTACAGTACTCTTTATAAAACTACATTTTCTATAAAATCCCCCTCTGTTCTTTGAAATTTCAAACGAACAAAATCGTACGTAGATCCGGCAAAAATTATTGTAAATCCCTTGCACTCTGAAATTTACATGCAGACTCGTCGAGTTACTAGTGGATTAACCTTTGAGAAACTTCCAAAAGTCGATGTAAATGGTTTGAAATGCGGATTACTGTGCGATTCATCTTCGAATAATCAGGTTTGACGGGGAAATGAATGATCACATGTATAGCATGGACTTGTTTACCAACGGAAACTCGTGAAATAATCAAATCCGGAAAGCAAGAAAAAAGTTTTGTTATGGTATTTAGGGAGTAGCAATGTTAGTGGTAAGTTCGTATTTGGGTTTGTGAGAGAGCTTTGGTCAGCATTGTAGTGGTCGTTTCGAGCGCTTCTCTTGTTAACATCGTCATTGAGACTTTTGCGGGTACCCGACATTTACCGATTATAATTACATTCTTTCTACCGTAACCTACGTAGTATGAGAGAATTTTTCCGCTAACAACTCCCTGGCACTGATACGTAGACGAATCGGGGCAAAGGTAGTACAAACCCCAGTCCAGCTCAGACCACCATGACCCAGTACAAAACCCCTTATTCAATTTGAAAAAGTGTGTCGTCAGTAAGTTTTTTTTTGTGAATGCTGTCGAAGCTCCAGACAACGGATCATCTTTGCTCTAAAACGACTCTGAACTCGGAAAGCCCCGACGAATCGATGGCGGGCCCACACTTGCGGCACTTTGCGGGCAGCTAAAAGAACCACGGAGATTCTGCTGGCATATTTGGAAATCTGCCAACATTTGCTTACAACAGGAAACACAAACAATATATTTGGCAGTTAGATGTCGCCAGTTAATTTCCGGATGTATAAGTGGGTTGAATGGTTACTATAAAGTTAAGTATGCATTTTTAAACGTTCAGGAGCCATTTTTTTGGAAAAAAACCCCCAAAAAATCCCAACGCAGAAAAGGAGGTTTGCTCACAAGGGAAGTACTCCAAGTGCGACCCTCAGATTTTGATGAAACTTGGCACAAATCTAGAATAATTTTTTCTAAGATATATGCGAGAATCCTAGCTCGCGCTTTGCAGAAACAACCGAGATTTTTATGTCGAAAGTCAGCGAAAATTTAGGACTTTTTGCCGAATTTTGGCACGAAAAGTTTCATACCTATTTCTACCGTAAAGGATAATGTTTCCACAAAAAATCAATTTTTTCCGCACGAAACAAGCAAAGTTATGGCCAAAAAATGTTTTTCCCTCTGTCCGCTCTCCATGTTTAGCGCACTCTCTCGGAGGCAAAGATCGTTCAATATCTCGGCGGCGTCGAAAAAGCGCGAGCTAAAACTTTCAGGAATTGTTACATAGTTCATGCCCGACGTGTGTTCAAAATTTAAAGAAAATCGGAGCTTAAAATCGGAGAATTTGAGGTACTTCCCTTGTCAGTTTGCATCGGCCATTTCGAGCACTTATCCTGTTACCGTTGCTCCTCTAAAGCCTGTATTAAACCCATAAAGTACATCATGGTCGGCTTTGTCACATGCAACTTCTTTACCTCAAGTATATGTTTGTGTATGTGTATGATATACGTGACATTATTTGACATTGCCCTTTCCTAACTCTTTGTAGAATATGCAATTACTCGAATTACGCCTAGCATAGAAATAAGTCTATGAAATTATAATTTGAATATTAGGAAATGTCTGAACGGCTGCAACGTTCGCCAGGCCGTTATATGGTTATAATTACCGTCTTCTTGCCGCTTTTCTAAGAATCGACAACAGTGTTTTGTGATGTCCCGAACTGTCACAGTCTGTAACTTCATCCTTGGAGACGACAACAAAATTTCTTGTTTTGAAATTAGGCTACAAAATTATGTTTTTGAAGGCTAGACGAATAATTTTATGCGTATACAAGTAGACGTGTATGTAGAAGAGTCCAGAAGAGTAACCGGGGGAGGGCTACGTTCAGATTTTGAAGAAACATTTTTTACAAGATGTATCCGAGACCTCTAGCCTCCAATTTGCTGAAACAGTATTTTTGGGTAAAAATTTTGAAAAAATGCGACGCTTTTCTTGCGAATTTTAATTATAAATTTTGTCATGAAGAGTTTCATGACTATTTTTGCCCCACCGTTACTGTAAGGAATAATGTTTCCGTAAAAAATCAATTTTTCCAATGCGGTTTTCTCTCTGACTGCTCTCCACGTCTAACGTACTGTGGAGGACCTCATCCAGTGGTAAAAAAAGTATCATTTTGCATCCGGGAAGTATCAAAAATGTGATAAAATGCTTCCCTCTCCAAGTGAAAAAACTCCGATTTCAAAAGCGCGCCCGCTCTTTTTGTGAGGGGCCCTTCAAAACGGAGTTTTTTCACTTGGAGGGGGGGGCATTTTGCCACATTTTGATGCTTCCCACAAAATGCTACGTAATAAAATTTTTTGATAAATCATATATACAGTGGAGGACCTGATCCAGTGGCAAAAAACATACCATTTTGCATCCGGGAAGTATCAAAAAAGTGGTAAAATGCTTCCCTCTCCAAGTGAAAATACTCCAATTTAAAAGCGCGCCCTTCAACGCGAAGTTTTTTCACTTGGAGGGGGAAGCATTTTGCCACATTTTTGATGCTTCCCGGATACAAAATGGCACGTTTTTTGCCACTGGATCAGGTCGCTCACTGTACTTTCTCCACGGGAAAGATGGTTTGATAGTAAAGCCGATCCTGTGCATAAAGTGCAAGCTAAACTTTCAGCAATTGAAATATGGTCTATATATACTTATTTTAATACGGGTCAAGTTTAAAGAAGATCTGAATGCCGCACAGGGAAGTTTTCCTTTTGTTAGCTATGCCATATAACATTTCCTTTGTAGTTTCCTTTGTTTTTACTTTCAACGCCACTACGCTACTTCCTTGGTCTAAAAATTTCATCAAAAAAATGACCGATTTCGTTAGCAAAATGACCACCAAAGGTGTTCCAGAATTGGCAGGTGTTGCTGTGTTTATTAACAAAAGATTTCGTCCTTGAACGTGTGCTTTAGACCATGTTCTCTGACATTTGGCGTAGTTTTATTACTTCCGCGGTTATGTGTAAAATTCGGTGTCATTATTCAAGCGATTAGAAGTACATTAAAACACGTTTTCCTCCGCTTTCGCAGGTGTACGGCAACGTATAAAAACGCATTGTACGATGCTAGTTTACTGTTTTTTCGATTTTGATAATGTTCTTTTACTTATATGAAAATATCGAGAGGAGTGACGTCATGTTTGTTTTGAAAGATGACGAGGAAAATGCCGCGAAGTGAAGCGTTTTTATTATAAAAGTTTTATAAAATTTTTGTTTCAGAAATGATCATAATGACTCCAATGACGATGCCTGATAAATCCTTGACAATTCCGCTGGCAATTTATTTGGGAATTTCCGGTTTATTGGCGATTTGGTCGTGTGGAAATATCGTTGTGGCTGGCTTCAGAAAAAAGTAAGTTTTTTGAGGAGCTTTTTTAGGGATTTCATTTCTTTTACCCTGTACTTATTTTATTTTTTTGTTTTGTTTTGTTTTTTTTTGATCGCAAATACAGCGGGGGACCTGATCCAGTGGCAAAAAACCCACCATTTTGCATCCAGGAAGTATCAAAAAATGTGGCAAAATACCTCCCTCTACAAGTGAAGAAACTCGGACTTTAAAAGCGCGCCCGTTATTTTTGTGAGGAAACAGGGCGCGCCCTTAAAAACAAAGTATTTTCGCTTGGAGAGGGAAGCATTTTGCCACATTTTTACAACTTCCCGGGTGCAAAATGGTACGTTTCTGCCGCTGGATCAGGCACTGTAGAGAAATTTATTTCTTTTCGAAAATTCATTAGAAGTTTTCTTCTGATGACTTAAAATTAATCTTTCTGCCTTTTCAGACGTCTTCGCCACAAATGCAACTATCTGATTTCATGCCAAGCCATTTGCATGATCGTACATTCGGTTGGCGCTCTTTCCATGTCCATGTTGGTTTTTAGTGACGGTCTTCATCGGTCGTCGTTGAATTGTTTTTACATTCAATGTATACCTCAATTTGGAATGTCGGCAGAGCTCGGATTCAGCTTGATGATAGGGCTGGACCGGTTTTTAAGTGTTAAACGGCCTTCAATGTAAGTGGTGAACTTGAATATTCAATTTTTTTTTATTTCTGAATATTCGAAATTAAAAAATTTGAATATTCAAATTTTGTAAAATTTCTGAATATTCAAAAATTTTATTTTTACCTTGAAACTTTTGTTATCAATTTTCAAAAGGCCAAAATAAAATTAAAATTTTTGAATATTCAAATTTTTTAATTTTAAATATGCAAATTTTTTCCAATCAAAATTCGGATTATTTCAGCTACTACAACATGGCTGCCTTCCCATATGTCCCATTCATGACGTTATTCCCGGTTTCGTTCGCCGCAGCCACCAGCCTAATCACATATTACTGCGCATACACACAGCCTGTGTAAGTGAATAAGTGTTTCTTAGGAAATGCAATCATAAATTTGATTGTCAGCAAAAGCAACGGCCAAAGAACAAGCAGTTAATGGGGTTACAAGCATGGCCAAGTCATAAAGCAGAGATCACAAATTTTTTCCGCGGTGAAGTTCTAAAAAATTGAAATTCAATTGGATGATCCAAAATTCTGGTAATTCTTAAAATTTTCCGGGGATTCCAATCATTGCGTGCTCCAAAATTGCATGCGATATCGTATTGCTACGAGTTTTAACAATAGACAATAGAAACCCCGGGCGCTAAACTTTTTAGACGCTTTTTCAGGCGACGGCTTCGGTAACCTTCCGGAAAAACAGCTCATAAAATGAGTTGTCACTGCTACCTAGTAACGATGCTGTGTCAGCGTCTTCTACGACCCTTGAAGATTATAATAACACCAATCCGAGACCAGCAGCGGCTGGCAAAGAGACGTGACTTGAGTTGTTTCGTACCCTGCCCAAATCGGGGCACTTCCGAGTTTTTAGCAATAGAAAATCCCGGCTATGCCGTAAGACTTTGCATTACACCCCAGATGAAACTTCGATAACCTCTCTATTAGTCTGTATGTATTTTAAACTAAGGAGGGATCTGAGCTAGTAAATAATAGACTTCGAACTTTTGCAAGAAAATCGTTATAACATATTATCCAACCTAATAAAATAAGAAATTCTGAGGATTCAGGAAAAAAGGATTCTTAATATTTGGCTGAAATGCTAAAAAAAGTTATAGCTACTTAAAACTCGACCAAAAGAAAAACGATTACTGCACCGAGTACTTCATGATTCTCAAATTCATCATTTTATGGCGAATTTCTTTTTCAGAGTCGTCCGCTGTTCCATCAACGGTCCGTTGGACAAATTCCTTCTCCGAGTCCTCCATTGGACCCACTGTTTCATTTGCTGTTTGACTCTCTTCATCTACCTCAAGGCTTGGCACTCGACGACCGCATTAAGCGCGACAAAACGAAAAATCATGAAAGCCTTAATCTTGATTGTCAGCGGATTCACGGCGTCCTGGCTGCTGACATCCGTTGGGTCGACGGTGATTTATTTGAACGACCTCCGAGACCCGTATTTGTTCGTTGCTCAGTTCTCCCTGACTGGCGTGCTGCTTTTGTGCGGAGTTTGGGACTACTGTATATACTACAGATTGAAGTAAGTTTGCGTATTTTTTGCTAAGAGCACTACTTTTTTACTTTTTTTTTATTAAATTACAAGTTTCTTCATAATTTCCTGAAAAAACGAGAAAAAAACTCTTTGTCGGGGAAGAAATGGGGGATTTTTGGGGCGAGAGAGTAGGTGCCGACGGTTATCGATTACCTTTGAGATTTTTCTTCTTCTACTTCATTCCCTTACAGTACAGTGGCGGGCCTGATCCACAAAAAACGCACAATTTCGCATACCAGCAGTATCAAAAATTGTGGCAAAAAAGCTCTAATTTCAAAAGCGCCACCATGGTGCACCGCTCTTTTTGTGGGAGGAAGGGCGCGCTCTTGAAAAAGAAGTTTTTTATCGCTGGCAAGGGAGGCATTTTGCCACATCTTATGATACATCCCGAATGCAAAATGGTACGATTTTTGCCGCTGGATCAAGTCCGTCGTTTTAAGCCTCCATCACTTTAAAATCCCTTTACATATTTACTTCATTTTATTCTCTCTCTCTCTCTCTCTCTCTCTCTCTCTCTCTCTCTCTCTCTCTCTCTCTCTCTCTCTCTCTCTCTCTCTCTCTCTCTCTCTCTCTCTCTCTCTCTCTCTCTCTCGCCCTTTGTTCCATTCGGGAACTGGGTTTGATATCCGCAGATGGCGGAGACACAAATGTGAATGCGTCAAGATTTTTTGCAAAATTTCACAGGAACTTGAGTCTTCACAGATTAAGATGCATCGTATTTTAACTCATCGTTTCTCCAAGCCTAAATTCCTCTCTAATCCGCTCAACTTTTTCAGTGCCGAATATCATCGTGCGTTTATCGAGCAATTGGGAGTTCATTGGTACAAAAAGTTGAATGCTCCTTCCGCGAATACCGAGGCTACTGGGACCGAAAGTAATGGGAGTACCACTCCGATCAAACAATTGTCTCCGACCGATACGATTCGACAATTGATAATTAAGCAATAACTGGGATTACTATTAGGGTGGTCCAAAAGTCTTTTCGTTTTTTTGTTAAAACTTTAAACATAATTTTACAACAAACGAAAACTAGTTAAGTTTCGAAGTAAAGGCCATTTGAATCTATAGCTTGAACCCATCTATCGGCAAGTTGTGCGATCCCGCTGCGGTACCGCTCCTTGTTCATAGAGGCGAAAAACTCGCGGCACCCGTTTTCGACATCGTCCAGATCATTCAAGCTACGACCACGCAGAAAGTGTGCCATGGAGCGAAAAAGGTGATAGTCGTGTGACACAATGTGCAGACTATTCGCTGGATGTGAAAGAAGTTCAATGGCGTCGAGAGTTTTGATTTTTTCCTTCGTTTGTTTGGCGGTGCGAGGTTTTGCGCTGTCTTGTTGCAGGTGTTCGCGGGTTCGATTGATCAAAGCGGGATATTTTTTGCCAATCGCTGCATACATTCGATCGAGTGGAGCGTAGTAGAGGTCTGCGTCGCTAGTCCGACCATTTGGAACCAACTCGAAGTGAATTACGCCTTCAAAATTGTTTTTTAAGACGTCTTGCCCTCGAGGTCCGTGTCGCCGTCGTTGAATCGTTTGAACCAATCGCGCAGTACGATCTGAGACTACATTGCAGCCTTCAACTTCGCTTATCTTCTTTGCTGCTGCAGTTGCGTTGAAGCCTTGTTTTCGGTAATAACGTAAAAAAACACGAATTTCGGATTTTTCCATGTTCTTTCTACAGCTTAACAGATTTTAAATAAAAGACCAATTAAAATTTTTAATATATATTATGATAAAGCAGCTCAAGACCTTTAAAAATATATATAATACATTCATCTAAAAGTCTTTATTTTGTACAAAAACAATTGGACAAAAAGACACCTGAAAAAACGAAAAGACTTTTGGACCACCCTAATAATAATAAAAACAAACCGAAAAAAATAAAATGATAAGTTCACTTTATTGTTAAGAATACATGTTGGCAAGTAAACATGAGGATTTACAGTGTGAAATTTCTATGAAACATGATAGTAAGTCGAAAAAATAGAATTTACAAGATGTACAAGATAAGTAGAAATTATTTTGAAAATACTGGCAAAATTACTGAGTGGCTTGAAAAAAAGGTAAAATACGAAATAAACATCTATTTTTCACTGTCAAAAAACAGCAATAAAGTTTATAAAATTTGTCAAAAACATCAAAAACTTCAAAAAATTTTGTTTTTTCGGATAAATTAGATCGTAAAACCGTTCAGAAATAACCGTAAAGCCTTCTAAATATTATTAAAAATCTTTTACAGTCTTTTTCTTTCATTTTCATCCCAAAAACCGCCTCTTCTGACAAAAAAATTATATTACACTAGGCATTTTTGGTCAAAATTTGAAAAAAATCCCAAAATCTTGTTCCAAACTCCCAAAAACACAATAAAATTAAAAGAACCTTCTATAAATCACCTAATTTCCCTCAAAACACCCCAGTAATTTCCAATATTTCCAAGTACAAGGCAAAAATCGGCAAGAATCTTCAAAAAACGTTCAAAATTCCAAAACCTGTATAACAGCTTCATTTTTTGCAGTCTCATTTAATCGGTGGTACCTGCAGAAGGTCTGGGTTAGATTCCATAATTCTGGACAACAATCCTCCCGTATATTCTTCCAGATCTCTGATTCTATTCTCTTTTAGTTGTAGCTCTTTTCTCAAGTGTCTAATCACATTCAGCAGGTGTTCCTTCGAAGTGTTGTCGCTCAAATCGTCCAAAATTCCGGGCCCTCCGTTCGAGGCGAATCCCGAGGACGACGCGATACTCTGGGCGCGGGAATGGCGCTTCGAATTCGCTTCATCAAGGTTGTCATCCACGGAGAGGACGGATTGACGGTTGTGGTTGCGATTTAGGAGCTTGTCCGCCTTCTGCCGGAGCTGAAAAATCAAAGGGAATTTAAAAAAAATTTTTGTGCTGCAGTGACGGACCTGATTCAGTGGCAAAAACGTAACATTTTGCATGCGGGAAGCATCAAAAATGTGGCAAAATGCCCCCCTCTCCAAGTGAAAAAACTTCGTTTTTAAGGATTTGCCTTCACAAAAAGAACGGACGCGCTTTTGAAACCGGATTTTTTTTCATCTGGAGACGGAAGCATTTTGCCACACTTTTTATACTTCCCGGATGCAAAATGGTAATTTTTTTCCACTCTATCAGGTCCATTACTGTAGAATAAAAAGCGTATTTTACCACTCCCCCAATTTATAAAGCCCTCCCTGATTTTCAGGGTTTTCGTGGTGGGACCCAAAAATTAAATAAAAATTCGAATTAAAACTCCGGCTAAACTTTCCAACAGATCAAAAGGGGCTTAGTAATTCCCAAAATAACATATTCACTCCACCTCAAAAGTTTTCGCTTCGAGAGCCACCAAGATTCCCAAAATTCTGGTCCCGCCACGAAAACTGGACAAAATTAAACACTCTCACAAATTCACTAAAACCACTCACTTTAGTTGCAAAATTCTTCTTTCCACTGTCGGGATTCGCATTCTCTTCGGCGATATTCATCGAATACTGGCTTATTGTGTCTTCTTTCGGGTTGGGGAAGGCGCTGAGCATGGCGGAGCTTCTGGCCGAGACATCCCGGTTCAATGGGACGTCCGCAAAAGCTGGGTGTGGATCGGATGGAGTCGATTGAGGGGATTCAAACTGAAATTAGGGAAATAAAATTCGAAAAAAATTTTTGGGTCCCACCACGAAAACCTTCAAATATCAAAAAATTGGTCAGAAATCGCTAACAATCTAAAGTCTGTATACAATTTTCAAGCTATATTCAGCACTTCTACTGCTCATTTATCATTCCCTTCGCTTAAAAAAATTTAAAAAAAAATTCTCTAGGTCCCGCCACGAAAACATCTTAATCTTCAGAACTCGCCAGAAATCAATAAAAATATTGGTAAATCCCATCAACAACAATTTCAACACCAAAAATACCCATTTTATACACTTTTTTTTAAAGCCTTCGGGTCTCACCACGAAAACTTGACAACCCTCAAAAAAGCGGTCAATCCCCTCAAACTCGTTCCTACCTGTAGTTCCTGTTGTGGATGTGGCGAGGCAATTGGTGAGAACGCAATGGCCGACGAATTTGAACAGATCGAAGAGCGCCTCGAGATCGCGTACGAGGCCATGGACGCACGGTCCAACTGGGCCTTCTTCTTGTTGCGGAATGGGATGTGGCGCTTGAATTTGTCCATTTTATTCTCTGCAAAGGCGATTTTTTATAATCGAATCAATTTTTATTCGAATATCAATCGAATAAAAGAAATGCAAATACTTCTTGGCCTTTGGGAGGAAATTTTCGAAAAAATCAAGACTTTTGGCCAGTTTAGAGAAAGGCTAATTGAAATTCAGGGTTCTTGAGAAATCTCAAGTAATAAAACAACACTTGCCAAGAAAACAAAAACCCTGTTTTAACAGAAAAAAGCGAAAAATCAATTTCGGCGCAGAAATTTTCAAGTATTACCCAAAAATTCCCCAAAAATCTCAAAAAACCTGCCTTTTTCAATTTCATTCAGCGAGAACTGCGAGATGGAGGTGTTAAATTGATTGCTGAATTCATAGGACATCAAGATTTGCCCTCGCAACATGTCTTCTTTGCCTTTTTTATGGAGATCATACCACTTGGCCGATTGCGTTTTTGGCATGTCCGCGAGTCGAAAACTTTTGGTCGCCAACGTCTCAGCATTACCTAATTTGGCCTTGTACTTGATGTTAATCAACAATTCGCTGAAGGTTTCGTTCACATTGCTGAAATCCGCAAGATTTTTTATATTATACTAGACAGTCCTGGTGGAAATGGCAAAAAATTGATTTTTCACTAAAAAAATCGGTTCGTAGTTAAGCCAAATGATTACAAATATCACAACAAAGGTGTGTAGCTGCTGTAAAATTGATTTACTCACAATTCAAGATGCTCATTCCAGTCGCAAACTCCATTTTCCAATCGAGTCGTGTTGGTGTCGACCTTGGCGCGAAACTTGCTGTGGCCGATCAAATTCAATGAGCAATACGAATCCAAGGCTCTGCCGTTCTTCGTTGGAACATCTCGCACTCGGATTACTGTAAAATTATTTTATTTTTTTCGTATTTTTGGCAAAAATGTTAATTTATTTTTTAACTTCCAAATTTTCTAAATTTCCTCCAAAAAATCGGTAAAACTCAAGTCAAAAAATGATTTTTGACTTGAAAAATCATTTTTCTTACTGTGCACGATGAGTGTGTTGTATTGCGAGGACATTCCGGCAGCTTGTCGGGCCTTTATCGCCGGTTTGAACGTGTTTTTGAAGGCCTTCGAGAGCTTGGTGGCAATGAAAACTTTAACCGAAGAAAACTTGAGCTTCTTGAGGAAACGCTTGTCTCGGCGGTTAGATTGAGCAACTGCGGGGTCTGAAATCTCATAATCTTAAGTATTACGGACTAAATAAATTTGAAATTTTCTAAAAAAAATGCATTTTCTCCCACAACCCAAAAATTTTAGGCAAAATTAATATAAACCATCTATTTTTTGTGGTCCTAAGCCAATAAAACACTCAAAAACAATTTTAAATCAAAAATTCATCCACATACTTCATTACAGCCACCAAAAGCAATCCAAATTTTACCTGAACCACCTTGAGAACGCTCTTCGAGGGCGGGAACGTTCGGATTTCGTCGATTTTGTTCAAGTCTGGCCTTTAGCGACTCGAAAACCTGTGATTGAACAACATTCATTTTCGACATTCGGTAACAAAGCCAACCGCGATATTAAAAATCCAATCAAATTGATAGAAAATTTAAAAAAATATCAAAATTTGCATAAACCCCCCAAAAAATTTCAAAAAAGTCAAAGAATTCTAAAAAAACAGCTACAAAAATATAAAAAAAAGACAAAGTAGACGTAGACAAAGACTTTTAACGCTTTCCTCCATCTTGAACAACAAAAATTTATTGGATTCAAACAAAAAATCGGCAACAAATAACAAAGAACAATGAAATAACGGATGTCGTAGGAGAAATTGGCCAATTTCTCAATCAAAAACAAAAACAATTTTATTGAGAGTGGCCTTGTTAATATTTTGAAACCCCCTAAAATTCCGCAATCACTTTGAAAATTCGAAAAACCGCCAAAAATTGTGATAGTTCGGCAGAAAACTCAAAAATCGCCCATTTCAACTCAAAATTTGAGAAAAAAAAATTTTTTTTAGTTTTCATCAGAATCTTCCTCTTCAATTAGCTCTTCTTCACTTTCCACGTCCACCTCGGCTCCCGAGTCCTCTTCAACACCATTTTCTTCAGCCTTTCCATTACTATTTCTTCTTGCTTTAGGCAATTTTTCGTCTTCTTCTTCGCTTTCCTCATCCGAACTTGCGCCCACTTCATCTCCCGATTCAAAAGCCATTTTGGCGTCCGGCCCATCGGCTTCGTATTGTAATCGAAGGAGGACGATGCTATTCTTGGCCTCCGGGACTTTGAACCATCTTCCGTTTTTGTGTTCTTGGCCGACGGCAATGGCCAAGGTTCGGCCGTCCTCGCTGAATTTGATCGAGTTGACGAAACCGGCCTTAAAATTCGAGGATATTGGGAGGAAATGGTTTCCTACACTACACTTAAAATTTCATTTTTTTCAACTTTTTATATAGTAAAATACGACTTGTTGTTGATCGGTATTAATCAAGGTGTTTTTATTTTAATAAAATATGTATTTGAAAGAAGCTGGGAGGGAAAAACTTTCATGGGTAATACAGTGGCAGACCTGATCCAATGGCCGAAAACGTACCATTTTGCACCCGGGAAGTATCAAAAAATGTAGCAAAATATCTCCCTCTCCAAGTAAAAAAGACTCCAATTTCAAAAGCGCACTGTGAGGAAAGGGCGCTCTCTTCAAAAAGGAGTTTTTTAGTTGGAGAGGGAGTTATTTTGCTACATTCTTTGGTACTCCCCGGATGCAAAATGGTACGTTTTTTTGCCACTGGATGAGGTCCGTTACTGTATTACTCATAAAAATTTCTTTGCCCAAATTTTATCCCAACTTCTTTCAAATACATATTTTATCAAAATAAAAACACCTTCTTGATTAAAACCAACCAACAACAAGTCCTATTTTACCACTTTCACCCACTAAAAACCAAATTTTTTACTTTATTTTAGATCTCGACACCCCCAAAAACCTCTAAATTTCTCGTTAATCAAGCGTTTTCTATTATTATCAATCTATATCAAAGTCGATTTCGGAACACTCTCCCTCTATTTTTTACAACACACTTCAATTTTTCAAATTCCTCGAACAAAAAACAGTCGAAAAACGTTTTCACCAGTAATTCAGGAAGAAGAGCGCGATAGACGTGAAACCACAAATATTTTCGGTAAACATAAAGTTCAATAGACGATTTTAAGAGGGTATTATCATCCGACGTGTATTTTACTTCATTCATAACTGTGCAAAACCAAAAGGTAAACCAAAAATACCTATTACAATATAAAACCCATACTTTTTGGTCAAAGGTTAGCTATTTTTGATGAAAAAAAAACATCTATACAGCTGATATAAGCCCCAAAATTTCTGATTTACAATCAAAGCCCTTTCAGGTCATTGATCGATTATGAAATTCAAATTTCCGATGAGAAACAAAAACGGAAATAGGCGAGTCTGCGTTCCCCTTGCCTCCATTGCCCTATTGATAAGCCGAAGTCAACAAGAGCCTTCGAAACTATCGGAAACGCCATGATCTTTAAGAAAAAATCAAAATCACACAAGGCATATCAAAGAAGTTTTACCTTATTTTGACTTGTCAACTACCAAGTCAAAATAAGTTAAAACTGCCTTCATCAAGTGAGACTCCGTAAATAGCACCTGTTAACCCGATTAAACCACCCGCTGGCAGGTGAGGAATTGACGAAAGGCTTTTCAACGCGTAATCCGGTCAAGACTTAGAGCAATATCAATCAATTTTGCCTTCAAGACACTAGATATCTCATGGATAATACAAATAAAGCTTCTTAATCACCAACTTCTCTCAAGTCGATCATAAGGAGAGGCCAAAATTTTTTATGATAAAACTCAAAAAAGCAAATAACAAATCGGTTTGATTCGAGGAGAAAAACATAAAAAGCACGCCCTTTTCCCTTGAGGCAGCAATTTTGAGGAATTCTCGAGCAAATGTCAATCAGTGGAGGACAAAACGAAGAATAAATTGAGGTCTGGAATAAGGGCTCTCGCGAAAAATACGACAATTTCGCGCGAATGGCGTGAGGGTCAGAGGGATCGGAAAATGGAGAATATGACCTTCTCATGTTATTGAATACTATTCAAAGACTGACCTCTTTGCATTTACTATCCCTGGAGTCAAAACACACAAAAGACCAGGCGTTCTTTCAGCGACAGACTTTGGAATTTCATGATCAATGAGGCGTTCCATAAAATCATTGAATATTGCCTACTCATAGTTCAAAACCTCATAAACCACAGAACGAGAGAGGTTTTAGACCTGCTCCGTCAAAGCAGTAAAGAGTTTCATGGAAAACTGTTGAAAACGGCTAACTTTGTCGTTTTCACAAGGCATAATGAGCGCTTCCATGTGAGAAAGCCCTCATTATGCATTCTAATCAAGAATTCCGGACATTTCTTCCTCAAAACCGCTTTGTAAGACAGATTGTTACTCATTCTTCAAGACTCAAATAATTTATGAATCTCAATTTCGCAATATAAAGATTGTAAAAGGGCGGAAGATAAGACTCCAACGCCAATGACGATGAATACACAAGAGAACATGATATTTATTTTATTTACCGCGCGAATAAACCCGTACACTACAGAAGCAAGATAAATGGAGTAATCAGTTGGGAAACAATGCGGTATCATACTAATCGCGCTCAAAAGTCTTGACAATTTTCGCACCGTGCATTCTTCTTTCATTTCGCATTTGTCGCCGCAATTTCCCTTTTTTCACTAGCGACATGCACTTTTGCGCGCGACGAACCCGAATTTGCAGGGGCGACGTCCAAAACCCAAAGTTTCGCACGGTGCGAAAATTGTCAGGACTTTTGAGCGCGATTAGTATTCTAGAACAAAAAGTCGGAGTTTCAGGGTCCAACCATCCGCTTAATCCAAAACATCATATAGCATTTTACGACCAGAAAAAAACTACTTCCAATTCTCTCAACCAGGCTCTAATTTCTCCTCGAAGTTGGGGGAAAAGCGTCTCTCTTCCAGTGAAAGCTCATTCCCCTTGCAAATGTTAATTGGGATCTCGGATCGAATTACGCAACTACATTAATTTTACGACAAGAACTACTCGCAGGCATCAAAAACCGCAAAAAAATTGGGTAGAAAAAAACGGGTGAGTTAAATATATTGCGCGACGGTTCTGCTGTACATCTTCTACATGATGTTTCCTTCGGGTTTTTTGCGCTCGATCGCCTTCGATTTCTGGGGCCTCAAAAAGCAAATAAAACAAACTTGCTTCAGACTTATTCCGCTCGTGCAAAAAACACACGACTAAATCGCCGATGGGGGCGTCTTTGAGCGGCTTAAGGGCTATTATATACACTAAAAACCTCGGGCGCTATTATAAGGTATTGTTTCGCAATTTTATGGCATACTACGCAGGGTTAAGGGAAAATTTAGAGGAACTAATGGGGAAAATTAAGATTTCGTTATCAAAACTAGTGGTGTCTATCATTCAACGAGCAAAAAATCTACGTATACTGTTAGTATAGTGATGATAAGTCTATCCTTAAGCCGATTTGATATTAGTAATACGAACGAAATTTAGATGACACCTTCATTCAATGGGCGAATAAATGATCCACATGTGTGGTGATGGACAAGACGAACAAAATAAGGAAGACATGTTCCGCTTTCCGCTTCATAATGTCATCAAAGGACAAAAAAATCTGCCCATTTCGAACAAACTCCTTTTCGATTCCAAAAAACCCTCTAATTCATCCAAGATATCACGTATAAAGAACAAAATCGGCATTTCAACCATCCCAAGAGCCTTTTCGCATCCGTTGAGACATCAAATTACGCTAATGGACTTCCAAAATGTACAAAAAATCTTTGTTATCATTTCCAGTTTTTGCAGCAAAATAAAAATTTTGCGGAAAAAACATCCATCCAGAAAACAAAACATTTCATCGCATTCAAGATCTGGAAGTGGAGTGAGAAATCGGGTTTGAAACCGGGATTGCGTAACGCATACAGGGATGTTTACGTTTTCGGGTCGAGTCTTATTCAAACTCAGAAACCTACGGAAAAGTAAAAATTTTCCTGTTCCTTTTATGAATAATCAAGAGCATTCAGCAGCACAAAACTGAATGGCAAAACGGAATGCAAAAGAGGGAGTCTTTTGTAGCTTGTAATTTCGGAGAAACAGGAATAATACCGCGAAAACTCGAGATTTCGAGGAAGAGAGCTGCAGAATTTGAATGACAATCGGGAATGCAAACGACAACAGGGATTCGACAAAAAAAAATTAGTCCAAGCGCCATGAATGAAAAAAAGAGGCTCAAAATCAGGGTGTCGTTGGTAAAAAGGCCAAGAAAGAAGTCAGAATGAGCTCGAAGTTGATATGAATGACTGACTTTCATATCAAACCCGAGCCCATTCTGACTTCTTTCTTGACCTTTTTATCGACTAAAACCGTACAGAAGATTAACCCCAGCGGTTGTTCGAGAAACTGCTATTCATGCAACCATTATCGCAATTCTTAGAATCAAAGTCAACTCTCTTCTACAACAAGAGAGTTGAACTTGATTCTAAGAATTGCAATAACGATACGATTGTCATACCTCTTTCCAACGTCTCGTGCTATTTCAATTCAACACGGAACGTTGGAAAGAGATATGACAATCACTCTTCTCAAAGCCAAATGAGCACCGATTTCACCGTTTATCCCTCGGTCTAAACGTACACAGAACGAGACATCCTACTTTACGAACACCAGTCAAATCGAACATCTCTTTCCACAACGGAATCATTACAAATTTCCGCTCACTTCCTTTACAACCTCAAGACTGTAATTATTTCTTCGAACCCGCTATTTTCTCCGCTGCGGAGAGCGGAAATCCACCACGCAACGAAATTGCCGTGAGGGATCTCTTACTTCCCAACGTAACGAGTACTTGAGCGATTCTAATCTCGATTCGTTCCCATTTTTTCGCACCTTGTGCCCTCCGGGAAAAGGGAAAAAGTCGGATTCCTTTCATTTCGAGACGCACAAAAGAAATTAAACGGAGCGAGGGCGAAGACAACGCTGGGCGATTCAAGAGGGCGAGAAAAAGTGAGGGAAAGTCAGAGTAAAAACTTGGTTTCATCCTTGAATTCTGTGAAGCAAAACGACGATCGAGGAAGTAAGAGGACACTCCTATCATGACAAATCAGACCTCAACGACTCAAGATATCAGAATTCAAACTGATTTTTCATCAAAAAAATCATCGTTTCCTTCATTATCTCATCCCTAGTATAATATTCCACAAAAAATATCTCTCCGTTCAAGCCAAAGACGCAAGTCAATCAAGTCAGAAGACATTCAGAGGGATCCAGAAGACATCAAAATCATCAGCTTATTACGCAGCAAGATTCCTGACCACTTCCGATTATCCATTTCTCACGCTTGTTCTTGCAGCCGCAAAAAAGCAACAGGAACTTCTCAAAAAACCAACAATCCGCGCTATCATGCCTAATTAACCTCCATTTCGACTTGATTTCTCAATTTTTTTCGGATATCCATTAGACCTCTGCCTTTTGTCAAATACGTCATGGAATCCGATTTTATGGCTCTGTTATTGTTTGTACAGACGTTTCAAAGGGTTTATGGGTTTTTGGAATGAATAAAATTGCAAAAAAATAATGGAAAACAGCAAACTTAATTCTCTTTTATATTATTCATGAAAAAAAATTTTTCTTCAAAGTGCTTTCTAAAACACTTTATCTACCGTAATCCTTCTATATCAGCCCATTCCTATCTATTCCACCATGTTGTGAGTAGAATTTTGCCACATCTTTCTCATCTAATCTCAAAATCAAGAGCTTACCACTTCTCCACTTACAATTTCGAATGTATCCACCAGCGTCAAGGTCTTATAGTCCTCACCGACCTTCCATAATTTGAGCACACCATCTGACGAGCCCGAAACAACAAGATCACTGTAAGGTCGAGCGGCAATCGAAGTTATCCATCGTGTCTCGCCAGTTTTTTCATCCGTTCCATGAGCATCACGGACCAAGCAGACGGGCTTTTTCTTGAACACCGACCACACATATATCGACCTAAAGGCCAAATAACAAAAGATAAATTATCTTACCCATTCATCTGGCCTGAGACATAATGATCTTCATTTATCATGGCAACACAATCCACGCTGACCGCATCGACCATTCCATTGAATACAAGCTGACTACTGTGTTCAATCTTGAAAAGATGAATTGTCCGTGCAGTTCCTCCAGCTGACACCAACTTAGGTTTGTTTAGCATGTCAATTTGTGTAATGGGGTCTGAATGTCCATATAAAACTTCGACAAAACCCATCTGCTCCAGATTCCATGACTAAAAAGAACTTAATTCATAACTTTTATCAAGAAAAACATTAGAACAACTTCAAAAATTGAAATTTCCGCATATGATGTCAAGTGCAATATAAAAATTCCGACTTACCCTAATGGCCTTGTCTGTACTCGCTGAATAAAGCTCATTTGTCCCTGTTCTAAACGCCAATGACGTTATTGGCCCTCTATGACCCCTTAGATTTTTGACATGCTTCAAATTGGACAGCTGATATACTCTAATTAAAGTGTCATCTCCACCCGAAGCAATGTATCGATCGTCTCCTGATATAGCTACACATTTGATTTGGCCTTTGTGTAATGTCTTGTCAGGATTTTTCTTTTGTGGCGCTAGTTTTCCAACAATCTTTTTCGTCTTCTGATCATCTGAAAGGTCATGGATGAGAGATAAGTGACCGATGAGGACCCAAAAAAAATAATCAAAAAACTAACTAACATTTAACAATACTTCCATCTTTTGAGCAACTAACAATATACCGCCCATTATTGGAGATGGCCACAGAAACCGGTGAAAATCGATGTGGCCGATAGACAATCGTCTTCTCTTCGTCGACAACAACTGTGTCAGCCACCCGTCTATGGAATTTGACAGTCTTTTCCAAGGCATCCTGCTTCAATCTATGAGATATTGCATCATAATCGGCATCTTCTTCTTCATCCGAATCTTGGACTTCAGGCTTTCGAGGTTTGTTGTCTTCCTGAAGAAGTGAGCGATAAAGGCCGTAAACATAAAAAACAAGAACGCTCTTGACGCTTCACATCCTTCTCTGCCAGCCAAAAATAAAAAGAACTCGGTGAAAGAACGAAAAATCGTCTGTTGGACATTGTGTAATAAAATTGATGCCAAAAACACCGATAGCCCGCTCTAACCAGTTAATAACCACTATTAAAAAGAAAATTAAGCAACTTCCTTGCTTCTATTACAGTCTCCTTCACGTTTTACTCCTAAATACCAAGAACAAACAAAAATTAAAAACCATACCTTCAATTTCTCCAGAAAATTTTTGGATTCTCTGTAGGCTTTGGCATGAGCATCCTCAAAGTCGTCCTCATCGCTAACATCAGCAAGAGGATGCCTCTCTACCTCATCCTCATCTGACGAGATCTCTTCGTCAAATTTCGGCTTTTTCACCTTGTCAACGGCTTTCTTCGGGCCTCTCCCCCGTTTTTTGGGACCACCACGTTTCAGAAAGAAGGACATGCCTGAAACGAGTATTTTAGATATTTAAAACCCGCGAATCTACTCTCAAACAGTGCCTTACAAGCAAAAAGTATCGAAATTTACCAAAAATGCAAGAAAATTCACTTGCAACGGAATGCCAAAACAATTGTTTTCGCGCCAAGGCGCAATTAAAGTCTCCGTGCAATCTCTAACTTCCAGACCAAAGTTTCACAACTTGTTTACAAAGCACGTGGCTTTATTTACACCGAGATCAAGATTAGGTATTCGTGGTTACAACGTATCCTCCGTCGACTCGGGATGTTTGAAAGTCCGTCTCGCAGTAACGCCGATCTGGTCGAGTTATTGAAGAGTAAGTCGATAGAATCTTCTCAAAAAGTCATCGAAAGGGTACTGTAAACATCAAAGGTCATATTTACTATAAAAAGGGCATGTCACTTATCGGTGATTTTTAGGAAAAGGTGCATATACGTCTGATGTGGTGAAGAAGGTGTTGCTATCGGTGGATCGTGGTGATTATGCCAGAGTCGCGCCGTACTGTGACATGCCACAGAGCATTGGGTTTAACGCAACAATCAGCGCTCCTTTCATGGTACGGTTTCCCCTTTTTTGATAAGATTTTTTGTTAGTTTAGGTAAAGAGCTGGCGCTTTATTAAAAATAGCTGTAACTTTGTAACGCTATTACTAAGAGTCTTCAAATTTGGACTGAAGATGCCTCAAATAACCTTTTTTGATTCCTAAGAATGTCAAAAGTTACAGTAGCCTACATTTTTCAGCACGCTCAATCTTTGGAACGCTTGGCTCCAGTAATAAAAGAGGGCTCACGAATTTTGGATATTGGCTGTGGTTCTGGTTATTTGACAGCTTGTCTTGCTAAGATGGTTGGTCCTAATGGCAAAGTGGTTGGTATCGATCACATCCCAGAGCTAGTGGAGCTCTCAGAAAGGAATATTCGCAAAAATAATGAGGATTTACTGGAATCCGGGCGAATTATTTTGGTGGTTGGGGATGGACGTCTTGGCTACGCTGAGGAAGGACCTTATGACGCGATTCATGTGGGTGCCGCTGCTCCGAAGATCCCACAGGAGGTGAGGATTAATATCAAAATTTTTTTTGTCAAATACGCGGTTTGTTCCCCGAAATATATGGCCTCGTTTTAGTTAGTAGATCAACTAGCTCCCGGCGGCCGAATGTTGATCCCAGTTGGAGTCGCAAATCAGGAATTTTTGCAAGTTGACAAGTCAGAAGATGGAAAAGTAACTGCCAAGAATTTATTCGGCGTCATCTATGTTCCATTGACCAGTCGAGATCATCAAATGAAAGGTCGTCAATTCTAAAATTGCAGAACAAATAGGCAATAACTCACCAAGATCTCCAAAAGTTTTGGTTTATAGTCCAACATGGTGTCTAATCGCTGAAAATCAGCTAAAAACTTTGTAAAATCTCAAACATAAAATGTCTCTCACTCAACTTCCGGCCATATATGGTTAATAAATTTAATCACAAGCTAATTAAGGGCGTATCTTCGGGAGATATTCGTTATTGAGACCAAGAGTTGCACAAGTGATGAAAAATTGAATAAATAGGACGGCATAAGGCGTAATTCGCCGCAGGCACAGCTTCATAAGGGCTTACAATTCCATTGGCAGTTGGGTTTGGTGCGAGTTTCCATTTATTGGGATCGTGTCCAGCGGATAAACCGAACGAGCAGTAACAAATACACCGTGATTCGGAGCGCATTGGAAATACCTAAAATTTTAGAAGAATAAATAGGAGAAAAAAGGTCCTACCGTCTTCCTTCCACTTCTCCGTCGTTTTTGCCAGTCGCTTGATCCAGTTCAACACCAACCATAAGTTCGTTCGGCTTGAAATGAACCTCACCAACATATCTTATAGTTCCAACACGATCCTCTTTTCCTTTCACCTTCACTATCACTCGACTGCCGAACTTTACGAAGGGCTTGGGTTGCTCCTTCACCTTAGCAAGGAAAGCGCGGGCGTTATCTACAAAAAGATATATTACCAATGACGTTGAAGTAGACCAAGGAAATTTCTGAGAACCTAGAATTTAAACAAGAAATATGAGAAAGGTACCTTCACGTTCGGCATATTTGTCATCAGGGATGTTGAACTTCTCAGCACCATCGAACTTCAAAAGGTCTCCATTTTTATTCGTAACCTTGATGATCCAATCATTTCTCGCTCCAATTTCTTCCAAAGTAGCTCCTTCTTCAACTATATCCCTCTCAAACTTTCCTTCGGGGTTCAGTAAAGAGAGAACCATGTCGTCCTTGTACATTCCCACAACCAACTCGAGTTTTCGCTAAAATTATATTATTTTAGGTATCAAATGGACAAAACACTAAAAAAGAGGACAACATAAATATAATGATGCTAATTACCTTTAATTCCATGACCAAAGTCGACGGAGCAAACTGTTTCAACGAGTTGAACTCCAAAGAAGGCGATTGAATTTGAATATTCAGATGTCCAGCCATTTCGGGGTTATAGTCAAACAGAACTGTTCCCTGGTCCGAAACTATGAGACAAACGAGGCCGGAAGAGCGCTCGAATAGCTATTTGCAAACGTAAAACGTCAACAAAAATGTTGAAATCTGTAAATATTTTTTTGGCGAGAAAATAAAAAAAAAGTTGCGAAATGTCAAAATTGGACGAAGTGTCGCAGAATTATAGATTCCACTTTTTCGTGGGAAATCGAAAATTTTTTTGTCTGATGCAGTGAGAAGCTCTATAATCCATCAAATTCTGTTGTTTGAGAAGATCTTTGGGCTCATTCTTTCGCTAATTTTATTTTAGATTTAGGTTTTCCCAAAATTTTGAGGTTTTTGCGATTTTATATATTAATTTAAGTTTATAAAGCGTTGAGCTGTTGCTAAAAGGACTCTACGAGATCTTTCTCTTCTTTCCTGAACTTATCTGATAGTTTTTCCTTTTGATAATCTGTGAATTTTCATTCTTCTCTCACTTCTGTCTAGTCTAAGGTGCAAAAGCTCGTTTCAAGTTGAATCTGTCACTGGGACTTCCAAAGAACACGTACACGCTCAGGGAGACATTTGTTATGTCCATGGGAGGGATTAGCGGTATTGGCCAACCTATTTCCTCGCAAACTTGTTTTTCGTCTCAAGTGCATCCGAAATTCTGTTATAAATGGCAGATTTGTACTGTCATACGGGTGGAGCGCCGTGTTTTTTATGAATTTCGATGCTCGAGGGTGTCCGGTGAGAGATATTCGATATGAGAAGAGAGGTCGTGCCAAACGAAATTTGATTCGAAAAGCCGATGAACTTTTGTTTATTACTCACAAAATATTGTCGTTATTTTTTGAATCGAGCGGAGATTTATATGAAATTTGTGTTGATAATGAAGATTATGATCTGTTTTGTCAGAAGACATCCGATCATGGGCTTAGAGGCAGATCTAAGGCCGGTTTTGACTTTTAAATACCTAAAATAGGGTGAAAATTGTCGTTTTATGGGGAGATCTGGGTGGTGAAGAGCCGGTGGATCTTCAAGTTTTGTCAGGATGACATAATCTGCTCTATAATATTAATATTCTAGCATTTTGAGCGTTCTAAGACTAATTTTATACTTGAGGTTTTCCAAAATCTCAACATACAGTGAGGGACCTGATCCAGTGGCAAAAAACGTATCATTTTGCATCCGGGAAGTATCAAAACTGAGGCAAAATGCTTCCCTCTCCAAGTGAAAAAAACTCCGATTTGAACTGCGCGCCCTTTCTCTCACAAATAGAGTGGGCGCTCTTTTGAAATCGGAGTTTTTTTCACTTGGAGAGGGAGGTATTTTTCTGCATTTTTTGATATTCCCGGATGCAAAATGGTTCGTTTTTGGCCAATGGATCAGGTTCCTCTCAGTATTTAGTATAGTTTTGGAAAAGTGAAGTATAAAATTAGTCTTAGAACGCTCAAAATGCTAGAATATTATCTTATAGACCAGATTACAGCATCCTGACAAAAGTTGAAGATCCACCGGATGTTCACCATCAAGATCTCCCCAGAAAACGGCAATTTTCACCATATTTTAGGCATTTTTAAGTCAAAAACGACCTTCGATCTGCGTCTATGGATTAGGTCCTCCACTGTAGGATAAATTTCCCTATAGCTCCTCAAAACTCGACTTTTTTGGTGTCCGATGCCTTTCCTTCGCCCTCTTCTTGTCTTTAGCGGATTTCTGGGGGCAACGAGAGCTCATGAGAATCGCTCTCGGCTTGATTATAGACGGAAATGATACGTTTTACGAGCTCATAATCGGTCGGAGGCCGGCCTCGAATTGTCCCGTTGGAACACTCTCGGCGGCGGCCGCTCGCGTCTGGCGTTCCTGTCGGGACGAACGGGACTGGGAAAACGTGCCATTTCTTCCCCAAATATATTGCATTTTCCCTCCTCTTCTCTCATTCTTATCCGCCTTCCCCTCGTCGTCGCCTCGGGGCATTCTCTTAGCCGAAGAATGTGTGTGGCTGGCTTTTTCGGGGTGTTTATTTCAAGTGGCGAATAATGGGATTTTTGGCGCTGACCTTTCCGCCGGATAACAATATCTAATTCAATTATAATGGCGGGAAAGCGCAATAATAGCCGCCGGGATTCTTGGTCCCAGCGGGTTTTTGTGGTTGGTCGGGGGTCATTGAGAGGTCAGAGTGGGACGGGGAAGGAACGTTGAGCATTTCGAAATGTTTTTCGTCTCCCGAGACCACGAGTTCGGCTTGGGTTCGGGCATAATTTGTCATTGGGGACGAGGATTTGTCCGACCCGGAATCCCGAAACATCAAAACGTCCTATCAAACCGAACGTTCTGCGAATGTAGGGTATATAGCTTGTGGGTTTGAGTATTTGAATACCGCAAAGATCGGCGGCGACACCTGTCTTTGTCAGATCTTTCAGTTGTTTGTTCCAAAAATTATTGTTTTTGAAGAGGAAGTGGTCGGATAGGCGGATATTTCTTGATTTCATGTGTATTAGAGTATGTTCTTACAATTAGATTGTACTGAAGCTAAGTTTATTAGCGTTGGATACCAGTATATTCACCTTAACTTCAGCCTTCACTTTTGGTGTTCAAGTGTAATATAAAGTTTATTTTTGTGATGTTATCGACTAGAATGGTTTCTTACTGCTATGTAGCGTTGAAGAGTATGATTTTCTTGTCATACTGAGCATAAAATATTTGGTTTTTGACGAGTTTGAGATATCTGGCTGGCCCATTTCTTTTCAGCCCTTATTTTTGGTGCTCAAGTATAATATAAACTTAAATTTCATGACTTTTGCGATTGAAAATTCAGTTGGTTTTTGTATAAAACGAAAGCTAATTGTCTCCCCGTTCTAGCGAGCACAAAGCCGATTTAAACTGATCGCATTTTCCCATCGTTCCACGACGACTTTCACGACGAACTCCATTCGGAACAACGCGGCTCAAAAGGTCAATCCCGTTCTGGTGGTGTGGCTGTTGGGCAACGGCTGAAGAATCTAATGAGGTTTTATCAACTGCGTCCTCATGAACGCCGCTGATGTGCTCTATCGTGCGAGACGGTCACATTCTACCGTACAGGTTAGTTTATATTATACATGGCATTTTGATGATGTTTTGGGAAAATTTGGGGATTTACTGTAAAAATTGGTTGTAAAAAACAAAGACGATTAAGACGAATACTAAAATAGGTGACTGTCCTGTCTGAAATTGGATTTATAGGGCGTTAAATTGCGTTTAAATCTGAATAGATAAGATTTCCCTTGGGAATTTTGGCCAAAAACCCTTAAATAGAAGTGCAAAATGGCTGAAACGGTATGAAAAAGGTTTCAAAATACGATTAGCTTCTTGAAAAATTGATAGTTCCCCTAAACTACTAATTTCATCAAGTATAACATAAAATTTTTATTGTTTTAGACCATCAAGTATAACATAAAAAAATTTTATCCGAACATGCCTCAGAGGCTCTCATATGCCATAAACTACCTTGATATTGCCTCAGATATCTGAATTTTCAAGGGTTTCCAGAAAATTTATGGTATTTTTTCGAATACTCTTCACCAAAAAAATCCCTTTTTTGTCAATTTATTCCAAAAAAGAGTCAAAAATTAATCCGTCCGAACAGTCTTATTATTTAGTATTCTCAATTCTTCGCGCTTCACCATGTTTTGCGGCCCAGTAATCCGATGCATTGGCGCTTAATTGGATTCGAAGGGTTTTTTCTTTACATTTTTATCAAATTTTCACGCTGAGATGGCCAAGTACCCTCGGAATCTCGGTTGAAATGAGTGTTTTCCACCGAGATTTCGCTAATTTGTATGGTCATGTGTCGCCAGAGGTAAGAAAATGGCTATTTTTTCCGATATTAGATGCTGTTCTTGCGATTTTTTATCAAAAAATGATAAAAATGGTGGACTTTTGGCGTAAAAAAAGTTGTTTTATGACAACTTCAGGACTTTTTTGAGCTTAAAGTTCTGAAATTTTTCTGTTTTAATTCAAAAAATCTCAAAATTTCCGACGGATTTTAATTTCATCCCTTTGTTTATCATTTTTATGCGTGCAAAGTCCTCCTTCGTCAGAAGACAAGTCTTCTTGGCCTAAAAACAACAAAAAAATAGGTCTGGAACCTAGATTTTTACGCCTCGAGGCGGTGCAATCTCGGCCGTTCCAAACGTCAAGTTGAATCCCGAAAGAAGTTGCGGCAATTTGAGAGCTCAATTTGAGGAATTTTGGGGAGTAAATGAGAGAGTGTTGGGTTAGGATAGGAAGAAAAAAGTTGGGTGAAACTTGGCCCAAATTTAAAATGAATTCCAGGAAAGGTTCATTACAGGGGCATCCCAAGAAAAATTTTCGATAACGGAGTTATTCAAGCATCTTTGCCGATCGTAAACTATGGAAATTGAGGAGAGACGATTAGAGAAAAAAACTTTCAGTAATCTTTGCGTATTTTGGTTAACAAAAATTTATTTTTTGGAGAAATTTTGCGTTCCACACATCAAATAGAATACGTCAAAAAATACAGTGCAATTTGAGAGCTCAATTTGAGAAATTTTGGGGAGTAAATGGACAGAATGTTGGGTTAATCATATAAGCTTATCGTTAGGTAAAAAAAAAGTTGATGAAACTTGGCCCAAATTTAGAACAAAATTTTCTTTGACATAAGCCAGATTTTGGGGTCGAAACTTTCAGAAATTTGACATACAGTACGAGAAGGGATCCAGTGGTCAAAAATTCTTCTAATTGCATCCGGAAGGCATTCCAAATACAACTAAATATCTCCCTATCTGACCGAGAATAGCGTTTTTCTGAAGGCGAAAAAGTTTACCTTTTGGAAAGAGCAGAGAGGGAGGCGTTCAATGCTTCACCGAAACGTTTCCCCCCTCTACTCCTTCCAAACTTTCTTGTTCTCACTTCAAAAGAACGCTATTTTCGGTGAGAGAGGGAGGCGTTTAGTAGTATTCTAAATGACTCCCGGATGCAATCGGAAGCACTTTAGACCACTGGATCCTGTCCCGCACTGTATGGCAAATTTCTGAGAGCTTTGACCTCAAAATCCGAGTTATGTCAGAGAAAATTTTGTTCTAAATTTGCGCCAAGTTTCACCGATTTTTTTTTACCTATGCTTATTTGATTAACCCGACATTCTATTTACTCCGTAAAATTTCTCAAATTGAGCTCTCAAATTGCATTGTATTTTTTGAGATATGTATTCTATTTGAATTCTGGAGTGGGAAATTTCTCCAAAAAATTTATTTTTGTTGACCAAAATACGCAAGGATTACTGGAAAGCTTTTTTTCGCTAACCGTCTCTCCTCAATTTCCATTGTTTCCTATCGGCAAAGATCTTCGAATAACTCTGTTATCGAAAATTTTTCTTGGGGTGCGATGACTTTTCCTGGAATTTAATTATTGCCTCAGGACAAGTGGCTCTAACCATCGGAAGTTACGACTATTTTGGGAGTTTTGGAGACGCCGCTTGAGGGAAATTTGAACGCCTGCCCTTTAACCCTCACTTAAACTCGTCTTTCGGGCCGCTTGAAAGTCCGCCAAATTCTCCAACGAAAATATGAATAGGTTATTTTTTGAGCAAAAAAGCGCAGCAGGACGTCATTTTCGGAATTTAAATCGGCAATATTGGTCCAAAAAGTATTGATTTTGATGAGTAGGTGAGTTTTGGATGCGAAAATATGTCTCAATTTTTTCAAATTTCAGCCTCCCAAGCTGGATACGGACCAAAGTACGGTCCATGTGCAGTTCTTCCAGTACAAGACCACCGATTACCTGTACGACCTAAGGGAGTGCTCGTCGGATAGATTGTATTCGGATACCAATGTGAGTTGACTTACCGAATTTTTATTTGATTTTAGAAAAAAATGTTTTTGTCTACGTTAACATAAAAATTTTTGATTTTGATGTCTAAAGAAATATATCCATGGTCTAAATTTTAGTTCAAAGAGAAATTGAAGAACAAATGGCACGAATGCAAGGACAAAGGTGGAGTCATCAACTATGACCTGAACTGCATGTACAAATTGCTGGATGGAGATTACAATCTTTCCATTCAGGTGAGAAAAAATTATTTTTCTCCCGCCATTTTTGCGGGGGAAAGGGCGCGCTCTTCAAAAAGAAGTTTTTTCACTTTGAAAGGGAGGATTTTGCCACATTTTTCATACTTCCCGGATACAAAATGATACATTCTAAAAATCGAAATTTAATTTTCCCTTCACAGTCGAGCCCAGTTTGAATTTTTTTTATCTTCAGCTGAACGTCGAACGAGGCACCCTGCGTCGGAAGCCGATGCGCTTTCAAAGCATTGTCCAGCCCTTCAACATGCATCGATGGAATTTCACGAAGCTGAGACCTTCAGAAGTGATGTTCTATGCCCGCTGCACTGACAACCACTACACGAACGACCCGCTGGACACGCACACGATCTGCGTGAATGCCTCTCCCATCGAAAGTGGCCACTTTTTATTTGTGCCATCGCTTTCGAAACGGCTTCCGCAAATCATGACCGAAACGGGAATACGAATGGCCACGGACCTGATGCTCATCGTGGAAGACGAGAACTTTCACGTGCTGTATAATTCGCTTCTAGGACAGGCCTCGCTGAATCACTTACATCTCCATGGATTGTTCTGGCCTTATGAGTCGGATCTTATTCATAGGGTAGGTTTGTGGGGAGTTGAGAGGATTTTTGAAGGTTTTTGGGATTAAAAAAAGAAGAATTTAGGTTCTAAACTTACTTTTTTCGCTGAAAAAAGACATTTTTATAAGAAAAAAGTTCGAAAAATGGGATTTTTTCATCAAAATTCGTTTGGGTTTTACTGTGGCGGACCTGATCCAGTGGCAAAAAACATACCATTTTGCATCCCGGAAGTATCAAAAATGTGGCAAAATACCTCCATTTCCAAGTGAAAGACTCCGATTTCAAAAGCGCACCCGCTCTTTTTTGCTTTTTTAAAGGTGCGCTCTTCAAAACGGAGTTTTTCCACTTGGATAGGGAAGCATTTTGCCACATTTTTGATGCTTCCCGGATGCAAGATGGTACGTTTCTTGTCACTGGATCCGGTCCTCTACTGCATTTAAAAAAAAAGGTTTAATTTTCCAGCGCTTCGAGCTTCTCGCCGGCGATTGTTACGTGATCCGCCGCCCCGACTGGTACATTCATTGCTTTTGCTACCAACTCCAAGGACCCGACTCCTTCGATTCGTTCGTGAAAAACGTGTGGCACACCCTGAACTTTTTGACGGTCCACAACGTCGCTCACAACATGTTCTTCACGCGCGCTCCACCCCTCCGAACCCAGCCGCCGGTCCGCTTCGAGCAGCCCCGAGACGCACCTTCACTTGTTACCGTTTACATATTCCCAAGGCAAAGCCAGGCCGGCGCCAAGCCCATGAACAATTTCAATCCAGCCGCACTGGAGCTGGCTGGATGCTTGATGGCTTATAGTAAGGGATTTTATAAAAAAAAATATATTTTTTTTTTGAATTTTTTTTTGACTTTTAGGCCAAAATAAGGTTGAATAGAAGAAAATTTTGAGGGTTGTTTGGAGTTTTTTGGTCTAAAAGTTTTCCGGAAATTGTGTTTTCCGGATGTTTTTTGAACAATTTTATATTGCACTATGTTAAATCTGCTAGAATTTTTTGACCTTTGGTCGAAAACCAGGTGGAATATTGAATTTAGAGACTGAATTTTTAAAATTGTCTAGTTGGTGGTAAATAATTTTTTTTTTGATGATTTTGATATGTAAAATAAGGTCGAATTTTGAATTTTCAACTTTGGTGTGGTCTACCTTGCTTATTTTTAGATCTGAAATTCTTCGAAACGGCCACTGAACAAAGTTGTATCCGGACCTTTGACGAGGACGCTGCCTTGGATGATCTTCACTTTGAAACGGTAAATGTGATTTTTGGTCCGTTTTTACAAGGGAATTACCCCAAATGTGCGACACTCAGATTTTTTTAAAATTTTGCACGCAAGTCGGGCATGGACTAAGTATCAATTCCTGAAAGTTTTAGCTCGCGCTTTGCGGGCGCCGCCGAGATATTGAACGCTCTTTGCCGCCGAGAGAGCACACTAAACGTGGAAAGCGGTCAGAGAGGAAAACGCTTTTTGGCCACAACTTTGCCAGTTTTGTGCGAAAAAATTTGATTTTTTGTGGAAACATTATCCTTTAGAGTTGAAATAGGCATGAAACTTTTCGTGCCGAAATTCGGCAAAAGTCCTAAATTTTGTTCCTGAAAATCGCGAGCTAAAAATTCCTGAAATTTTTAGCTCGCGCTTTGCAGGCGCGGCCGAGATATCGGACGATTTATGCCGCCGAGAGAGCACGCTAAACGTGGAGAGCGGTCAGAGAGAAAAGCGCTTTTTGGCCATAACTTTGGCAGTTTCGTGCGGAAAAATTTGATTTTTTGTAGAAACGTTATCCTTTACGATAGAAATGGGCATGAAAAGTTTGGTGCCGAAAGTAGGCAAAAAGTGTCAAATTTTCGCCGACTTTCGATCTACAAATCTCGGTTGTTTCTGCAAAGCGCGAGCTAGGATTCTGGCATATATTTTAGAAAAAATTATTCTAAATTTGTGCCAAGTTTCATCAAAATTTGAGCGTCGCACTTGGGGTACTTCAATTGATAGCTATTAAGAAATTTTTTCAAAAAAAAACATTTTTGACAAAATTTTTTTTTTTTGAAAAATTCAAATTTTTTTAAAAATAATTTCAATATTTTTCCAGCTAGCCCTAGAATTGGCCCAACGCCTGCTCGGCCGCGTCCCCTGGGCCGCCCAAGTTCCGCCTCCATCACTCCGGGTCTCCTCATCCGACGAGTATGAGCTAACTGAGCTTGAAGAACTTTGCGACTCTTTCCACACGGTCTCAGTCCCCGTTCCGTTGAAGCCCCTCAAACACCATCGATCCTTTAATTTTGGCCAGAAATCTTCGGAACATTCCTTGTTGGACGATCTCCCCACCCAACGAAAACGCAGCCACACCACGGACGCGGCCATGGAATTCACAATCCATGAGGGAAAGGAGTCATAAAATTGGGGAATTTTTTTGGGAAAAAGTGTTTTTTTATTTCTTTTGATTGAAATTTGAATTTTTTTATCGTTATTGGAGAATATCTTGGATTTTTGGATTTTTATCGAGGTTTTATTGGGATTTTTTTTGTTGTAATAAAGTTTGAAGTATCTAAAAAATCGAGTTTTTGACCACCATTTTTTGATTGAAAGTTGGAAAAAATGCGCCATTTTTTTTGCAAATTTTGGCGTGAAAAATATGTCTATTCCTAGCGAAGAGGGTAATGTTTCCACAGAAGAGCAATCTTTCCCATGTGAAACCGGTAAAGATACCGTCAAAAGGTGTGTTTTCGATCTCTGAACGCTCTCCGCTTTTCGCGCACTCTCTCGGCTGCAAAGTCATATGAATATCACGACTGTGACCGCAAAGCGTGAGCTAAGATTTTTAGGCATTGATATGTGGCCTATGCTCGAAGTGTGTGCAAAATTTAAGGAAAATCTGAGCGTCGCACTTACAGTGGCCACTACTGGGGAACTTTTTCCAAAAAAAATGTGGCAAAACGCTTCCCTCTCCAAGCGAAAAAACTTCGTTTTGAAGGGCGCCCCATAAAACAGAGTGGTCGCGCTTTTGAAATCAGAGTTTTTTCACTTGGAGAGGGAAGCATTTTGCCACATTTTTGGATACTTCCCGGATGTAAAATGTTACGTTTTTTTCCACTGGATCAGGCCCCCATTGTACGAAGGGAAGTGCCCTAAAACAACTTGTAGGCTCTTACTGTAGCCAGGCCTCTTCCTATCCAGTCCGTCGGGAAAATAATCAGCAAGATTTCGCTTCGAAAATGGTATCGCCGACAAGAATATGAATTGTGTCGCGGCAAAATCAAGTTGTTTTTTCACTTCAGGGGCACTTCACGTCAAACTGAGGGGTCCGGTGACCGGAATAGACCCTTCGCTATCGGTTTTTTACACTTCGTCTTGATTTCGCAGAGAAAGAGAGAAAAAAGACACGCAAACGCGCTCTCTCTCACCCCAAAAATTCCCCATTTCTTCCCCGACAAAACGTTTTTTCGCGTCTTGTTTTGGCAAACTGCCAACCCATTCACCGGACTCTTTTATCTTATCTCAGTTTGACGTGCCACTGCAGGTTGACGCCAAGTCTTTCCCTGATGTGTCAAGTTTCTCTCTCCTGAAAATAATTATTTTTATTTTCTTGACATATTGTGCAGCCTGTTTCTCCATGAAGATGGACTGAAAAGTGGTCAAGTAAGTTATTATTAGCAAGATTAGGTGTTCTTCTTTCATTTTATGCCAAAAATCTTGATTTTATTTCAGGGAAACATACAGAATTCATCCAATTCGCAGAGCTAGTTTTTAGTGATCATAAATAATGTAAGTCCGCTTATTTCATTTTTTCGTGGTTAAGTAGCAGTTATAAGTTTGCCTAAGACTTAGAGGAGACCTCACTCTTTCGGGTTGTTATGGTTTCCATGCATAAGATTCATCAAATGTTTCGCCATAATCAGTTTAGAAATTGACCAAAATAGATGTCATGGAGAAGATAATCAAGGCGGAAAGGTCAAGAAAAAGGCGAAATTGTCTCCCAGCAAGAGGAGAGAGGACATTTTCGAACTAATGGAGAGGCTGAGATGTTCTAACAAAGCAAAACAGGCCATTTGGAGACGGTTTTAAAGTTGGAAGTGGACCTCATGGAGAAGATAAAAAAATGGAAAAATTGCCAAGAATAGGGCCCAATATCTCGTCATTAAAGCCGGAAAAGAGCAAACACGGCATGAAAATCGCATTTAGAGCTTTGTTCAAGGTCCAGGGACATCTGAAATTCAGCAAGTTCAAAATGGTCAACAAAGACTTCATGGAGAAGATAGAAATGGACGCAGTGGACATAGTCGGCCCTCGTTTACACCCTCTGAATGGGGTAATCAAGTTTGGAATGAGATGTATTAGCCATTTGTTTGAATTTATTCTTGCCAATTTTTCCATTTTTATCTTCTCCATGAGGTCCACTTCCAACTTTAAAACCGTCTCCAAATGGCCTGTTTTTCTTTGTTAGAACATCTCAGCCTCTCCATTAGTTCGAAAATGTCCTCTCTCCTCTTGCTGGGAGACAATTTCGCCTTTTTCTTGACCTTTCCGCCTTGATTATCTTCTCCATGACATCTATTTTGGTCAATTTTACCTAAACTGATTATGGCGAAACATTTGATGAATCTTATGCATGGAAACCATAACAACCCGAAAGAGTGAGGTCTCCTCTAAGTCTTAGGCAAACTTATAACTGCTACTTAACCACGAAAAAATGAAATAAGCGGACTTACATTATTTATGATCACTAAAAACTAGCTCTGCGAATTTAATGAATTCTGTATGTTTCCCTGAAATAAAATCAACATTTTTGGCATAAAATGAAAGAAGAACACCTAATCTTGCTAATAATAACTTACTTGACCACTTTTCAGTCCATCTTCATGGAGAAACAGGCTGCACAATGTGTCAAGAAAATAAAAATAATTATTTTCAGGAGAGAGAAACTTGACCCATCAGGGAAAGACTTGGCGTCAACCTGCAGTGCGTGCCCTTCCCTTGTAAGCAACAAAATCATTTTACGTTGTAGCTGTTCGGAGAGATGCGACAACTTCTTCTCAACGTGCAGCCCGACACTTTCAGACTTATATTTGTTGTGCAGAGACTCCACTGTAATCCTGATCTTCAATACTTTCTAGTGGTCTCTCGATATCTTGTTTTCACCATCCTTTCCTATCCTTACTCTTACAGCCTCAACTTTTTCTACAATGCTGCAAAATGTATGCAAGGCTCTGGATTTGTATCAAATTAGAAAAAAATGATGACTCTTCTTACTCATGAAGACATAAAAAACTGCAATTAACTTTTATGAGACTTGAAAATGAGTAAGTCTGCTGCGAATGAAGGAAATTGGATGACAACTCGGTCAAGTGGAAAAAGACGGTCGACCTTTGTTTTGTTGGCTTTTGAAGGTGTTGGAAAGGGTTGTAAAACACGAGTTGCGCCGCTGTTGCAATTCTCAGGAAAATGACATCTTTGAAATGAAAAGCTTTCAGGACGAGAATAGTTTTTTTATGGTTTCGCGGTACCATATAAGGCCGGTTTTTGCAAAATATAACTTACATGGGCGGTGGTACCCCTAGCGCGATTCTGAAATTTCGATGAAAGTTTGCAAAAATATGGAATAATTTTTTGAGGCACATACGACCGCCATAGCTAGCGCTTCGCAGAAACGATCAAAATTTTTAGGCCGCAAAGCTCCCCAAAATGCTCCATATTTTTGCGAATTTTGACATGAAAAGTCTCATTCCCCTTTTTACCACAGTAAGTAAGGTTGTCACAAACAATTTATTTTTTTCGCACAATACTGGCAGAAGTACGGCCAAAAGGTGCGTTTTCTCTAACCGCTCCCCGCGTTTCGCGTACTCTCTCGGCAGCAAAAGAACGTTGGATATCTCGGTTGCCCATGAAAAGCGTGAGCTATCAAGAAGAATATTTTTATAAATAAATCTTCTGATTTGTTTTTACAGTGCTCTTTTAGTAAGTTTGGCTGCATTCGAGGGTCTTTTCATCCGCTTTTTCGGCAACTTCACTGACAGGAGTAGTACTGTAAGTGCGACGCTCAGATTTTGATGAAACTTGGCATATGTTTAGACTGATTTTTTTATAGGGCATATGAGAGATTTCTATTCCGCACTTTACAGAAACGAGGAAGATTTTTAGATCGAAAGTTGACAAAATTAAAAAAAATTTTTTTTGCTAATTATGTCATCAAAAGTTTGATACTTATTTATACCATAGAGGGAAATACGTCCGCAAAAAATCAAAATTTTCCGCGCGAAACTGTCAAAGATATGGCCAAAAAATTTTTCTCTGGCCGCACTCCGCATTTCGCATCCTCTCACGGCCATAAAAATCGTTGAATATCTCTGCTGCACGTGCAAAGCGCGAGCTAAAATCTTCAGGAATTAATACGTCCCCTATACCCGAAATGTGGGCCAAATTTGAAGCAAATCTGAGCTTCGCACGTCAAATACTTCCTTTCCGAATAGATTTCAAAAATTTCTTCGAAAAAAATTCCCGATCCGCCCCACAAATTGCAGCTTTCGAGCGCAATTTGTGAGCCCAATCTCCCGCTTCTCCCGCTCTTTTTGCCCTAAAAACACACGAATGACGTCATGCTGTGGGCCCTCGAAAGGGCGTTGCAGAAAGCGGATTACTAAAAATAACTGCAGACGTGCCTATTTTTAGAAACTCGATATAAAAAAAGGAGAAAGAAAATAAAAAACAGCTTTGGGCCGCGAGGTCGTTTCCCCCCGTTTTTCCCGTTTTGGTGGCCAAGAAAGCGGGCCAAGCGGACGGGTCCTGGTGGTTGTAACGGGCTGAGGGTTCGGGATTTGCATTTTGTTTATTCTTGGACGTGTAGTTTGGAATTTTGGGAAGATTTTGGTGTGTGGAAAGATGTTGAAGTGACTTACTGTAGGGGCCATTTGTCATCATGAAGCTGACGGGGAAGGTGCTCCAAGTATAAAGCTGAAATCTTGATGAAACTTATTACATGTTTAGAATGATTTTTTTGTGAAACCTAGGCGGGACTCCAAGCTTTTACTTTATAAAAACGACCGAAATTTTTAGGTCGAAAGTTGCCAAAATTACGGTGTTTTTTGGGAACTTTGTCATAAAGTTTTGTACCTATTCCTCACATTCAGCGCAGTGTTTCCGTAAAGATATATTTTTATACTAGAAAGTATATGATCAAGTTATTATCTCCAACCGCTCTCCGTGTTTTGCGTACTCTTTCGGCCGCATAACATGGTCGAATATCCCGGTTGCGCCTGCAATGCGCTAACTAAAACTTGAGAAATTTATATTCATCCTGCGAACTGTGTAAATAGGACTTCTACTACTCCGTCGGAAAAATAGTTTCGAAGCTAGGGCATGTCTTTGGGCCGGCTGGCATATCTCGACTCTGCCCCGGTCCCT